AAACCCAACTCTCACAAACCCAACTCCCACAAACCCAACTCCTGTAAACTCAACTCCTATAAACCCAACTCTCACAAACCCAACTCCCGCAAACCCAACTCCCACAAACCCAGTGTACTCTGCAACGAAGCATTTCAAATCAATTTCCTTGCTCGTTTCTGTCCATAGGACACAATGCAGCCACAAAGATCTAGACTTCGTAATTAGTCTCCCAATAACTTCCGGGTCTCTTTTTGACGTCAGCCAACGGGCTAGAGGTAAAGCAAGTTGCTAGTTATTAGTACCAGGCTATGGTACTAGCAAGATCTGTGTATTAGTCATTGATAAAATATACTATAAAAGACCAACATGTGTACGGGAGTCCATAGCACATTTGTATAGTTACAGATATCACCTTACTTGCATCCAATTGCATGCATTAGACGAAAGGTATGACACCTTATATACTGCCAGGATAATTTGTTCTAACTGATATGATATGCGCAAGGGCAATGGCCATACGTGACCTAGTACACAATAGTAGAGGAGCCTACGATACCACAGGTGTCAAAAAGCCTGGAGCACCTCCACCGCCACCCTCTACAAGATGATTTTCAGCTTAATGGAGTGCAAGCATGGAGCTGAGACTAGAGCATAAGGTCTGTATTCAGATATTGTTGGTATTTATAATGCGTCAGACTGTTCTTTTGCTTACCTCAATTTGCAGATAACCTTTGTCCTGGTGTAGATACAAAGACTCTCTTTTAAATGTGTCTCAATGAAATTCTATTTGGCCCAATTTCTCAGTTCGCATACTGGAGCGAAATGGAGGCTGGAAGGAAATACGGTATGAATAGGTGCACTAGAATTCGATTGGTGTGATGGAGCATGGCGGATTCAGGAGAAGGTGCATCATAGTGGCCCTGACCAGGGTGTCAGTTCCAAGACGCACAGATTACCACTACATTTTCCAATAAGAGAATAGCACTTGAGCACTGCAGCTTATCACACTCCCATCCCAAAATATCACGCTAGCTGATGCAACATAAGGCCATGTTGGTGTGTCCTCGCCGCTCATAGGCCCATTTAGAGTACAACAAGCAAATGAGCCGGATAAGTAGGCATACTCCGCTGCCATCGTATGCTCCAGGTGACGTAATGTCAACATGGATACTGGCTCAGCCTCGCACCGAATGAGGAGTTGAGTATAAATATCCCTTCGAAGTCCCGGGTTGCGGGCCAGTCTGTACTTTAACTCAACGTGTATCTCTTAGGCTCAATAACCTCCCAAGCTAATATTGCCGAGATATGTCTCTATCCGGGCTTTTTGCTGATACCACTTCCGTTTCTATGGAAGTACGGACTCGGCTCCTCGACCATAGTCAAATCTCCGAAGATGTTGGAGTGTTTCCGACTTTGTTATATTCACTTCCTGGGTCAAGTTATGGTAAGCGGCAGCTCTGCACTCAAGTCAGCATATATACTGAAGTCCCTCAGAGAACCCGATCGACGTCGATGCTCCCAGGATTGGAGAAAATGGTATTAGTGCCTTCTATCATGATTTGCACCGCCCTGGTGATAGTAACAGTATGTTGCAGTACAAATTCTGCCGGGGAAAATACACTGATGATGGGCTAGAAAATCAAATTGATCTTGATACGGTCTCTGTGGTGACGAGTGATTCAACCATTGCTACCTTACCAGCAAGCCCTGCCCAGACTGAGCTTATGCCAGATGGTGAGGAACGAATTGCCTTCAGAGTAATACATTACTAAAAAGATACAGGCCGGTCCTTAGAACAATACTATGAGTGCAAGATATGTTATTGCAAGGTAGTAGATCTGGCACTAGGCTGTGGCCATACTTACTGCTACGATTGCTTTAATAGCTTCTTCCATGACTCTGTTCTAGAGGGAGCTAGAAGAATCCAAGCATCACCATACGATTATCTGGCATGCCGACTATACAAGCCATTTTGTCCTTATTGCAAGGAGGTGCTTCCTGGGCAGTACACGGACCCTGAGAATTGTGATCATCTCAAAGGCTCCTATATCCAATTGCGTTGCCCGGAACCGGGAGCCTTGCATTGCTTTATCAATAACTACATGGTGCAGGGTGTCAGATTGAAGATGCTCTGATCTCGATTTAATTCACTCCCTGCAGACCTTCATTCTCCCCAGACTTATTGTTATTGGTATATTGTTCGTTGTCATCACCGGTTGTGCCATACACGTTATCAGAGAATGAAGTCTATGACAAAGCCCGGGAGACCAGACTTTGGCCTGCGAGTACCTAGCCAGTCGGCAGTGTGAAATATTGTGCCTAATTTGTAGAAAGTGTCTCCCTGACCGCTATGCAGGTCTGGACGATTGTGATCATCTTTCCGGCTTCTATGTCCCTCTGTGCTGCGAGGCGCTACTGTCTCACCTGCCACACCTCCCACCTACCTCAGTCTTTCATAGTAAATGCACAAACTTTGTGATGATTACGTCATCGTAGTTTCTAGGCTCTCACAGTACCTCCCCATAAAATTCTTACCTGCCTGACGCATCAATCCCAACCTGGGGTATTATATTACTGTCTTAGGCGTGACATGGATCAAAATAGTAGGCGGTAGGATTATGCTAAATTAAAGAAGCATGCTTCACCCTTTAGAGAATGCATTCAAATCCGAAGGAAAGAAAAATTATCTACAACAGCGGGGTCCAGCTGCTTTGTATCTCTGAGCTGCCGCTCAGATATCCAGTAACTTCCTGCCTCTTCTACTTCGCTAACTTCCTTTAGTTCTTAGTTTCTCTCTATAAGCCCCTCCGGCTTCCTCCACACCAGCCTTCGCTCATGCCATACCCTGCCGCCTGTCCGAGAAAGTAACTTTGTAATTAGAGTGTGCAGAACTTATCCCGCTTTTTAAATGAGACAAGCTGCTGCTTGAGACCTAATTTTAAGCCTGAGGCAACTATATTAGTCTCGGGCAGCAATATGGGTAAAATAGCAGGCGATAGGGATTCTGCTGGCTTTAGAAGCAAGCCTTATCTGATAAGTGTGAGGATCCGGTCGATCTCACATCCACCTAGCAAAGTAGATTTATTAAGTGATGCCTCGTTCTGAGTCACCAGACTCAGAATTCTAGTCTTTTACCGGATGGCGTAGTGGTACTACAGCTGTTAAATTCCGGAGGATTCACTCCTAAAGCGCACTAGGAGCGGGTTCTGACAATAAGGTAGACGGAGGGTGTGGCATGAGTGAAGGCCGGTATGGAGGCAGCCTGGTGGCGGTAGCACCTTCTAATTCTAATCCAGGCATGGCACAACTACTATGATATACAATGTGCTATTATATTAGGTCAGGAACTCTAGCTCATTGATGGTATGGGTCGTGAGTCCATATGTGATCCAGCTGGACATTATATTTTTTTGTTTTTCTAGATATAGAATGATACCTACCTTCTAGCCATGCTTATATGAGAAGAAGAGGAGTACTGAATTAAAAGACTTCTAGATAAATAGAAAATAAAATATAATTATAATTATTATGGATAGTACCTACACTATGTATTCATGTAAAGTAATAGGAGCTTTCGGGCCCCGAGCAGCACAGAGTGACATAGAATCCGGTGAGATGATCTCGTCCTTGGTGCATAGCGGGCAGAGAGACACTTTCCACAAAATGCCACGACAGTTCATACTGCCGACTGGCTAGGTACTCGCAGGCCAATTCTGGTCTTCGCGGGTTATGTCATGAATTGCATTCCCCGATAACATATATGTAGCACAACCGGTGACGATACATAACAGTATACCAATAGCAATAAGCCTGGGAAAATGAAGGTCTGTGGAGAGTATTTTAAATCAGAATCAGAGCATCCTCAATCTGACGCCCTGCACCATGTAGTCATCGATAAAGCAATGCAACCTTCCCGATTCCGGGCAACTTGGTGGGACATAGAAGCCTTTGAGATGATCACGATCCTCAGGGTCCGTATACTTCCCGGGAAGTACCTCCATACAATAAGGACAAAATGGCTTGCATTGTCGGCCTGCCAGATACTCATACGCCAATGCCTGTCTTCTTCTAGCTTGCCTGAGAACAGAGTCGTGGAAGAAGTTATTGAAGCAATTATAGCAGTAGGTATGGCCACAGCCTAGTACCAGATCTACTACCTTACAATAACATATCTTGCACTCATAGTATGTTTCTAGGGACCGGCCTGTATCTTTTCTTAGTAATGTATTGCTCTGAGGGTATTCCTATTCCTCACCGTCTGGCATAAGCTCAGTCTGGGCCAGGCTTACCGGTAAGGAGGCAATGAGCTCAGTTACATCACCCGTTGCTGCGGAAACTGTATCAAGATCACTTGGGTTTTCTAGTCCATCATCAATTTATCTTCTTTGGCGGAGTTTGTACTGCAACATACCAATACTGTCACCGGGGCGTTGTAAATCATGAGAGATAATACTATTATCATTTCCCGTGTTTCTGAGAGCATCAATGTCGATCGGGTTGTCTGAGGAACTTTAGATTACTTGCTGATTTGACTGCAGAGCTGCTGCTTACCAATACTTGATCCAGGAAGTGGATATGGCAAAGTCGGCAACCCTCCAATAGCTTCAGAGATTTGACTATGGTGGAGGAACCGAGTATGAACTTCCTCAGAAACAGAACTTGTAACAGCAGAAGGCCCAGATAGTGACATCTCTCGACGATATTAGCGTGGGAGCGCTGACAGGTTCTTGGGCCTGAGAGATACATGCTAAGATGAAGTACAGACTGGCCCGCAACCTGGGACTTCGAAGGGATGTTTATACTCACCAACTCCCTCATCCCGTGCGAGGCTGAGCCAGTATCCATGTCGACGTTACATAACCTGGAGCATAGGATGGCAGCGACATATGCCTGTCCAGCTCATCTGCTTGTTGTACTCCAAACGGGTCTATGAAGGGTGAGCACACACCAACGTGGCGCTTTAGAATCCCTAGCCACTATATATCCAGGTACGCTGATCTCGAACTTGTGGGCCGTACATCATGCTGTAGAGGTAGCTACCGATCCCTTACACTTATTGTCTTGTGTTCCGATATCTTCCTGGCTTTGCTCCTCTCTAGATCGCTATGTAGAAAGAAAAGGATATGTATATAAAGCGCGCAAATTTGGGAGAATAATCAATGAGTCGTCTATCCAAAAGCCTTAGTGTACATGATCCCAAATACCACAGCTAATTGAGCGCCAGCTGAATGCAAGTCGGACCAACAGCGTCTGTATGGAAGGTCAGTTGCCGAGCATATGATTGGAACCTGGGTGATTTGCGCCGTTTCCAGATTCGACCTCTCACTTTTTGTTTCCGAGCGGAGATATCCGCTGTCCCGCGGTGACTGCACTACGGCAAGCCTATCTATTACCGAGTAACACAATCCAGCCTAGTTGCTTCATAAATTCTGTGGTTGAAGAGGCTGGAGACCCACTGCAGAACCTGACAATGATTTTGTTCAGAGAAGCGATAGCTCTGAATTGTGTATTAATGCTCAGAAGTACACTCCGGAAGGAGTGGTTACTGATCTCTTTCTCGGTGATCAGACGAGAAACCTGGCCGTAAACGAGGGTTTCCAGTATTTTCAGGTTGGTACACTTGTCTTGGAGGAGTCGCAAGCTCTGCAGGCCATCTTCTCTGAGTCCAATGTCACCTGATATATCGTCTATGCTCTCGATGACTGGAAAGTTCACGCGTAGGCGCGACAGAAAACCTGCATTCACAGGCCCGATACAAGTGAGGAAAGAATCTAGGAGGCTGCCTTGGCATTTGGAGACATCCTCGAGGACAAACTCATTTGCACCATAGAGAACGGCCCTCGCCTCCATAGAGACTTTTCGATTGGTATATAGTAATGCCAGCCATTGGTGAGGTCTCTCTGGCGTAAAAGTCTCTATCGGACAACCTGGATCCTGGAAAAGGAAGAGTGGATGTTGCACAGCAAGCACTTCCCTGTAAATAGTATGACGAAGTTCGACAGGGAGGCTGAAAAAGCCATCGTAAGCTGAGTTTGTTGGCCGAGAGTGAACACTTTCCGATCTCGCACCCGACATTGTGGGAGAGATTCAATGCCTTCGCCGGTGACGTACTATGCCGAGCAAGCAATGTTTGGCGCTTGTGTCCAGTTACTTCCAGGCCTACACTCGGACGTAATGTCCCTTTCCTTTCCTGGAGAAGTTGGGTAATATATTGTCTCTCAACGGCAGTCGGTTTGGAGATCCAAACAATCTTGCGGTTGTACCTCTGGGTGCTCCTATCGCAACGCGTCCACGAGGGGTAGCGAAGCTGGGAGCGACCGATTACGGCCCAAGGATGACCTAGCCAGAAGCCGAGTTAGCGTCTGCGTGATGCGTGGTATTCCCAAACGTACTGGTCGTGTAGGATCTAGAAAGTAGGTGACGGAGGGAAGGGATGTCCTGGCATTTCCGCGTCCAAGTAGTGGGAAGAGATAAGAATTTGTTATGTAAGAGGGGCGGGGCTACTGCGTGCTCGCGAAAGTGCGGGTCCGGTGTTGAGACCAGGCCCGACCCAAGCCCCGTTAGGAAAGACGACTTAGTATATTTTACCATTACTGGGCCGTTACCACACTACAGTAATATTCAAAGCGTTTTATTTGGTTACTTTATTAGTATTCATTCGACTATGTGAACCGACGTTTTCAGAATTGGATTTAATTGTATAAAGGAAGAGACTTGATTCTTAGAAATCTCGGGATATTAAGCAGTTTGTGAGTATAAACAATTCAGACCGGTGGTTTGAGTCACTGGAACTGGAGGATTCCCTGTATAAGGTATTACTTAAACCTGAAGACTGTAGACGGAAGACCATGGGCATTGGTCCACAGCCCGACCGTGGGCCCAGCCAGGGAAGTCCCGCTCGTGGTGAGGGGTAAAGTCAGTCTCAAACCGAGCCGAATCAATTCTAGTTACTGGGAGCCCAGTTGCTTTGATAAAGGAATGATTGTGTTGCCCAGATTCTCACACTTTTTCGCATGCTAATCATCGGACAATGGCGCATCCATCGACTGACAAAGACCAATTTCGACGTAAATTACGTCAGCGGTTAGATAGACTTCGGAACAAATCTCGAAGCCCGTTTCGCAATCCTACGGACAAGATCTACCCTCGCTCATTACAGGATGCTCAAGGGGATTTGGGAGTTTCAACCAGGTAAGTATTACATCCTATCAGTCAGATTGGGCTAACCAGGTAAGCAGTCTACCACAACTCGCTCTACTTGAGACCAGCAACGCCGATCAATCGCTTCTTATTTCGACTAGTAATACCTCGGAAACCTTGAAGCACACAAGGGAGGATGGACCGGGTCACATAAGGCCGAGATCTCCGCAAGGGGATATTACTGAGCAAAACCTGACGAAGAATCAATCGAACCCAGACGACAAACTTGACAGCGTCATTGGTTCTTCAGACCTTTGGAGTGCGGCTTACAGTGAGGCAGTGGCAAACCTTCGAGACGAAATAGATATTGTTATCTTGGAAGGGAGAAGTGTCACGCAGCTATTTACAGAGCTGGAACAATTAGAGCGGGAAGTGGCTCATGAATCCGCTTTCGACAGAGGGGTGAAATGGTTGCGGTCCTTACAGGTACCCCTCGAGAGATTTAAGCTATTACTGGATTTGGCGACCCCTCTAGCAAACATTGAACCAACGGCAACAACAGTCGTTGGTTTGATCAAAAGTGTGACTGCGGTAAATTGTTACATATACATACCCGCCCCAGTGGATATGATTTTCCGTGCTGACACAGACACAGATTGCCATAAGTTTTGCGACTGCTGATTTGGACTTTGCAAGGCAGATTGCGGATATGCTGGAGAAACTCTCCTACATCGATGACTGTGACACGCTCGGCCAGAAAGCTGATAGAAAAGACATCCACAAGGTATTACTGTTGTTACTTTACATGAAATCTATCTAACCTGTTCAGGCGCTCGTCATGGTGTACCAAAAGCTGCTTGAGTTCTATAAAGTCGCTTATGAAATGCTGAGCCGGAAAGGGACAAAGTTGATAATCAAAATGGTCCTAGAGACCGATCGCCTTCCGAATATTGTCCAAGAATTTCTGAAGTACTCCGATACCCTCCGGAACCTCATACAAAAAGCAACATGGGAGATTGTGGAGGACATCAAAGCAATGCTTTACGACCACGAGAGTAAGTTATGCAATTAGACTTGTCGAGTAGGCGCTTATCAGACCAAAGTCTCTAAGTGGTTAGGGAGCGGCCAGATGAGCCATCAAAGCCAGTACCATGCTTACCTTCAAGACCTCCGAGCTGATGCAGCTTGCGAACAATTGCTTGAAAATCCCAACTTCATCAATTGGTATGCGGCATCTGACACTAAGCGACTGGTTATTCTTGGCGATATGGGATGTGGAAAGACTGTTGCTATGTCATATCTCGTAGACATGATGAGAGAGAGAATTAGACGCCGTCTGCCCGAGCCTAAGATATGCTATTACTACTGCCGGGATGACAATACAGGGAGGGCTACCCACATAGCTTCGGCACTGATCCTATCGCTTCTGGAGCAGCTCCCAGGCTTAAAAAGGCCTTTTTTCGAGTGGTATAAAGAGGCTCAGGCATCTGGGACATTCGACCCAGCAACAAGTCTTAAGATATTGGGGGAATATATGGAAAGACTGCTCGAAATGACTGATCGCCCTGTTTTCTTCGTGATCGATGGCCTGGATGAGTGTGATCGGACGTCTCGAGGCAGCTTTCTGCATTTACTGGAAATGTTATCGGGAAAGGTCCCATCACTGAGAATTTTGCTTTCCAGTCGTCCTGAACAGGAGATATTGGAGCAGCTGGGTGAAACAGCTGTTATGGAGCTGGATGCAAATGCCGAGAGAGATACGGTTGTGGTTGAAAGACTGGTCCAAGACCAGCTCTCATATCTATCGATGGATGTCAAGGCACTCGTCCAAGAAAGATTGTCTCATTCAGCGCGAGGGAGCGCCATATGGACAAAGATGATAGTGGAACTTATCAAAGTTCGCAGAATCAGAGCGATCGACCCTATGCAACGGTTCTTGGAGAATATGCCATTACCAAGGCGACTTTCAGATCTCTATGAAACGTTACTTTTCCGTTGCACTTCCGACGAACCTGAGAATCAAGAGCTTGCAAGTACGGCATTAAAGCTTCTCGCCGTCGCTTATAGACCTCTTAGCTTGCTGGAATTAGCATGGGCTGCAACACTGGGCCTAGCTCATGTTACTACAGTAGATGCTCTTGCAAGTCTGGTAGATCACGAAAGAATCATAAGTCTAATCCATCCATTCATTGCTCGCGTCGATATGAGCGACGTGAAGAGACGCCAAGTCCGACTTGTACACCAGTCAGTGAAGGAGTTTATATTGGAGAAATGGTCCTCCAACCCACCTTCTGCACAAGGCATATCCTTGACAGAACCCGATCAACTGATCTCAACCCGGCGCCTTAGAACTCTGAACGCATCCATGCTGGATATATGTATCAGGTATCTCCTCTTGGACGATATTGGCAATAGAGATCTTTTTTCCCAGGAGCAAATGGCAATCGCAGAATTGCCCCAAGATGATAATCTTTTTGAGGATAACGAAGAGCCAGCTGACTACAATCCCTACTGCAGCTGGGAAACTTGGGAAGAGAATATGATTCGCTATGATCCGACCGAGCGTGGTTTTGGTGAGTTCTTTGTATATGCTTCATGCCACTGGCTGGAGCATTTCGGAGCCACCTCCGACGAAGGCCTCCCGACCTTAGCAAGCATAGAAGATGTATGCCAAGCAGGCTCACTTCGACTCCGTAACTGGATCCAACAGAATTGTCGCCCAGATTGTGTGATTTTGCCTAGGTTCGAGTTTGAAAGCAGCCTATACGACCCTCTCAGCATCACATCCCTTTACGGTTCAGAAACCATGCTACGTGTTGTACTTGAGAACTCGGATTATGGCAACGGCAAATTTCTGCAGGACCCAGCTATGCGGGCTGCTGACCAAATTCTCCGGTGGGGAGAGATAGCAAGACTCAGAATACTGTTTTTCGACAATAGGTTGGGCCAACAGCTACAGAACCCTGATTTTTTTCGGCTCGTCATACGAAGATGGGGTGACCGCCCTCCAAGGTGCCAAGATTGGGAACCTGTATTTGACCTTGTTAAGTATATGCCAGACAAATCGGACCAGGGAGAATGGCGCAATGAGCTCTTACGAGTGGCTATAGATGCAAACTGTACGCCCCTGATAAAGCGGTTGGACAGACCTAGCCACGGCACGGATCACTGATATTCTCGTCCGGCCAAATCCATCTCTCTGCAGAGCGCCCTCCGCACCTATAGCCGATTCCAATTATTATTTATGACGTATTCATTAGGCAGTCGTATACCATCAACACTCAATAGGCAAAGATAATAGAAGAGAAATATTCGCAGGCTTTCCTCAGCGCACTTTCCTTAGGCTAGTAAGATATCGATATAGTCTTGGAAGAGCAAAGTCATACTAATACTCAGGCTGTGGAGTATGTTTTTGTATTGAATATATGTTATGCATTGAAGTATGTACTATAGAAAAAGAATATATGCATCATGGCTTTATGAAGTATGCGCCAGGCCTAAATTGTTAAACCAAAGGAGTAGGTGCTCTAACGCCCCGAAGTGACTGTACTTCTCTCGGTAAAATCCGTGCACTTTGAAATCCCAGTCCCGATTTGGTGTTTCTGTCGCCTTTCCTCCTCATTGTTACTTTGGATTGAATAATCGCTAATGTAGTAGACGTTGCAGTGTCGGGTGTCCTGCCGTGACCCACCTCGAGCATTCTAACCAAATCATAGCCGAGGCCCCAGCACTGCTGGAGCTTGACGACACCAAACGCGCCGAACTACCGGTCCAATTCTTGGAAGCCTTTCTGAATAGCGTGATTACACTAGCTAAGAAAATTCGGGAGCAACCGTCGGCACAGCAGATCCGGGGCAAACTAAACAGCTTGCGGCCGATCGCAGAGGACATCACCCGCATCAGAAACGCAGTCAACAATATTACTCTCATCTAATCTCAGAATGAAGCGACGGATGCTTGTCTTTTGGATGGTACCTGGGAAGGGACGAAAATTCTTCGAATGACGACAAAGTTAAGGAGCTACCACAAGGCTCAGGGTCACGTGCCAACAGTAGTTGCCGAACTCAAGATGTGGGCTAGTGTGTCAGGGACGCCGATAAGCCTGGTGAACATAAAGTTCTGGCACATGAAGTCATGTGATTTGGCCCATGAGTCACTCGTATAGAACCGATGGAGAGAGATATTGGAGAGCTTCTTCAGCCAGCTTTGGATTTCAATACTAAAGTATATTTATTGGTTTTTCCGAAAAAGTTAAGATCATGAATAAAGAAACAGTAAGCGGTTTCTGGCTAATTTCATCCCGCAACTCATACATCCAAGGCGTAGTTAGTCCTTCCCGTTAACTTACGTGATATATTAGGAGAAAACGCCACGTCAGCTTCACAAATCAAAGCGGGGTATTTGGGTACGGTTTATTGGGGTTCAAACGGGAAGGCTGAGTGTTCAGGTGAAGGAGGATGAACAGGGTGAAGAGAAAGCGGCACGGGCACTAAGCCCAACGAATCACAAAAAACCGGGTGAACACCGACATACAACAGAAGGGATTCGCTGGTGGTCACCCACCCAACTACTAACCTCCCGGCGTGTGGCTTAAGTACGGCTGAGCGGACGGGAAGCCCTGTTTTCCACACCCTGTGGTCGTATGTACCAGACTATTTCCAGTGCAATATTATATCCTCCTTTTTCTATCATATCTTCATAGCACAGGCATTCATTTATCATCCTTCCTGAGCCTTCCCTACAAGTATAAACACATGCCAGCCATAGATATTATTATATACATCGATTCAAGTGAAAACACAGGGCTATGGCCCTACTCGATTTACCCGTCCTTGGCCTGTGGGGCTAAGCCCAAAAGGCTGCCAAGGTCTCTCGAAAAGAGATATGTAGTAGTGACTACTTAAAGGAAGATAGGTCTCGTTGTCAATCTATATTGCGGGCTAGGGATAGGGAGGAGGACCCTTCTAAGCGTTTTCCTGCTGAGCATCACCGCATTACTGATATCTTCCTCGGCTACAGCTTCACATAAAAGTCGTACGGGATCACTTGGCTTAATAAGTTTGCGCGAAGATTATTTCCAACCCTCTTCGGCGTCACGCTAATGGAAATCTTCCCTGGACTGAATTGATGCTCTCACACCTAAACGAGTCGCTTGGGTCGGTCGACGCACTGAAGAGACCGCATAATCAGCCACATGACTTTCAAGCAGTTCACGAACACATATGATTGTGGGGCTTGCTATTGAAAAATCAAAACTAACAAATTAGAGCTTCGTCGACAAGGCCTTACTTTCATAATTGTATGGCAGAGACCGTTGAGCTTGGACATATTCCAGCATCTGCTGCTGGTACAAGCGTTGAGCCGATGATAATAAAACTATCACAGAAGAGAAGTTAAATTAATTCTCGATTCGGATGGAAGGGCAAGTCGTCCAAAAATGTTTGTCCGGGAGGATGAAAGAGCACTATTTGTGGGTGGGTGCAGAAAGAAAAACAAAAAGAACGACCGAGACGTGACTCGAACACGCAACCACTGCCACATCCACTACCGGAAGGCAGCGCGCTACCATTGCGCCACCCGGCCGCTTTTGATGAAAATGGGTAAAAGCTTTTGCAATATATTCCACAACGACTTGTACGACCTAGGAAAATCGAGCATTCGATGTTCCTCATCATAAGTGGTGTACTTGCTCTCCAAATAGTGCAAATGTGAGTTCCTAGCAGCTCTCTACGTGTGTCCTGACTAGTTACTATGGAAGTTGTGCTGAAAAATGGGTTGAACCAAAAATACAGTGTCGTCACTGTGCTACTGCTAGTACCCGGTATGTCCAAATATATAATGCGCAGACGGTGTATATGCTGCCCCACCAAGTGCCATGTGAGATTGTCGTGCCATTTCCCCAGAGATTGACACTGTCATCACCAACCGCCACCCTCCGCTGAATATTATCAACCAATAACAGGGTTAAATACTAAAGTGACCTGCAACAGCAGACCCTGCGCAGCCTTGAGACCTACCACAGTTGGCAAATGATGGCCCTATATGTCGCAAATAAATATGGATGGCCTTCCATGCATCCCTTTCATTTTACCATGCCACAGTGAACCCCACAAGCGCTATGTGCTTTGCGTCCGATAAAATCGAGCTTAGAAGACACCTGAGATCATAGACCATGATCGAAAGCAATGATCCTCGCATAGAAAGAATCGGTAGGGCTGAATCCCAAAAAGCTTAGTATAGACATATCTTGGCCGCACTCTTAGCTCACTGCATCTGTTAAATGATTAGCGAAGATCACCCCTGGCCACGTAAGTACGCAAAGATAGATGTTTTAGGTCGCTCGAAGTAGCTGACTTTTATAAGCTTAAGGACCTTTTTAGCCAGTATCAACCAGGGAGGAAACATATCGCACCGTACCATGTTTTAGATACGGCAAGTATCAGTCCCACAAACGGAGTGACCCGACCAGACCAATTCGAAAGCTAAGAACTGGGGAACCTGGAGCTTACCTAGCTGCATTCACTCCCCCTCTCAGCCACCAGCCTAATCAGCAATCTTTGTATTACTCTCATCCGCTCTCCCCATCCTGCTCGTCGACCCCTCCATCACAACTTCATCACCTCCCCATCACATTTCCTCTCATCCCCCAATTCCAGAACAAACTTATCACCAAGAATCCCCTCCCTACTCCAAAATGACCAACGAGGAACGTCACGAAGAGACCGGTCGTATGTACCATCACGTCCATCGAACGCACGATCATACTAACACAAGACCAGAATTCGGCCCTGTCCCCATCCCCATCGACACTTTGAAAGACTTCTACATGGGAGTCCTCAATAAGATGGAAGAAAGATACCACAAGCTCCCCAAGGCTCTCGCAGTTGAGCTCAAGTTCAAGGATAATGCCGGAGAAGGACGGTTCTCGCTTGAATTTCTCGTGAGTAAACATCTGCTTCCCTATGAGATTATCAAAGTCTGACATCTTGGATGTGCCAGTTGAGTGCCACCGAGGAGACCACCGCAGAACAGAGAACCACTACCTTTTCCACTATTCTTCATACAATGTCGGAAGAGTCGAAGTTTGAAGGATTGAACATGGACATCTGCGTCAAGTGTATCACTGTCTGAGATAAGCTGTGACAGATGGATTGATGGGGCGGGCTTCATCTACTGAATCGATCACTGACAATCTCGTGTTCTTGTGGGTTTGTGCATACTTCGGTACCAAAATACTGGCTCAAGAATGGCTATTGGGAAGTGGCAGAGAGTGGTTCTGTCTTTGTGATGATTGTGAAGCTCTAGGATGCAGGCCATACTAGTGGAGGAACTATCAGCAATACCATATGCCGTCTCTAGCCTGAAGGACGAAAGTTAGTTGATTGATTGAATCCATTCTCTACAGACTTTCAAGATCACACAGATACAAAAATTGGGATTCTCCCTGGTTGAAGTCATACATAAGCTTTCCTCATGGAACATACTAGGCGACGACAGGAAGTCCATATATCGATCTTAAACCCACAAAATCAACCCTTTTGTTGCAGTCTGATATCCAACTATGTAGTTCACCAGCAAAATACCCATCTTCTCATGCTTAGACAACCCATATAGCACTGATGGCGCCAATGCACTTAACCAGTCGCGGCAGAGTAATGGTTCGATGGCGGACTGAAGATTCACTGGGATACCTCCCCCTCTGGCCTGTAGGACCAACTATCGGTGGTACTCCAGACGCTATTGTTACCGAAAATATCATTTTCATAATTTAAATTCATATCAATGCAGTCGAGCGCCATAGGCTGGGGATCAATGTGTCGTTACTCGGTTAATGGGGTTGTTTTGTTTCATCTAGGTTAGAGCCGATGCACACTCTCTGGGTAGAAATACTTGCGACCGACGAAAAGGCGCGGTAGTCTAATTTCAAACCCTGTAGCTTGAGAAGAAGTAAAAACAACTATATGAAGTGAACACTAATAGAATTAGACTAGAGCATGGCGTAGGTAAAGCGCTAGAGAAAGAAAGTAAAAAAAGAGAAAGAAATCAGATAGCATGTCCTGGTTTCGATCCAGGGACCTCCGGGTTATGAGCCCGGCGCTCTTCCCCTGAGCTAACATGCTGGGTGTTATGAATAATACACACTTTTCTAATACTATCAAGCAAAATACAAGACACACGAAGGAGGCTGGTAAATGGCAACAGCTACATTGACAGGTGGTTGGTGCTGTATACGCGAGAAAATTGGTTGACATTCTCTTGAACCTTATTATATTGATTGCATATCATGCTATGGACAATGATAGTCAGCGCAGTTAACATTTCTGAAGATCGTGGATTTCAAGCTGTACCAAGATCTGCATAGATAGGCCCTTGTTGTGGCCCACGAATCCATCACCGTAGAGATGCTATTCACCTAGATCTATCACCCCAGCTGGCAGGCAACAACCCACGCCCCTTACTCATGATGGCCAGCTGCTGCCTGAACAGCCCCACTACTTTGCGCATGGCAGTGACACTGCCGTGTATAGTCTGAGTAGTGCCTCGCTCTGCCTTAATATTGAGCCTTGCAAATTGGTGCAGATGCCACCATCGACACCATTTAGGTGCATTGCAACGGCGCCATCGATCGCGATCAGCTGACCGAGACTTATTATTTATGTCCCTGTCGTTGTTCCTTACCGCTATTTTCTTTAAACAGAGTTCTGTCTTTCTATTTTGGAGACGTTTCTTTCTTTCTTCAGAGACTACGAGAAAATTGCCTATTGTTTACTCTTCGCATTACACTTTCTCCGCAAAGCTTGACAGCGGCTATGAAACTTCGTTCATATATCACCTGGTTTGATGATAATGACTACATCGGTCTGGAACTTGCGTTCCCGGGAGGCTCTACCTGGAAAATAGAGAGAAAGATCAAGGAAGCCGAAAACTTGCACACTCAAGGAGAATATGAGACTTGGAAATGTACGTCACAGGCACGAGCTACGTTTGTATGCAGCAAAGTTGCTGGAAATGGTCCACCCACAGCCCTTATTAAGATTCATATGCAGTACTTCTGCCCTACTTACTGTGCATAGATTGCTTTAAGCTAATTACAGAATGCAGAATTCCTTTCTTCAAAACTGCTACCGAGGAGCCTTCAGAACGCGCTAAGCAGGCAGACTCTGAAATCCCTCACCTAGCTAGTAGCGAGGTCAAAGCTCTCACTATTCTGGCCGAGTCAAAATGCTCTAGCTCACCATATTTGATTGACTCGATGCATCGACAGCAGACTGATGGATGGGTGCCCGGGGGCTATATTCACTATATCGCGATGCAAATACTCCCAGGTGTAACTGTGTGTGACCATTATGATGGTATGGAGCGTCAGGAGCGTGATGAGCTGCGAAAAGCATTCAAAAAGGCCTGGATGTAGGTTCTCGAACAAACTTGCCATACAAGGAAGCTGATCCAACCTCGTTCGCATATCTAGTGAATGTATGTCCTTCGGGGTGGAACACGGGGATTCTGCCTCACAGAATCTTATCTGAGATAGGGAAAGGCAGAAGTGGTCAGTAATTCCCCTTTCTGCTCATATATGATCAGAAACATTCAGTATCCCCTGACTTTTGCCACTCGCGTACTTATAAACTGCTTTATCTAGTTATTTGATCGATTTCGAGAATTTTCATCCCCCGACTACCAAGTCTAGAATCTGGAGGGATATCCAATATATAGGATGGCATCTCGCACAAGTCGGCGATGACTATGACTATGATGATATGATGAACTGGATATTATAAGTCACATTTCTGAAAACAAGACTAATGATGAATGATATTATCACCTCTCTTGCTTCCTTTCATTATATTAATAGTTGATATACACTAGTGCACAGAAATATTGAATCCTCATTCGCATGCTGCACTATGCTGCTTCAAGTCAATGCGCGATATTCGTAAGGAAATCAGCTGAGCGATCGAACGAAATGACTGCATAGAAGACGGCAAGGCTGTGGCTTCGACTTGAGAATATGGCGCTTGAACCACGCGCTGTTTAGAAGAGGTCCTGCTAGCGTGCTTAAACCGAAATAAGCTTGCATATTTTCCCTGCTAAACAATAAATTGAGGGGAGCAGATAAGACAGTGTTGAAATGCAGGACGCAATGATCAAAGAAAACGAAAGTATGCACATACCATGGGACTAGTCAGTGTGTTAAACGTACGTCAGATTCTCTATATAAATCGTGATAGCTCTGTTCAACCCTTGGCATTGAATGTTAGTATGATGATGAAGCTAATGTATTTCTACACAGGAAAAGAAAACCGAAGGACTAAAATGGAGCCACGTGAAGGCTTGCCGAAAGCTCATCCCCCGCCTTTGCGCTTTTACACACAACAGCCATCAACTATTCTGCTAAACACTCCAATTTTACAACCCGATAACCCGCAAGAGCAGTGAATGCCATTACCCACGGAAACTGGAGTTTGACTAATGATAATCCCCTCCAACATCATCTGGTTCGATGACGGTGATTGGCTGGGACTAGAGCTGTCCTTCCCGGGAGGCACCCGTTGGAAAGTCACAACCAAGATCAGGGAGTGCGAAGATCTATATTCTCAGAAAGATCATGAAGAAGGAGGAATTGTCTCTGAGGCTCGTGCGGTTTTTGTTGCGTCAAAAGTTGCCGGGCAAGCCCCGCCGACCGCAGTACTTAAAATCCACATGCAGTACGTCCTCCAGATAGCGTGTTCTGTAGTCAGTAGACGACTGAACTGACAGAGGGCATAGGGTACCATGGTGGGGAAGTGCCACTAAAAGATCATCCATCCGGGCTCAACAGGCAGTTGCAGAGCCCTCAGCAAGGAGCGAAAACGAAGTTGAAGCGCTACGGCTCCTAACAGAAGCAGGATGCTCCAGCACCCCAGCTCTAATTGATTGGATGAATCGCGAACAATCTCAAGATCAATGGATCCCTGGTGGGTATATACACTTCATTGTAATGGAGATGGTACCGGGTGTCGATGTGTGCTTCATTATTGATGATATGGATAGAGGTGAGCGGGATGAGCTGAGAGCAGCCTTCAAACAATCATGGCTGTAGGTCACCCACATTCCCTTCCTTGGAAGTCTCAGTCTAATCGAGCATTTAAACAGGGAATGCATTTCTTGTGGGTTGACAAATCTCGACCGTGGAGCAAAGAACCTTCGGTGGGATGCGGCAAGGAAAAAGTGGTAAGTCCTACGTGGTGTAAGGACGAGTTGGGCAGCTGTACCCGACACTTCGGGACAAAACTGACTTCACGGATCTTCTAGTTATATAATCGATTGGGAGAGGCACTGTGCTCCAGAGGAGGACGGTGATTCAACTTGGCGTGATGCCAACTATTTATCGTGGCATTTGGCATGGAAGGGACCATGTGGAACCCGCAATGACATGTCAACCTGGGAATTATGAACATAGAGTTACATTAGACTCGACTCATTTACATTGTTAGATGCACTGATAGGGAAGCGATCTCGGGTTTCCTCTTCAGAAAAGGATTGAGTTTGATATGCGGTGGGCCACTTTCCCCGTAGCCTGTTTAGTTGAACATCCCGGGTATATGCTCAGTTTTTCCCTTGCATAATAGTGTCAACGATATCAATCGCTCAAGCTATTATCTACATAACAAGCTAACAAGATCTATAAATACAAATTCGGCTGTACATTTACCTACTTACCCCCCGTCAACTTAACATAAGCGGACCCAAACTCCTGTTCCCACTTATCCACAAACTCCCGACTCATACCCGGAGCAATAACCGCATCCCCACGCTCCAAACCCTCCTTAAAGAAATCCATAAACTCCTCCACCGTCAGCGCATTAGGATTCTTATGCTTCTTGTTATCATCGGGATCCTCCCGTTCCCGATGCAAATCCGTCCCCACCGACGGCGGCGCAACCTCTACAACCTTAATCTTATCATACCCGCCACTGGCCAACTGCGACCGCAAATTCATCGACCAGAAATGCAACCACGCTTTCGTGCCATTGTACACGGGATTAATCACCGAGAATGGAACAAATGCCAGAATGGAAGAGACGTTCATTATCATGGCGCTTTCTTTACTCTTGAAATGCTCCAAAAGCCCCAGAGTCAAGTGCATAGGCCCTCTGATGTTGATATCGATTTCCTGGTCGGCTTTGGTAAGGAAGTCTGATGGGTCATCTTTAAGGACTTGGAGGGGCCGCTGGACGCCAGCGTTATTGATTAGACAGTCGAGATCGGGGTGCTTCTTGAGCAGAGATTCGATGAATGTTGGTATTTGGGATGTGACTCCTGTGTCGAGGACGAAGTAACCCGTCGCTCCGATTTCCTCTGCTGTTTGGCGTAGCGTGTTCTCGGTTCGACCGGCGATTATGACTTTCTTGCCCTTTTCCAGGAGATAGGAGGCGATAGCTTTGCCTAGGCCGCCTCCGCCGCCGGTGACGAGGGCGCAGGAGAAATCCAAATTCGACATGGCTAGCAGTTATTTAGATTGATGAAATGCAATGTCAAAAGTATGTAGGGTTTGTAGGTATGGCTGGGATTTGAATGTAGTGGATTGAGCAGAAAACTTATCTCACTGTCTGTGACGTAAGGTTTATTGCTCCAATCCAGATTTGGCAGATATTTTGTGTTTGTCTCGGACTCGGAAGTGGTTTGCCGAGCCTTCTCGCAAGCATGTTGGACCGTCCTCCGAGATTCGGTGTGACTCTCCGAGATCTCGGGAAGGCTCTGAGGCCGAAATCACGCCAGTTGGGGATTGTATTTGTCAGACATTCCAGGGTCTTCCACTTCTCCAAATTCTCCAAAACTAGGCGTTGTTTGCACGTTTCCAAGATCAGGGTCTTCTTGGCGTCGCACACGATCACGGAGTATGGTCCACCCCTGTGAGTCGTCGGTCTTGGTAAAGAAGGGGTAAGATAGCGCTGATTGTGTCTTCGGTTAGATGTATCCACGAACAATTTCATCAATATGGGGGATTATGACTGTGTTGATGATGGTTACTAATAACCGACGTCAGATAATACCCATAAGCCTGTATTTAGCATTTACACATGTTTCCAGTGGCACACACTCGTAGTAACACTAAGAGTTGCACTTACACCCTGCAGAAGGGCAAGATTCCGCTAGATTGCAATGCACAACGAGAGATCCACTGTTGAAGTTCATTTTGTTTTCTTGGAAAAAAAAGTGAAATAATAATAATAACCAATCAATAGTAAGTATAACTAAGCTTTGCTTCATAGCGTTTAACAACATCATCGTGAATTAACATCAATTCTCAGTAGAAGTAATCTCAAAATCTCCTAGAAACAGCCACTTCCCCTTCTTCTTCAAATCAGCACCCTTCCACTTATCCAATGATCTCTTCGGGAAGAACCAGCCAATACCATCCTCCTCGCCCTTCAAGACGGGCAACATGCTGTGGTCATGAGCAACAAGGACCAGAACCTGCTCACTAGCGTCGAACTCCGCTATTCCATCCACAGTCCAGCAGCACTGGTCAGAATCATGAGTATACTCTGGAGCAGATATAAAGAAAGGCGTATCGGTACTTCCTGACTTGTACCCTGGCTGGGTGAATATATGACCAGGACAATTTCTTTCGTACTGCGGAAGAGACGGCAATGGCGAGGGCTGAATGATCTCCGGGATAGGGCTCTGCTTGGATGGTCGGAACTCGCCGGGATGGTGAGCACAGTCCTGGTGAAGTGTTCAGTGAGTCCAGCTGCATCACTACACAAGATAGCATAGGGAGAAAGTAAAGTGGAAAGACCTACCCCTCCCATCAGAATAAACGAATCAGGCTGTACTCTCGCGAGGCCGCACATATGTTCTGGAGTGTGACCTGGTGTGTGCAGGAGATAGAAGCATCCATCGCGAAACCAATCGATTGCTTTGAATCTTCCAATGGTTACCTTCCCAGGGTGCTGGTCAAAGTCCATCTCCCGCAGAGACCGTCCTCTCCAGTCGGACGATCTGACCGGCGCATCCGGCTTTTCTGGGTATCCTGGTGCAAATCTGCTGGTGAAGGTTGGCCCCACGACCAAATCTGTAGTACCGGGAAATAAGGAAGGGTCACCAGTGTGATCAAAATGATAATGAGACCAGATAATGGCGTTGATTTCCTCCAATGGGACGCCATTCTCAACAAGAACGTCAGAGACGCTGTGAGGGGCGTAGACTTTCCAATCACTTTCAGGGTCTGTGCAACGGTCCCTGAAGGGTGGAGCAAGATTCTGAAAGTCTTTTCGAAGGGAGAGGTCAAACAGTAATCTTTGTCCGGAAGGGTGAGTGATCAAAAATGAATACGATGGTACTGCCAGCCGGTCATAGCCAGGGATCTTGGGAGTCATGAACTGTTCTGCAGGAAGGTCCAGCCGTGCACCACTGCGTACAGGGTTAGTGGCGTGGAAGGAATTAAGAAGGAAAACAGAAGCTGTACGTGTCAATGAGAGAAACCGAAACGGTCTCTGTAGAGGGTGGCAATTTGAGTTTTGACTGCAGAGCTACCATATTGATTCAATCAGTTTAGCATAGGGAGTGTATAAGTTTTTCCTATTGATGGTCGGAGGAGGCAAATGGTCGACTGCCAACTTGTGCTCAAATACTACGAATCCTATGGTGCGAATAGAACAGCATTTGTAATGATGCCACGGCGGGGTTTCCAACAAGTGCGGCGTCATGGTTGCCACTTTCCACCCTAACAGTTCCGCTATAATAGGATCACTATAAGCAGGAAATCCTGATTGACCGACCTGAATGTATGTCCTTCATTTGCCATGGTATGTGTGGAAATGCAGGTGCTTCATTCCAATGACTGGCCGGTATAGTGATCTTCGAGAATATTAATTTTCCCACAAAGTCGTCTCACATACTTCATTGGGGCCATTTACACCAAGCACTTGACGACCATGTGAGAGTTTGGTCTCCAATTTGGAGAAGATGCAGATCGTCTACGAAACGTTTATTGCTGAATTAGGCTAATTCGCCTGTGAGTAGACGATGGATTTGCCCCGATTTGTGCTTAGATAGCCGGTCCCCACGAGTTGGAGAAATGGATTATATTGTTGTTCGGTTCTCGCGGCCGATCGCTAAGCTTCCCCTCGGCTGTGGCCCGGAGAACTCTGTAGGTACTTCCAGAGCTGAGGCAAAAGAAACGCTGAAAGGTTTCCTGGAAAAGTTCTATTGACAGCATATTAATTCTCCAACTGCCGCAATTCTACTCATCTACGGGTTCCAAGTAACTTAACTATTCGTTATCAAATAACGGCATTCGAACTCCCATTCGCATATATATTAGTTTCACATCCTGTCTTCTTCGCTTCAATTATCCCCTACATGTACATAATGGGCATGCTCGGGTTAAATCAGATAAATGCAGTTCTCATGGGGACATCTGATAGCATATTCAGAGATGCCTTCCTATTGGCATCTCAGAGGGAGAAGTTGAATACCAATATTATCCGAAAGAAGTTTACCTATCAAGTCGAAATCTCAAAGCAATAACATGATACACTGTACAAATAGCTATGCTGCTAATGATTGACACTCCGAGAAAGGGCACTTGTTGAACGTTGCTGAGGAGGGAAAACGCCACTTTAATTGTGAGAGATGTCGGAACTATTCTATCGGCTATCTAGTGCCATCATACAACGGTTGACCTAGATGACGCTAACGTACTTAAGGCAACCCTAGCGCAAAATTGAGCCAGCGAGGATGGTGAATCCTATCGTGCTACGCATCGGGGCCTCCCATAAAGTGAGTCATAATCGCCGGATTTCCAAGCTCAAGGTGACTCGGTCAAATCTGAGAGGATGAGGTTGGGGGGGAGTTAGAAACTAGATATCCGCTGTTTTAAGTAGTTAGAAAATACTTGCGCGGTCGTTTTGCAGCTGTACATACGAATAATGGGGTATGAGAGTCAATGCGGGAATGACTCGCAAGGAACGATTCTCTCAGATATAGCCTTTAGGCTATTTGACACTACCCATCTTGAAAAAAGCAATTGTTCTTTCTCGTCTCTGACATACATAGTCACCCTGTGACATATATATCCTCGCCCCCCCGGAAAGCTGTCAATAAAGTGCTCTAATGATCATGAGCGTACACTCGAGGTCCAAATTAAAAGGCAAAGACGATGTTGTACCCGCAACATAGCAGTCTCCACTTTAAATAGGCTACGATTGCATGACCCGCAAAAAGCTTAAGAAGCCTGATGTGGGACGCTTCTGAATGACTGATAAATTGTATAAGTGACTGCTATTATTATAATGCAATATATCACGACGATGTATCTACGATGGCATCTGTAAGGCTAGCATTCAGACTGCGAACTTCGAGCAGTAACGCCAGGAGTGCTGAGCTGTTTCTATGCACTTCTTGAAACATATGCTGAGACCAGCAAAGAAAGCATATGGCTCAGGAGCTACCTAGTGGTATGAAGTGGACACGCCAGATGAATTAGCGCTGTCAGTTAAGGGAAGTACATGGCCGTTATGTGGTTAAGGTATCTCCCGGCCATTCACGAACACGGCTTCCCTCATGGTGGCCTCACACGTAGTTAGGAAATGTCTCACTGTACTTGCCTGACTACCTCGTGGTATCCTTCGATCATCTTCCACCTGCGGTTAAAGAGTGCAGTAGTCTAAATGGGGTTTACTGACCACCTTCCAGTGAAAGAATGTCACTTGTTTCCTAATATATATAGTACGGGACATGGTCGACAAAAGTCAAACCTGCCATCTTCCATTAAACCCCCTACCAGCGGTAGATTCCGAGGGGGCACACATTCCTCTGGCCGCCACACATGGGTGTTCAAAGGACCTTAGTTATGAGGATCTTCAAACCCGCTTCAAACACCTGCAGAACTGATCCTGCGGCACCCCACCTGCAGTCTGGACGCAAGGAAATGATCCCGGGTTGATATTCCTAAACGGTAGTTGTATCCGAAGTTGAGCTCTGCGTGGGTCTCTGCAACGGAACAAACTCTGGAATCGGGGACTGGAAGACCACACCACTATGATAAACAGTTCTCAATTCCGCAATTCTTTAATCCCCAAAGTAATTATCTCGTAACTTTTAAGTATTGCGAAAGACGCAGGTAGCGCAAGACAGAGTATAGTTAGTTTCCAAAAGAGCCAAATGTGTTGTGTGGAGTCGCTATAATTGATCTCGGACAGCGTCGGAATCCGAGTATTTTTAGAGTTAAGCGAACCCGCAACCCGGACCATAAAATGACCTCCGATGTCCGACCATGCGCCCCTACAGGAATGAGGGTTCAATCTTAACTCACTATCATCTCCCTGTTGGGCGAGATATCTGCAGAGTGTTTGTGGGGCTAGAGTACGTAACCACAGAGAATCGAGTTTATTCACAAGCCCTGCTGCTGCTGGTCACAGACTTAAGCCAGGGCAGCCAGGAGGGTTGCCACCCACTCCACATGGGTTCTTTACACACCGAACCATATATCGCGCAAGGTTCACGCAATGGATGTCGTAGACTTGCTCAATTTGAAACTCTGGCTTGAAAGAGGTGACGCCTCCTGAACGGACCTTGAGGGATAATTGCATCCGATACCGTCTTTGAAGATGGATAAAAAGCAAGTGAATCCCGCCTCTTCAGCCAGGTCCCATCAATCATCATAACATTCCTTATCTACTCCCCACATTCGCTACCATAATGCTTCCTAAACTCGCAACCTTAGTGCTCGCACCCGCCTTGGCGAATGGCGTTGCTGCCGCTGCCGAGCCCTTGTATAAAAAGCCCGTCAACATCCCCGGTTACGGCTACGTGCAAGGAAAGGCTGCTGTCAACTCCAGCGTGTCCGAGTACATTTCCAACTGGGAGAACATTTCCTTCTTTGGAGGTATTCCTTTCGGTGCTGATACCTCTGGCGCAAACCGTTGGCGCGACCCCCAGCCTGTCGAGCCCTGGAATGGCACTCTCAATGCGACTGAATTCGGTGCTATCTGCCCTATTACTCTCTCTGTCCTGGCAGATTACGCCCAGAGTGAGGATTGTCTGAACCTCAACATCTGGACTCCCGCTACTTCGCCCGATGAGAAGCTTCCCGTGGCCATCTGGAGTTATGGGGCCGGAACGGCGCCCCCGCAGACCACCTACAACGGTGCGGGTGTGGCCGACAAGGGAATCATCTTCGTCTCTTACAACTACCGCAACGGTGTATTCGGCTTCATGGCACACCCCGAGTTGACCGAGACTAACGGCCGCAACGCCTCGGGCAACTGGGGTGTCCTCGACCAGTATGCGGCGGTCAAATGGGTCCACGAGAACATTGCGGCCTTTGGCGGTGACCCAGATCACATTTCCGTGATCGGCCAGTCTTTCGGCGCTGCGGCCACATACCACATCGTCAACAGCGAGTTGACTGCCGATCTGGGCATTGTCAACGCTATCTCGGAGTCCGGTGTCCGCTCTCCCAATGATCCCAACACTGGTGTCTTCGAGTGCGCTTACACTACCTTGGATGATGCTGAGACCATGGGTGAGGAGATCGTGAACTCCCTGAACGTCAGCTCCATTGCCGAAGCACGCGCCATTGACACCACCACCCTGCTTGACTCGACCAGCACCTACAGCCTGGAGGTGAAGCCTGTTCTCGATTACTACGCCATCCCATCCAAGTACATCAACACCCTCGAGAAGGGTGCCGGCAACAAGGTTCCCTACATCACCGGAAACAACGCCAACGAGGACGGAGCCTCCGCCACCGTCAGCACCACCGTTGCGGCATATAAGTCTAGCTTGAATTCCAGCTACGGCGACTTCGCCCCCCGGTTTTGGGCCCTCTACCCTGCTGATAATGACACCCAGGCTGGCGAACAAGAGGACCAGATCGTCCGTGACATGTTCCGCGTCAGCAGCTGGCAGTACATGAACGGCTTCTCCAACTCTGCCGACCAGGTCGACACCTACACCTACTACTGGAACTATGGCAGCGCTGCCCATGCCTCTGAGATTGTCTACGTCTTGAACAACCTGTGGGCCCAGGGTGAGGACTACTCCGAGGAGGATTACTATGTTGCCAATGTCATGAGCAGCTACTGGGCCAACTTCATGAAGACTGGCAACCCCAACACTGGCGGCTCCTATGACAACGGAACCCTCCCCGCCAAGTGGAATGCCAACTCGCCTTCCAAGAACGAGACTTTCTTGGTCGGTGCTGTCTACGAGACCATGGATACCGCTGCCACTGAGCGTGTCCAGTTGATCCTGGATTACTTTGCTGCCCAGACTCCTTACTAGTGTCGTTTATGAAATCTACGATGGGCATTCAGAGTCACTTGTGTACAATATGTCCATTTAAATCATTTATTGTATTCTTTACTTTATCTCCTGTATCTATGTATCTTTCTTGTCGCTCGTTTATCCTGTCAGTTGAGCCAACCATTTTAATTAGGTGGAATAAATTTCGATGCTACAATGAGTACAAGTGCGCCTCCTTTCTAACCCATATACTCCTCCGTAAAAGAATATTTCATCCCGTATATTGAATTTTGAAGTAGACATTCTCCGAAAAATACTCAGAAGTTTCCTTAACCTAACTCCAAGTAGCGCAAATCTTATCCCTTTCATTCATCGAAATGGCATTTGTGCTACTGTTCCGCCATGACACAAATAAGCATGCGTCCTCAATAAAGTTTTCTACCACTAATTTTCATTACTGGCCCATCCATGAAAACATGTTGAGAACCGGCCTATTCCCTATAGGGCAAATATCGCCAGGGTTATCGCACTCGACTTAACGCCGAGAAGTTCGGGTGGAACCGCGAATCTCGGCGGCACAAATTTCGGTTCAGAGTGGAGATAAGTAGAGATCCCATCGCGGATGCTGATTCCGCTTGCCGCGCGGCGAGGTCTGGCTAAACTTAATGGGGGTACAGGGCTGTTTCTATCTCCGCGGGGTGGTCCAAGTATAGTGCTAATCAGGTTTCCACTTTCCACTGTTTTACGTTCATAGAGTTGTGCGTAACTAGTGTGGTCCAGACCCTGTGTTAGAGAGTGTCTTTTAGAGTCGTCTTTCTGTTTTGGACGAGGTGGTGAACCATGTTATGAGATTTGGATACGGTTTGACTCTCTTTGCGGTTGAGTGTAAACAAGTCAGAAGATGCTGTACAATACCCTGCGTAATTTCCAGCACTGTGAACCAATTGATGGCTAGTTGGTTTGCGTATAACCCGGTTATAGGCGATAGCGCTCACGTGATGCGATGTTTAGCCCCCCAATGGCGCCCGCAGCCTTTCGGGAAACCGCCACCTGCACGTTGGCTGATCCGGAAATTGTGCTTTTTGACTTTGTGACTGCACATCTGACTGGCTGTCCCATCTGAACGAGTATAAACTGTGCTCAACTGGTATTTGAGATCCTTTTTGGTCGTCCCCAATCATGTCGCCATCCCCTCAGGAGCTAGCTTCAAGGCTGAATCAATCTGGTAAACAACGACAGAAGCGATGGGTCACTAGGACCAGAACAGGGTGCATCACTTGCAGGTATAGAAGTTCTTATCATTCTTATGGGTGGGTGAACTTGCTGACTCGAAAGAATCCGGCATATTAAATGCGACGAAACCAAGCCGAGGTGGGTAGGATCTCTTCATTGACTGAATCGTACTCATTGGCAGATGGATAATATAGTTGCCAGAGATGCACATCCACTGGTCGGAAATGCGATGGGTATCAAGACCCGCGCGCTAAACAGATTACCCGCCGCAAAAGCAAGACGGCCCAGCCAGATGGTCTGCTGCAAATGCCCTCTGCGTGGAGCTTTATTGGCGGTAAGCCAATGAATCATGAACATTTTCACTACTTTGTAGTTGTTACTGCTCCCACCTTGACTGGCTACTTCAACTCGGGATTTTGGTCCTACACGTTGCCCCAGATTTCATACTCCTATCCGGCTCTCTGGCATGCTATTACCGCGCTGGCTTCTTTGCATAGAGACTTCTTGGAAGATGTGGCGCCACTTGCTATTACGCAGGATTGTAGGACAGTCAGGGTTCGATTTGCGTTACAGCAACATACCAGATCTATACAATCCTTGAGGGAGTTGATATCCAAGCCGTGCTTGACGGCCCATGACAAGATGGCTGTTCTAGCGACCTGTATTATATTTATCTGCCTATTAAGTCTGCAGGGGTCTCACTCTCAGGCCATGGCACATGTGGCCAGTGCTATGGTCCTATGTCAGCAGTGGAATAGAGAGTTCCAGACCCATCCTCATGCATCTGAGACTATAGCTTCCGTCATGCTTCTTCTAGCCCAACTTGACAGCCAGGTCCGCCAGATCTTTTCGATTCAAGGGTTAATTGTCCCATGGACTACTGAGTTTAATTTACCTATCGCTGAAGGGTGTTTTACGTCCCTCGATGAAGCACACGTTTCTCTGGAGGTCAATGTCAACAACCGCGCATTGCAGCTTTTAACAAGCGGCTATGATACCTCTGCACCGGAAGCGCTTGCCAAGAAGGAATATTGTCTTCACGAACTTTATCGTTGGAACTCGAAACTGGAAACATATATCGCCATTTCACAGCACGAGACGGACAACACAGCCGTGAATGTTCTCTTCCTGCGCCGCTTGTACGCCAAAGTAATGCTGTCCTTGGACCCATCCAAAGGCGAGCTAGCACATGACGTCTTTATCGATGACTACGCGCAGATGCTTGACCTGGCAAGCAGAATCCTCGAGAGCCTGAACACTCCTGTAACGGTGGAGTTCGATCCCGGTTCGAGACACGCGCAACAACGGCACTTCAGTGTAGAAAGTACAGTGACAGAGACCCTGTTCCTGATCGGGGTGCGTTGCCGTGAACCGACGATACGAGGACGGGCGCTGGAGCTGATGAGGCTCTACCCACGCCGCGAAGGCATGTGCGGGACGATGTTAGCTCTGAAACTCGGGGAGACGCTTGCCGAAATCGAAGGGACAGCATGTCAAAACGCCCCACCGGGTTCGTGCAGCGATGGACCATGGGTGTGTGCTGATCATCGGGTGACAAACATACAGTGTAAAGATGTCTCTGATCGGAAAGTTGCCGTGCTGATGAGAACAGCTGGAGAGGAAAAGCGCGGTTTCGAAGGGAATTGGTTCGTATTCCATAAGACATGGTAGCTGCATCGTCCGTTCCCATTACTTACTAGGTAGAGAGCGGTATCATCTCTACTTGCAAGGATATAGAAGAATTGCTATGAAGTATACCTGTTTCAGGATAAGCGTCAATTGATATTTAGGAATCCATGATTAATTTATCAGGTGTTGATAACTATCTATTGATGCTATCGGCACTATCGGCATTCGGCCCGACCGAGGCTTGATTATCTGGCCAGCTTATCAGGGTTTATCGGGTTTATCGCCTTCGCTTTCCGCTCGTTTCCCCGCAATTCCCCGCTCGCGATGAGGCACGTATAAAGTCAATCAACAGCCCCCAGACAAGGTGCTTTACGGCAATCCACTTAGGGAGGAGAAATATATACATACAGAAACCGTTTACAATGGCTCAGAAGACACACAACTACCCCCTTCAATCCACCGAGGTGATCAACGAAATAGGCAAAGTCATCGACGATGCCAGCGAGGAGCTACGCAGGCTGAATCTCGAGGTCATTATTCCACCTTCCGATCTACTTCGAACAACATTGACGGTTACAAAACGACTAGATATTCAATAACCCCGAGATCGGATTCCAAGAAGTCAAAGCAAGCAAGTTACTCTCCGATTGGCTCGAAAACCGCGGCTGGACCGTTCAACGTGGCGTCTACGGGGTCCAAACCGCGTTTGAAGCACGATTCTCCGTCAAAGAAGGCGGTCGAACCGTATGCTTTAATGCAGAATATGGTATGCTCTTACACAAATTAGCCCAGAGGAAACAACGAGAAAACAGACTGACCGTCCACCCCACCTCCAATAGACGCTCTCCCTAACATCGGCCACGCTTGCGGCCACAACCTAATCGCAACCTCCGCCGTCGCCTCCGCCGTCGCCATCGAACACATGCTCAAAGCACACAGCCTCCCCGGCACCGTCGTCGTAATGGGCACCCCTGCGGAAGAGTCCCAAGGCGGGAAATGGCTGATGGCACAAAACGGCGCGTGGAAGGGCTTCGACTCCTGCGTCATGACGCACGGCATGCCGGATCACAGCACTCCAGTTTGCTGCACCAAGGCATCGTGGAAACTGCGCGCCAAGTTTCATGGCAAAACTGCGCATGCGGCAGCGGGACCATGGACGGGGAGGAATGCGTGCGATGCGATTGTGCAGGCATATAATGGGATTGCGTTGCTGAGGCAGCATATCCAGAAGAGTGAGAGTATTCAGGGGTGTATTTTGGAGGCGGGCAAGGCGGCGAATTTAATTCCCGACTATTCGGAGGGTGTATTTAGTGTTAGGGCCAAGACGGTTAAGGAGGTTGAAGCGTTGAGGGAGAGGGTCGAGGGGGTGTTCAATGGGGCAGCGGCGGCGACGGGGTGTAGGGTTGAGATGAACTGGTGAGTTATCATTCTCCTTCCATTGATTTTATATGGCTTGTTTTTGTTCAAACTGGTGATAGTGATGCTAATTGTTGCAGGGTTGCACTCTATGAGGACGTCGTGACAAACGATACTCTTGCGGAGCAATACAGACAATACATGCTGCAGCACCTGGGCTTGCAACCAGAGCAGATGGTACCTTTGAAGGAAGCCAGGACAGTGCACGACTCGGCAGGAAGCTCGTAAGTTTTTCTTCCCTTCTCTTTACATATTCAGCCGAGGCTAACTACACTACAGCGACTTCGGAAGCTGCTCGTACATCTGCCCCGGCATCCAGGCCATGTTCGACATCAAGGCACCCGATATTCCACACTCCGTTGTTTTCCTCGAGTCCGCAAAAGGTGATGTGGCGCATATGGAGGCGCTCCGGGCCGGAAAGGCCAATGCGCTCATTACTCTGGATGTTCTGACGAATGATGATTTCGCTCAGAGGATGAAAGATGAATTTAGGGCGGCAATGAAGGAAGCTGGACGCTTGTCTGAGTGATTAGGCTATAGTGGATGAAAAGTGGTCTGTAACGAATAGCTGGGATACCATTACGCGTCACATACCATGTAAGCAGCTACCAGATTTCCAGTGCAGAATATAGCAAATACCCCACACCGCAATCGTATTGAGGTCCAAGAGAATACCAAACACTTGAGAGAAAATTGTTTCTGTTTAAGCCGGGCAGTCATTACTTTCCGATCACCCGAGTTTGCGTAGAAAGGACTGTATCGGCTTAATGGCAACCGACGTTAATAGCTGTTGCTGGATAACTTGTAATGCTTGTTGATTTTGCTTCTGCGGATGATTGGTAAGCAAGTAAGTGTCGACTGAGTAGACTTAATCGTAGCTTTCAGGCGTTTTCTACCTTCTGTCTGCCTTTGTTTGTAGACCTAGTTACTAGACTTGCAGTGTTCGAATACCATCCTCTACAACATCCATTGTAGACACTTTTTGCATCAGGCACTTGTTCACCGTTAATAACCGGAAAGAATGCTGCGGTGGAATGGATCGCCAAGCAAGCCTTAAATTTGTCAGCAAAGCTTGTATTGTCACATGACTTTCAGCCAGCATTGTGAGGTAATGATTATTGAATGACTTGGAAACGAGATACTACTACTAGTTCCTCGGGTGATATCAAGTCGTGCTGCAGCTTCCTCTATTGGAGCAATAGAGCCACACTTTCCTGTGAGGTGACGGGAGCAGCTTTTATATGATACCCTACCCGAGAGGGGAAGACAGAGGATGAACAGAGGATTCATTGCCCAAAGCCGCCACAACCCATAATTCTTGTAAAACGTTTCTGGGGTATGGGCAAGTCATGGCTCGAAATAGCCAGAAATATGTATACCAAAAACAGAAAAGTTCAAAGACATCTTAGCTGCATATTTGTAAACTGTGTTGGGGGATGCTTTGACTGTATCAAGAAGGCTGGTATTGATTTCTTATACATTATCTGCGAAGATATTGTGCACATCGTTATCTTGTCAATTGCTCTAATGTGTCTTTGACGGGGATGTACAGCCTTTGGTATTGGACTATCTCTTTGGGCGCGCCGAAGTCCACCTCGGGCCACAGCTGTTACTATATAATACACCAGCCTGTCAGCTGTCGTTGAGGGTATGGAGATCAGAACTGCTCCTGATAGTCCTGTAAATATTTGAGACAAGCTCTTTATATTTTCTTGGTTATATGTAAGATTGCTATATCTTATTTACAGGCAAGACTTGACATCTGACAGACTTGCAATTCCACTGTACTGCCTAAGAAGCACATATCTACTAGTGGTCTGCGTAAGATGTCTTTGGAGGTGATTGATCAGCAGCCCCTCGACAAACGCCATTGTGTAAGTCTAAGTCAAACATAATCATGAGATCACTTTGACAAAGGGATCTCTTAAGAACAAAGATAAAGTGCGTAAGCTCCCACATACCAGTCTGATCGACACTGTATAGGTGAAGATCTTATCTGGCTCCTGCAATGGCAACGCCTAGTGTATCTATCGGCAGTCATATGTTACAAGGCTTACACGCCCAAGTAAGAAACTGAGGCATTCGCGTCGTCTGTGGGTGATTGGTAATCAGCCCACCTCGCCCTACATGCTACGACCCTGGGCTGATCACTTGGGCAGAAGGAAAAGCCTCTCCACTCTCCGTAACCCTCTACCTGAGTCCTCAAACTCTGAGAGATCCATTCTGACCGTCTGCTTACACATATTCACCCACCCAGATATCTTCCATCATCCACAATGCATACGACCGAGAAGATACCCAGCTTCCTATCTCGCCGGAAACCCAGCAATGATTCAGAACACGTACCCCCACCACCCGATGGGGGAGTCCAAGCCTGGACCCAAGTCGTGTGTATGCACTTCGTATTCTTCAACACCTGGGGGATCACCACTAGCTTCTCCGTCTTTGAGCAATTATACACCAAGACCCTACCACAGTCAGCATCCTCTATCTCCTGGATCGGCAGCGTCCAGGTATCTCTCCTGTTCTTCCTGAGCGCCCTTGCCGGACGCGCAACAGACGCCGGCTTCTTCAGAGTCATGTACCCACTCGGGGTCCTGCTCCAGCTCGTGGGAATCTTCATGCTTTCTCTGTGCAAAACCTACTGGCAAATCTTCCTCGCTCAGGCGGTATGCATGGGTCTCGGCAATGGACTTACCTTCAGCCCCGGACTTTCAGTCATGTCCGCCTACTTCATGAAAAACCGAGCCTTTGCAGTGGGCTTGGCTGCGTCTGGTGCAGCAACAGGGGGTTTGATATACCCCGTACTCATCAACCAATTGCTCTATAATCACCAGATAGGCTTCGCATGGACAATACGCGCAGCAGGGCTTCTCATGCTAATTACCCATATCTTTGGCCTTGTTTTCTTCAGACCCCGTCTTCCGCCCCGGACCACCGGCCCTCTCATCGAACTCGGCGCATTTACCGAGCCACCTTTCGTCTTCTTTACCTTATGCTACTTCTTCACTTTCTGGGGCCTGTACTTCGCCTGGTTCTATCTTGGCACCTTTGCCCGAGACCGTCTCGGCATCGCGGATACACAGAACCTGCTCCTTGTGTTGAATGGAGTCGGCATCGTCGGACGTATCGGGCCGAGTATAATTGGTGATCGATGGACGGGGCGATTAAACATCTTGATCCCCATCACTCTTTCATGTGCGATTCTGATGTTTTGCTGGATAGCCGTCAGTACTGTTGCAGGGCTGTATGCGTTTGTTGTTGTGTATGGGCTCGTGGGTGGCGCCGCGCAATCGGTGATCCCTGCGACGGCGACGACCATGACGCCGGATATCAATCGGACGGGTACAAGGCTGGGAATGATCATGAGTATTGTGGGGTTTGCTACGCTAACTGGGCCGGCTATCGAAGGGGCGTTGATCGCTACCGATGGGGGGAGGTATGTGGCGGCTCAGATTTTTTCGGGTGTGAGTATTCTGCTGGGCGTGTGTGCGGTTGCGGCGGCGCGGGTGGCTAAGGCTGGGTGGGGGTTGGATGTGAAGGTGTGAGAATTGCTGTGAGTGGGCAGTTGGATAGGTTTGGAACTGGATGCCTTGCATTTTTAGTTCTGGCTGGGGGGCTGGCTGAGAATGTGGGATTCTTTCTTTCGTCATTGTCGGATCAACGGTACCTGTTGATAAGCAAATCCCGACATTATCTGAAAGGGTGGAAGGGTGAATGCGGCTATACATGGAAGTAAATAAAGACAGATCAATTCGATAATGGAATAAATATCGTGGTATCATATAAAATTGAGCGCTAGAACTCTGTCGCAAGGAGAGAACCTCAATTCCCAATAAGTTGTGAGAGCTTTGCCTTCCAGTCTTGAACAAGCGCCTGAGCCTCCGTCGTCTCATGTCTCGAAGTTTGTAATTCCGCATTCAAAGCTTCGTTTCTAGCCCGTAGCTCCTGGATCTCCTTTTTGGCATTCTCCAGTTGAGTAGCCGTGGCTCGCAGTATTTCCATCTCTTGTTCTGAAGAACGTCGATAGTCCAATTCTCTGCGTAGAGCGATGATACTGAGATCGCGAATTCTAATAGTTTGATTATATTTTGTATTCTCGCTGTGTAGCTCCTCAACTTCCCTCCTGAGGGATTCATTCGACTCGAGCTCTCGGTATAGAACCGACAGGGCTGTATCTACTTCCGTTGGCAGGTTTGCATACCGAGACTTGCTCTGACGTCGCGGTCGTTGGGGTGTTCCGATATCGTCTGTGGCTTCATCATCATTACCAAGGAGGTTATATAGTGGTTTGGGGGTAGTAGAGTCGCCAGCCGATATATCCTGTCTATCACCCGTTCGAGCTTGCTGTACTGAAGAGACACCTGAGGGTCTGCCCGAGGTGCCAATATGAGAGAGTGTATTTGACGAAGGATTTGTGCCTGGATCAAGCACTGACGTAGCCGGAATTGCAGCAGATGCAGAATCTTCCTGTTCTACCGGCGGTGGTGAACCCGGTGGTGTCAATGGAGGAGGAGCGGTATGCCAACCGCGCCGGACGCATATGGGACAAAAGAGTGAATCTCGGGAATCGCGCAGCCAACCTGCTGGAATACAATCAGCATGGAAGGCGAGTCGACAGGTTGAACATGACCCGAGCCTTCCCCCATCCGCTTGACAAATACGGCAGTAATCTTCGTGTGCCGATCCATTTCCTGCGCGATATGAGTGAGCACCAAGGGCGACTTAAGGAGACCGTAGACGGAAAGGAATGCACTTACGCCTCCATTCTTTGTATTCATGTATCTGGGTTCCAAGGGATTGCTTTTCAACCGCAGCAAGGGTGTCAGACCATGACGTGGTTCGGGGCAAGAGCAGTTCGTCAGGCTGGTTGAGACTTTCCTGTGTCACGCGTTGACGGCCAGTCCTTGTCGGATTGGTCCTTGGGGACTTCACTGGGGATGAGCGAACGGAATGTCTTTCGCCTTGTGCAGCACGCGCAAGACGTCCTGTGCGTGTTTTTCTGACGGCCATGAGTTTAGTTAGAGATGTGATCAATGTCCTTAAACCAGATTCCGATGGGTAGTCTTGGTGAATGGGCGGTTGGAATTGTGCGGAGGCTTGCTGAGTCAGGTTGAAGGAGCTGATGACAAAATTAACTCCTTTCTGAATAGACATGCTTAGATAGGTTTATCACGAAGGAATAATAAGGCCTTGAGGCCTTGTGAGCTGATGCGCCTAATGGGCGTACTATCCAAGAGCCTAATTTATACATGAGAGTATGTCTGGGTTTTAAGATGCGTCGATGTACTGTCCCTTCCAACAGTTGCAGTCTTCCTGCTCAGTGATTACATTATTTACGTAATCAAGAATCTGGTACGGCTGTTTCCTATTGTTGAAGCTTGCGAGACAACTGCCTAAGTGACCATACTATAGTCAAAATATGTCTAAACCACAGAAAGTACACCCATTTTCATCTTCTTTCTCCAAAGGACCGCGCCTCCTGCCGTCAGGCGCAGTTCTTGGTGCCTATTCAAGGGCCGAGTAACTTACTTGCGGAATGACGTTGTTGTTGTGGGTCTTCTAGATTCAATGATCATCTTAGTCACGCGCTTGGACGATATTTATGAGTCGAAGTTTAACAGTGTCAAGATCTACTACCTCCTGCTGTACTGCAATTGGATCTAGCTTCAAGAGACATGATGATATTCCAACAGCCTCAGGCAGAACTGTCAGAACAGGCGGTGTGTCATTCTGCTGGCAGTACGCTCTGCCTTAGCCCAGAACGGCAGGCGGGGTGATGAGACCAGGCTGATAAGCGACTGGTGAGGCTGCGAGCCATGGGTTGCTTGGATCGCTTTCCACCTAATAAGCTTTCGTTGTTCTCAGATCTACATCTGGCTTGGCATATGATACGCCTATGGAAACCTTGTATTGATGATGACCAAGCGAAGAAGAGCATCGGGACCCAGATCGAGGACAGGGTGTTCCACTTGCAGGTACAAGCCGGAGCATTGGGCGCCTAAAAAGCATCTCCCGGCTAACCAGCTCATCATGCAGAATTCGACATGTCAAGTGCGATGAACAAAAGCCCGAATGCTATCAGTGCAAGCGCACGGGGAGAAAGTGCGATGGATACAGTGAATCACGTCCAGGGAACAACCACCAGCCTGTCGTCCCCAGTAAGCCAATGATGACCGTCGACCATCGCATGGTCCTTCGACCAGGAACACAAAAGGAGCGGCATTATTTGTACTTCTTCAGCTCACAGACGGCTCGGGCGCTATCCGGGGTATTTGAGTCTGATCTCTGGATGCGCCACCTCCCCCAACTGAGCGAGTGTGAACCTGTCGTCAGGCATGCCACGGCGGCAGTAAGCGCGGCCCATGAGCGGGCGCTTGTGCTACAGCGAAATCCATCATCCACTGCGGACCGCCGAGCCGCTAATGATCGCTTCATTATATTTCAGTATAATGAGGCCATTCGACATTTAAGAACCTATCTTGTTTCGCAAAACCCTAGAATCGATCTCCTGGTCATCACATGTTTCCTTTTTGTATGCTTGGAGATGCTGAATGGTAATCACAAGCAATCCCTGGACCACCTCGAAGCGGGTCTGAAGATAGTTCAGAGCGTCATAGGAAGACTGCAACCTCTGGGAAGTAAACTAAACGCGACTTATCATGAGTTATGGAAACTAAGTCTTCGACTCAATATCCAGCTTGCAATGAACGGACGACCAATGGTTGATCTTGATATTAGGCCCACATATCCTCAAGTGAAACGCTCAGATGGAAGGCCCTTTTGGTCGGACATCTACTGGGCTCAACACGCGCTTTATAAGCTCATGAACAAGACACTCATGTTCATCCGTTCTGCGGGGCACGAACGCACAGATCGCACACACTTGATGCCCCAACAGTCAGAGCTCAGGAAGGAATTTCAAACATGGAGAAGTGCCTTGGAAAACTATGCAAATGAAGCAGAAAACTCCCGAAAAGGCGACCGGCGAGGTCTGTTCTTCTTGCGTTCGTTATATCTTGTCTCTTGGATATGGACGGAAACATGTCTGGCCAGACAGGAAACGGTCTTCGACAACTATAATTCTGCTTTCGCGGAGCTCGTCCACTGTGCCGGTCAAGTCATTGATCTTGACGATGCCACCGACCGCAAATCAACGAATTGCGCACCGGATATCTTCACTCTCGAAACACGTATTGTTACAGGGCTGTACTATACAGCAATTAGGTGCCGGGATCCGATCATCCGTCGGGAGGCTATCCGGCAGATGAACAGATGTACCAAACAAGAGGGTCTATGGAATAAACATATTATAGTGAAGATTGCTCAATTGGTGATGGAACTGGAAGAAGCCAATATGTCATCGCTGGACGTACAAGAAAGAGTTCCGGTCGACAGGGACCGTATATATGAGACAGTCATTTCGTGTACGCAGGCAGAAAACCTTCGAAGTACTCGCCAAGTTATCCTGCTTTCGAAGCCTAACGGACCAGATGGTGCGTGGCTAACTAGGGTTCGATTTGTGGACTGGGAGTAGGAATCATGATATGCTTGTCTTGAGCTGACTGTTCAGATTCCTGTACTGCATTGCGTGAGCTGTGTCAGGTATTCATGACAGCTGTTACCAAATATTCGATGGCCGGTCAGTTATAATGTTGTACGATGCTTAGAACTATGTCCAGATCACTTTATGATATAACAATCACGCGCTTATTAATGCCAGGAATCGGGCGTGAGCTCTCGCTTAACCAAGTACATACTCTCGGGCCACCACATTTCGCTACTGTCAGCCAACTGGGAGAGGACATTCTGTCTTTTCATCAAATAGATGACTTGGCTGAGCTCCCACTGTCCAATATTACTGATCCACCACACCCCATCCAATAACATGACTAAAACCAGCCAATGAGCGAATATATCCATAGCCAGGATATGTATCGGAGTGACCGTTAATGGCTCCCTGGTTGCGGATGAAGCCGGTAGTGTTGTATTCTCGTTCCTACCTTTTACAGTAGGAGAATCCAATACCGATCGCACGATGTTGAGAAACTCGGTCGGAGCCTTGTTCAAAAAGGACATAATGATACGTCGGAGGATTTGCGGTGCCTCCATAGACGTGACACTGATCATGTATCGAGCCACCCATGGTGAGACACCACGGGGACATCCAAACATCGAGGTGTGCTGAGTATTTAGAGACGCTGTGAACACAACCTTCTTCTTATCACTTGCCCCTGGCGATAGCGCTGCTGATGCACAGCTCTCCAGGATATTTATGGTTTCCAGTAATGCGCGAGCCCGTCGCTGGTCAATCGCGCTACAGAAAGCGGAGGAACGCTGCTCTGCAGTTGTGCTTTCTGCTCTCCTACGAAGATTTCCTAGAGCTCGCTCACAGGTAGATGTAACGAGCGGGAGGAATAAGCTCTTCGTTTTCGGAGATGGACCGTCTTGCGGTGATACAGGACTTGATATTGTTCCATGGGACTTTGATCCCGTATCCACCACTGTGCTGCTGGGAGGAGTAGCGTTAACAATATCATTGAGTATAGCGCTAGATGCGGTATGCGCTGCGCGTGTGAACGATATCCACTGCGAATGTTGCGGCAATAATTCTGTCGGCAGCCTCTGTCCATATTTCTCAGCTGTGGCTGTCAGATGGACACGAATGGAGTGGCTGGCCGATGCGTACAAGACCATCAATGCTGCATTGGCGAGGACGTTATCGTAGGATTCGGTTGATTGCATCGTGGCTTGGATGTGGCGGAGAGATGCCGCGTGATGGCGTTCGGCTAACGCAAGGAGGTCATTGATCTCTGTTAAGGTCCGTGTGTCGAGGGGTCTTTGGGTGTTCTCATTTGCTATGTCGTGGCATTTGCATGCTGCTGCCAGGCTTAGCAGGGATGACATGACTGCCTTGCATTTGAAGGCAAGATTAGGTACTCCGACAGCCAGAGCGTAGAGATCGAGGGAATCGAATGGGATCGTTTGGCTAGTGTGCGAGAGGTAATGAGCTAGAAGATTGAGTTCGGTCGCGTTAAGAGGATCCGGGGAGGGTAGGTCTAAGCCGGGTATATCTTCCTCGTCATTTGATTGTGGTGAAAGGGGAAGTTGACCAATGGAGGGAGTGATAGGACCCGATGGACGATCGCTCGAGAGCCGCCTCGATGTCAGTTCGGATCCAGCGAATTCAATCTCCGAGTTCGGGAAACCGGTCGGCTCTGTGTCCGATTCGCTGGTATTCGGACGGTGTTGATATTGACATGTGTACGAGAGTCTGGTGCAACGTGAGCATTTCGGTCTGGCTTCATCGCACTGGCGATATAATCAGAATGATTGGTCTGAAGTGTGTAGGACGGAAGCACAGCATATGCTTCGCGTAGTACCTTCTTGCGTAACTGCTTGCATCTGAGGCAGCCATTACGGGACTTCTCATGTGACTTGCGCAGCTTATATCCGGTCGCTTGGAGATCTGAGAGCGGTTTATTCATGGCCATATTGCTGATGACACACTAAGCTACAATGTTGGACCACGCAGGTTGGGGTTCTTTCGCGGAAGGGCGGTTGGGTCGTATTAGTAAAGATTCCTCAGGGCAAAATTGAGTTTACTCAGCCTCATAAGTGGAGATGTTGCCCGTACAGAATCATCACTCTAGTATTTGTCAATGGCGGATGGTCTAGCGTGAGGCTCTGCTCGATAGATTAACCATGAAACTAGAGTTATTCAGGAGTTGACCAGCTGTGAAGACAATAATCGGGCCCTGGGATGGCTGGGCCAAGGAAGTTGGGCAGTGACGGTACGAACTGCCCCCACCTTGCCAAGATGCATGGCCTCGAGCAGGAACTACGCCTCTCCGCATAAGACCCTGCATCAACACGAGGTGATAGTTATATCGATGGATGAGATATGCGGCGTATTACTAATACGCCCGGGTGGCCGTGCCCAGACAAACACTGAGCTTGGCGACAACTTTGTATGGTTCGGAGACTTGTGGCTGTGATATGTAGATTTGGAATCGATACTCTGCGTAGTAAAGAGGCGTATGTGGTGGCAGAATATGACAACTACATGTAGAAACAGGCATTGGGCCTTCCACGACTATATAAATCTCGGTGACCACCGGCTTGACAGTAGGGAACCCATCATCCAGCATCTTCACAATCATCGACCACGACTATCTCTCCATACCTGAAACATTAAATAACAAGTTCAAAACCAACACAACTTCATCATGTTTTTGTCCTTCTCCCTGTACTTGGATCTTACGGTTCTACTTGCTCTCGTTCTCCAAGCGGGAGCAGTGCCGCACCCGATAGTTAAGCGCTCAAATTCCGATCTCAGCTTGACGGCCCAACTTCGTCTTGCCGATACGTAAGTCAACAGCCTATCCCAGACTGCAAACTTCTAATGAGCTAACATAAACGATTATATAAGGGCCATTGAGCGTTACAAGCTGCTCCCCAATGACTCCGACTTTGTTTTCAACTTCACCGGCACTGAAGAAATCCCAGTAGCTACAAGCCAGAATTGGCCCGCTCTCGTTGGTGTCGGGGCAGCTATCAGCATGTCGCAACTGCCAGGTAGGAGAACATGCAATCTATCATTTAGCCAAAGACTAACCCCGAGACATCCAAATAGCATGCAGTATGAGCTTCCTCCATCTCCACCCCCGCGCCACCGAACTTTTTGCTCTGAATTCCGGCCATATTCTCTCCGAAATGGTTCCTCAGGCTGGGGTTCTGGACAGCAACAATAGTCAGCGCGTTATTCGGACGGACCTGCGGCCCGGTCAAGTGACTATCTACCCGGCAGGATCATTCCACACGCAAGTGAACCCGGAGTGTGAGCCAGCAAACTTTACAGCTGCGTTTACATCAGATGAATTTGCTGTGAGTCTGGTGGCGGAACAGCTGTTCTCCTTCAGTGATGGGATTATTGCACGGACCTTTGGGCAGAGTATTGCCGGGGAGGACATTGAGAAGGTTCGGAATGCCATTCCATCAAATATGGCGATTAAAGTGGACGAGTGCTTGGCGAAATGTGGAACAGAGAAACCGTAATGTTGGGCCGAGGACATGAAGGCAGGGAAAGGGGGAACTAAGGAGGAAGAAGATGTATGGAACGGGAGAATATAGAGTAGGTGTTGATAATTCTGTTTGGTAGAAGGCAATGGCAGTCTGATTTTTTCTGTCCTCCACGACTGACGAGCTGCACTTGTTGAACCAGATCAGTGGGATAATAATGCGCTCTATCTGTGCGCCAAATCTTTTTGAGTATCTCTTTCATGAGCTGAATCCTTAGGTGATGTACGACCTCATACACAACAATCCATGTCTCACTCGCAATTATTACACTAGTCTATGATACATATTATGTAGTATACTGGACGCGAAACTGCACTCTGGTATGTAAATGTGGTCAGATACTATCTGGTTCTGCATGGATTAGCTGATATGCATTTATTTACACTGCTTAGGACTGATCGTGCTAGTCATTGGGCTGAAGCCCTAATTTGGGAGATTCGCTCTCACTCAAGGGGCTTGCATTGGTTTTGATGAGACTTGATCGTATCATAAAGCAGGTGACCGCTGCGCTTTTGTCAAATAGTGTAGGAACTGTTACGGATTTCTTCTACTCTCTATACTGGTCGGCAAATATATGTAGTGAACCACGGCAGATGGATTGCAGAGATACGAGGTACGACATTGTCAGTATGTTACTTTACTGGTTGAGAGATTTGTCATATTGGGGGCTACATACGCATTATTGGCTTCAGCTTCTCACGATGACATAACTCCTAGATTAGCGATAGGTGTCAGCTACCGTATCCGCAGGATTGCGAGGTTTCAACCTCTCCGGCTTCGTCATATCCTATTCCACAATGTGACTATTCGTACGGGGATAAAGCGGAAGGAGACAAGTGCGTGAAGAAGAAATCTGTATGCACTTGTTCCAAAACCTGCACTTACCCATTTAAAGTCTGCACAGTACCGTGATTCTCCGGCAATTCTATCTTAACGGACCCTCTCGGCATCCCTTTCTCCGATTACGTGATCGCGATGAACGATTAAACTTGCATGATTCGGCAGCCAAGCACTGATCAACTGAAGATGATAAGGTTACTTACTCCACTGCCCCCACTTCGGTACCATCTTTGGTATCCTTGATCCAAGTGATCCAAGTCAGGGAGGTCAAATCTAGGTGAATTCTAGAAATCTGCATGGCTGAAACAAGGCTGCCTGAAGAACTCGCCCCGTTAACCTACGCGGCCAATCCCCAAGAAGTTCTGCAATCGACATCATAGATGACATATTAAGTAAGGTAAGACTACATGAACCGCATCCCCTTGTATGCAGTCGAAAGCGTCTGCGTCTCCACCCTCTATTATCAGGGCACCGGCCACTGCACTGCCCAACCAAAATATGGACGCTCTTACGTGCCAGTTCACCGTGGATGATCCATAAGGATCCGAATCTAGTCTAGTGAGAAGGGGGAAACTCAACGAGGACCTATGGGCGATTGACATGTGCAGATAGTCCCATGTGCATTTCCGTGATATCCGACACGACGGATCATAATAAATCATTCACAAATAGATCGAAACAGGTCTATAACCCGTGCACTCGTCAGCAACGATCCGCAACATGTCACGGCTAACGTAGACGCAATGCCTGAAAAGCTATAAGAATGCCATCGGCCTCGTCAAGGCCTTTCGCTTCACATCCCGCCACCTTACACCGTATTCCAGTATGAAGGGTCATACTCTGGCTGTGCTGGCGTTTATCAGCCATGCAATCGCCTCTGGGAACACTTCCTCCATGGGCATCCTTGGCCACAATGGCGGTACGCCCCCCTTTCTTGAGTCCCACTAGTACCATCGCCTTAACACCAGTTCAGTTGATCTTGGAACCTGGAGAGCCGCCTACGAGAGAGCGTCCAAATTCGTCGACAAACTAAACATCACACAGAAGGTCTCCATTGTGACTGGTGGGGGCGCCACCGTCGACGGGGAGACCTTCCCGGGGATGGATTTCAACGACGGTTCCATGGGCTTGCTGGAATACTACTACGTCTCTGCCTTCAGCCAGTCATCCGCGCTCTCCATGACATGGGACAAGGATGCCGTTACCGCACAGGCTCGCGCTGTCGCACGCGAGTTCTATCAGAAGGGCGTCCAAGTCGTCTTCGGCCCGACCTCGCAGCCACTCGGCCGGACCGCGTGGGGAGGACGCGCAGGCGAGACATTCGGCCCGGACCCATTCCTAAATGGTATTATAACGGCGGAGACTGTTAAGGCGTATACGGAGGAGGGAGTGGTTTCACAGGCAAAGGTGAGTTTCTACAACTCCGTCCCACCATCCCTAGAGTGACTGACCAACAATACGTAGCACTTCCTCCTTAACGAGCAAGAAACCAACCGCACCAACAACAACATCGCCGGATTCGATTCCACGTCCCACAGCGAGAAACGGAATTTCCTGGGTCCGTACTCCGCCAACGCGGATGATAAAACCCTCCATGAACTATACCTCTGGCCATTCTATGACGCGGTCAAGAGCGGCCTGGGGTCAGTGATGTGCGCCATGAATAAAGTCAACGGAACCAACAGCTGTGAGAACTATAGTTTGTTGATGGGGCATCTCAAGGATGAGTTAGGTTTTCCGGGGCTGGTTTACCCGGACGTCAGTGCCCAGCATGCTGGACTTGCCTCCGCGGCAGGGGGATTGGATTACGGTTCGTCGACGTATTGGAGCGAGTCCGCCATCACTGCAATGGTTAAGAATGACTCGCTGTCTATGCAGCGGCTGAACGACATGGCCATTCGCAATGTCATCCCCTACTACCAGCTCAATCTGGATAACGGGAAGCAGCCAGCCACGGTTGGGGAAACCGACTATGTGGATGTCCGTGCGAACCACTCTCGATTGATTCGGGAGGTTGGAACCAAGTCGATTGTCTTGTTGAAGAACAAGCGCTCTGCGTTGCCCCTCCAGAAGCCCCGGATCATGGGCGTCTTCGGTGCAAACGCTGGGGCTGCCATGGCCGGCCCAAATTATGCGTATAACCCCATCACTGGGTCGGGTCCGACATATGATGGACATCTGGCGACTGGAACAGGATCAGGACAGGCGTCGTTTCCATTGTTGGTGACACCAATGGCCGCATTGACATTTCGGGCTTTACAGGACGGAACAATGCTGCGCTGGATCCTGAACGACACGTACACGTCTAGTGAGACCTCTGCTCTGGGTGCCGGGACAGGAGTTGTCCCCGGGTATGTCAACTACGCTCAAGACTCCGATGTGTGCCTGGTGTTCATCAATGCCCTGGCCGGCGAAGGCGGGGATCGCACAGAACTGTACAATGCAAATCAAGATACGACGGTCAAGACGGTGGCAGATAATTGCAACAACACAATCGTGGTGGTTAATACCATGGGTCCGCGGCTGGTGGATCAATGGATTGAGCATGAGAACGTCACTGCTGTGCTGTATTCGTCTCTTCTAGGCCAGGAGTCGGGAAACTCCATCTTGGATGTGTTGTATGGCGAGGTGAACCCGAGTGCGCGATTGACATATACAATTGCGAAGATTGAGTCCGATTATAACGTCAGGGTTTGCGATACCACCGAGTGTGATTTCACTGAAGGTTAGATACCCCCTTGCATTTCCTCTCTCCTTATCTTTAGCCTCAACGTTAATTGTCGCAGGCGTGTACATCGACTACCGCTACTTCGACGCCTACAACGTCACTCCCCGGTTCGAATTCGGTTACGGTCTGTCATACACTAACTTCACCTACACGGATCTCAATGTGCCATCTATCGAAGCCCTTTCCGTCTATCCTTCGGGGAAGAAATCTGTCGGTGGACCTGTGGACTTATGGGACGTTATTGCGAACGTCACCGTCAGCGTCACGAACACCGGTGGCAGGGCTGGAGCTGAGATCCCGCAATTGTACGTATCGTATCCCGACAGCGCGAAGCAGCCTGTGCGCCAGCTTCGAGGCTTTGAGCGCGTGGAGCTGGCTCGCAGGGAGAAGTCGATGGTGACGTTCCCGATCCGCAGGCGGGATGTGTCGTATTGGGATGTGGAGGCGCAGCAATGGGCCGTTAAGGGGGGAGAGTATACATTTAGTGCTGGGGCGAGTTCGAGGGATTTAAGATTGTCAAAGACAATTACTATTCGGACGGAGTGAGAGAGGTCTTTTGCTGCTGTGCGGGCGATGGTTACTTTTCTGGAAGAAACGAGGTGCATTTGAACATTCGCGATCTCAAATTAAGGGTGATATATCAATAAATGGGACTGTGGGTCTGCTTTATCGGTAATTTGACCGGGCCTAGATGTTTCTAAAACGTCCTGGCATACAGTGGACGACCAGAAGAAAGACGCCCAAGTTATAGAAAGCAAGCTCTATGATTCAATATGGATCCCAAACATTTGACTGGCTCAATTCTAACTCGGGAGGTGCTGCGGTCCGTCTAGTTTCCGAGCCGGTTCCGGGATCTTCACCATAGCATACTGAACTTCCGTTAACCGTGAATTGTACGAATAATAATGAAACTTGCTTTATAAGCACTCAAAGAATATTTATAATCAGATGGACCACCCAATCGCGTAGTCTATTCAATAATGCGGGAGCATCAATAATGACATAGTTGAGGGGCTCTAACAGCCTTTATTACTCATATGGATCAGTAGATGTACAGAGCCTTAAATGAGATATATCAAAGGGTGTAGAATATAATCGAAATACAGGCAATTTTGCGATAGAGCAGATGGCCCTTTAGGGAAAGCGGAAACGTCGGAATTAGACAAGGAATGCCTCTTAGGGTATGAGATCTTTGATACCATTTATTTATGATATTTATAGTTATCAGATGGAATTCTAGCTTCCCTTGAGTTGGATGGGGCAACAGACTGCCGGTCGGCTCCGCATTGAATTGAGTAGCTAGTTATGTATCGGATGCATAAGTTCCGTGAAATGTCCCGGAAGCTGGACGGAATTCAGTCAGTCAAATGCCCAAGTTTCTTGCAGTCCCCACAGTCCGGACGGGACCCCAAATGCTTTCCATCAGCCACCCGCTTGTGTTCTATAAAAGAATTACGTTTCTCGTTGTCCAATATTTCTCTTCTTTGGCAGGGCCAAGATATTTCGATTTCCTGTCAGATACTCTAAATGGCTGCCAAGCAGAAAGTACTGCTCCTTGGAGCGACTGGTGAGACTGGCAGCTCTATTCTAAATGGGTTGCAAGAATCTGGCAATTTTGTAAGTTGGATCGACTCTACAACAAAATTCTTCTCCGTTTGCTGACAAGTACTAATCCTAATGATGGTTTAGGATGTGGAGGTCTTAGTACGACCCGCTTCTGCAAATAAACCGTCGGTCCAAAAGCTCCGAGAGCAAGGGCTGAAGATTTGGTCCACAGACCTTGACGACTTTAGCGGGCTTGTGTCTGCTATTACCGGTGCCGACATTCTCATCAGTGCTATTGGACCCAATGACTTGCTCCAGCAGAAGAAGCTACTTCAAGCCGCCAAGCTTACAGGTGTGAAAAGAGTCATTCCCTGCGCTTTCACCACGGTAGCCCCTCCAAATGGCGCTATGCTGCTTCGTGATGAGGTATGAATACCATGGTTCAAAGGAAATACCAATTTGATTAACCACCAAGTAGAAAGAAGAGGTCTACAATGCTATCAAGTTCTTGGGTATTCCTTATACTGTGATCGATGTTGGCTTCTGGTATCAAATCTCATTTCCGACCCTTCCGTCTGGCAAAGTGGATTACGCCCAGATGGTTCCAGTGAAGACTGTTCATGGGGACGGGACAGCTCCCAATATCCTTACCGACCTACGTGATATCGGGAGATTTGTTGCACGAATCATACTCGATGACCGGACTATTAACAAATATGTCTACACGTCAGGGGATGTACTTTCCGAGAACGACATCTATCGTATCGCGGAAGAGGTTTCTGGAGAGAAGCTGGAACCAGATCATGTAAGTCAATTTTATCTTGAGTGTTTTAGTATTTACTAAAAGCAAGTTTCTAGATATCACATGAAAATATCGAAGCCAATGTAGAGCAAGCTAAAGCTGCTCTCGCCGAGGATCCTAGCGATCCCATGAAGCGCATCGGCGTTTTCATAGCCCAGTATGAGCATAGCAAGTACGTGCGGGAGGATAACAGTCCTGGTTATGCCGCCTATCTGGGTTATCTTAATGCCAGAGAGCTATACCCAGATTTCCAGCCAACATCGTTTCGTGATTTCTTCGCGGAGGTGCTGGCTGGAAAGGGCAGGAAAGTGTATTCCTAGCTTTTTAGTCGGCCATGAAATTGACCTGACTTTCTGACACGCTATGACTGTGGCTTGACTCTGCTGTCAAGGGCCTAACGCGAGTTGACTATTGCGCTATCTTCAATACCATCCATAGTACTGGGCTAGAAGTATCCCAAGTATACAATTTTATTTATTGAAATAGGCGACCAATAGAGCACCGCTGCATGACTCCGTTGGAAACTCGCTGGAAATGGAAGTACTTCGTGCAACTTAACGAAAGCTTTGGTGCATTAACACTTGAAGTAAAGCAGACTAAAACTTGATTGTGGCGACCCTGTCATGCATGCATCCAAGTGCAGAGATATTGTCTTGAACCGTTGAAGAGCTAGGCTGATAATCTGGAGGCAGCCACAGCCATCTGTCGCTCTTAATAGTAATCCACTGTCCTGCTTCTAGGGATATCTTAGTTGTTATGGGAGAAGAATCTGAATCCCCAGATCTCTCCCCTGTATTGAAAGCCTGCAATGATGTGACGACATGGATTAAATCCAGAAACCCATAGCGAACGCACCAACTGTGAAGAACCAAATTAGACAGCCCAATCGGATTTAGTGGATCTGAAATAGGCTAACCTTCAGGAGGGACCCAACATTGGGAACATAAGTCTCAAGCAGGCTCAGCCATCGGAAACCCCGAAGCTACGATAGCTCTTCCCAAATTCAACCAGTAATGATTCAGAGCCCCAGTCAAGCCGGGCCCACCGGCCTTACTAGTGAGTAGTATTTGATAAAAAGCAAAAGCCTCCCCCGCCCGTTTCCAAGGAGAACTTGAGCGACTGGCCGAAGGAATGACCACGTGTCGGAGGCCAATACTAGAGGTATTAGAAAGCAGCCAGCCACAAACACCGCGATCCACAGGCATGCAGAGTTATCGTCTACTGTTCCCTCTCCTAGCATTTTGATTTCAAGGTTAGTCAAATTAGGGCATGGGGAGCGAGGGAATAGATAAAACATGCTGTTGTAGCTTTAATACATATTCACCACCTTCTTTTCTTTTCCTCCTAGCTCAGATACGTATCATTCTTCCGCTAAGCCTCGTTAACTAAGTCCTCTATCTACTCATTCAGAATGTCCCTAGTCCGATCTCGATACAGTGTGAATGCACCCGAAACAGACCTCCTGTCCTACTTATTTGATTCGCCTTATAAGGATGCAGGATCCTGGCCGTCATCAGAGCCTCTTTTAGAGTCAGCAGCAGATTGCGATCGTTCAGGGTATTCAGTTGACCAAATCAAGAATATCGTGAAGCGAGTCGGCTGCGGCCTTGATCGATTGGGAGCAAGCGGCAAGCGGGTCATGGTCTACGGGGACGCGAACATTAACTTCCCCCTGGCTATTCTTGGAGTTATAGCTGCAGGAGCATCATGTAATGTTCTCGCGCCTGGTCCTGTTGAAGAACTGATTTCCCGGCTGCGGCAACTGGACTGTGACATTGTTTTTTTCGCCCCGCAGGATCGAGAGCTTGTCTGTACTGCTGCAGCAAGGTTGAGTATTCCTAGCGAGCGTCTTTTCATGGTTGATGAGACCATCGATGGCGAGAATATCGAAGGTTCGGATGATGGTGGTCCTAGACACTGGGGCCACCTCTTGATGATGCCCGGCGGTGACGATTATGAGTGGCCTAGACTTTCGCCTGCTGAGGCAAGGACAAGAACTGCTCTCCTGCTCTATACCTCAGGGTACGTTGACCTGCTATATGCTACCGAGCACTGATTTATTGTTGACGATGTTGTAGGACAACAGGATCTTCGAAACTTGCCGAGCGCACTCACTATGGTCTTATTGGGAACATTGAACAGACCCTACAGCACTACAACCTTCGAGAGAGGAACAAAGAAACCATATTCTGCAATTATAAGTTCTGCGGTATGGGATTTCTCATATTAGGGTTCATGCTCCCTTTGAAGGCTCGGTATAAGACGATATTCCCTACAAAGTTCGAACCAGAAAAATTCATGCAGACAATTGAACGATTCCAGCCTACCTGGTTGATGCTCCCTAAGCATCTGGTACGTGAGCTCCTGGCAAAGTTCGACAAGCCCAGCTTTCCCAGTGTGCAACATGTCCTCACCGGCGGCGCGATCATTCCCTATGAGATGATCGAGCAGTGGCAGCGACTACATGGATCTCAAGTGCAGAGTACATATGGAATGACCGAGTAGGTAGACCTCGTGTTATCCTCCTTATGATACGCAGATCAGGGCTTACTCCGTTACTGCACCAACCAGGGCGGGCTTTTATACCTTCCCCGATCCAACCCAAGTGGTAGAGGATGCCACAACAGGAGTCTTGCTTCCTAGTTTAGAGGCGAAAATCCTCGGTGATAATGGCGAATTGCTGAGCATGGGCCAAAAAGGGCATGTTTACATTCGGACCCCATTTCTTATGAAGGGCTACTTCAATGAACCAGAACAAACTGCGCAGACCATAACGGATGATGGATGGATTAAGACTGGCGACATTGGCTGGGTTGATGAGCGCGATCAATTCTATATTGTTGGTCGCCAAAAGGTATGTCTTTCCCAGCCTCATCTGTCTTGTAATTGATATCTTAATGGTTTGCGGCATATATTCAGGACCTATTCAAGATAAAAGGCGACAATGTTTCTGCAGCTGAAATCGAAACGGCTATCTTGCAACATCCGGATATTGCGGATGTTGCTGTTATTCCAGTCACTATGTAAGGACTGCATATTGCTTTATATGTTATTTGCCGTGCTAATATTTTTACTATTGTGCAGAAATGGAGATGAAGAGCCCGTGCCTCGTGGATATATTGTCAAGGGAAATGAGTCCCCCCTGACAATAGAAGAATTGATGCACTGGATGCGGACGGAACTCACTTCACGCATGCAACTCCTTGGCGGCGCTGCCTTCATCGAGGCAATTCCCATTTCAAATGTGAGTCGGCCATGTCTTTAGACTCAAATACTAGCTCACAGTTAGTCTCCAGGTTGGAAATAGCAAAGTCGACCGTCGGAGACTGTGTGAGATCGCCGAGAGAGAGCTGCAGGCCCTAAGCAATACGGAACAGGAGGCGGGCAAGCCAAACAACAGCGTTTGAATCTGCTCTATCTCTGGTCGCAATAATCGACCGCTCATAAAAATGAAAGGGAATCTCTAATTTGATCACCGGGATCTCATGGTGGACGCTTGCTTCTGTCGCTGGTGTGTCGGAAGATTCTGTTGGTATGGTTTAGTGCTTGCTGGGCATGGTTTGGTGAAGAAATGCTGGGCTGGAAGGTAGATTGGGAGTTGCCAACTTCAACTGAGACAATATCAAAAACTTACTACTGGGGAAGCATTCATTGAAGTGGCTGATATCTCCAGAAGAAAACCGTTTTCCAGGAATTATTAAGATATGGTATATACATGCATCGCTGCTCAACCCAAAACATGAAAATGTGGCATATCAACAGATGTCCAACATGCCGTCTTGTATGATTACTTCCATCTTTTCCAACATTACGCCATTCAGAACCCCTTAGGGCTTAGCCAGCTGCTCCTTACGGAAGAACAACAAGAACCCAGCACTGCAATCAATAAATCGTCAGCAAAAATACCCACCGCACCAGGGGAAAATTCAGATTTACATACCAAATAATCAACTGACAAAACAACCCAACCCAAAACCACGCATTTGCCACCGCACTCACTCCAAACGTCGGATCAGGCGAGATAGGCCCCGGGCCCAGCTTATTCGGCCCAAACCCTCTCGCCGCAATAGTAGCAATCGAGCCCAACACCTGGGAACAAATCAAAGTGAAGAGCATGTGCGTGCGCGTTAGCGTTTGGAGTAAAATAATTCCGAATCCCAGACCCTGGATGCTATCCAAGACGCCAAGCCAGAGCCAGAGACTGCGCGATGCGAGTGCTCCCCCGACGTATCCGCCGGATACCCATGGTAGGAAGTACCCGATACCGGAGATTCCCCACCAGATTTGAGCCCAGCGGGGGGCTCCGAGACCACAGGCTATTAGGGGTAGGGACCAGCTGTGCGCTTTGAGGTATTTGCTGACGAGGAAGAGGAAGCCGACCCACACGAAGCCGAAGAAGACGATACAAAGGATGCCGACTTGCCAGGCTTGGGCGTGGGTGGAGGACCAGAGGACTAGGTGTTTGTTAGTCGTGGTGTTCACTATATGGTGAGAGGGATAGAAGATGGGGGATGGGTGAAAGGATTGGGGTTGGAAATGCGGAAAGGAACGTACAACTCCAATTTCGGCCGTAGGGGGCACTAAGGAAGAAGTTCTGCAGGATGACGAAGACGAAGTTCCAAAGCACGATCTTTCGACGAAAGACTGCTTTGTAGAACGAGGCGATCTTGCCTGGGGCCTGGTGGTAGTAGTTGGGCAAGCCACGGAAGAGAAGGAACCCGATAATTGTTACGACTAGAGCAATGGGGTAGCAAATGGCACTATAGGGGATGAAGTTAGCAAATGTCACATGAAATGGGATAGTCGAAGCCAGGGGAGGAAACGTACGTCATCTTCCAAGAGCCAGCCACTCCAGTCGTCGTCGTCGAGACGCCCTCACTAGATGCGGTGCTCATAGAGGATCCCCAGTACCAGAGGGCAATGACATATGCCTGTTGCAAGCCCTGAACAATGCAAGCTCTGAATATCCAAACCTCCATGGGAGCACCACCTTCGTCGCCGAAGTTCAATGCGAAGAACAGGGAGCCACTGGCAGATGCAACCGCATACGCCCCGCTTCCGATATTTTGAATCCAGCCACGGTTGAAAGAATTATCGACCCAATGGGCGGACCCTATCAGAACGAATGCGATGCCGTAGAATAACCACGGGAGGGACAGACAAACGACGGATTTGAAATAGCGGTAGATCAACCACCAGCAAATCGATGCAATGAGGTAGGTCAAGGCAATGCCGTATAACTTCAATGCAGTTTCTCCGACTTGGCCAGTCAAGAGCGTAATTTGGTAGGAATTGGCAGCGAGGATCTGGCCTAGTGCAAGGAAGATGGAGTATACGGGCCAGTTACCGATGCGGATCTGCATCCAAAGCCTGATACCAGCTGGGGGGCTATAGTCCTTTCCGAGCAAGAATTCATCGTCGACTTCAGATCCATGTTCGTGGGAGCTCTCGGCATTAAAGCTGGACCCATCTTCCCTCGAAACAACGGAAACGGATCCCTGCTTATCACGGAAGACGGAGGGGGCTGGTGACTTTAGCCGACCCAATTTGGCGTCGTGGAATCGTTCGAACCACTCCTTTTCACTCTTAATCAAGAATTCCTCGATACAAAAGTCTGACTCGGAATTGCTACCCTTAAGGTTTTGCAACTTTTGCTCGAAGATATTGTAATACTCTCCCGTGCTATCCGTGAAAAACGGATCCACCTTTTGCAAGCGGAAGTCCTTCTTCTGTCCCACCACCATATCGACAGAAAGCAACGATGCTGTACTCATCCGGTTGCTGACCTCCTTGAGGCCAGCGGGAGGCAGCAGGCTTTGCTCGGCCATATTGGGTGACCCTGGTGTTCCAGGAACAGTCAGAGATTGGCTATCGCGGGCGAAGTGAGAGCTGGTTATGGCCGAAGACCCTGGTCGCTGAGCAGCTTGCATGCGACGGGCTGCTTCCAACTCCGCAGAGGTAGGGACATATTCATTGTCTGGGAAATCATCACCCTCGACATCGGTAGCCACATCTTCGGTATGTTCCTCCGTCACGGATAGCTCGTCGTGGGAAGATTGAGACCGGGTGGCACGAGGCCTATGACCAGGACCAGAGCGGACACCAAGCGAGAGTTTGCGTTGTAAACCTGAAACTGGTCTCTCGGTGGGATCGGATAGGGCAGCGAAGTCGCTGAGTCGGTTGAGGTTGGTGTAGCTGCCCTCACGGGAATGAACCATGGGGGTCTGTGTGCCCGATGAAGGCCAGAAAGCACTCGACGGCCTGGACGACACGCTGCTGCTTTGGAAGGCGCCCGTGTTAGGGGTCCGAGGGCGTCCGTTGCCTTTAGCTGTCTTGCTATGGACTTGTATGGACGTCGTTTGGAGGATCTCCAAATCCTCCACCCATTGCGCGACGGGGAATCGCTGTTTAGCTGAGCGAGCCCGCATTTTTGCACGGGTTGCCTGCTTAGATTCTAACGCGGCATCAATCGCTTGTCTAAATTGATCAAGGAGATGGTATGTAGAGGTTGATTCGACGTTGTACCACCATCCAGGCATTTGTCCCAGTCCACCAACACGAGCTCCCACGCCTAATGCACCCTTTCGACCGAATTCTACCGCCACAAGGCCGAACGGTTCGTCTCGGGAGGGAATCAAAGCGAACTCCGCCCCCGAAAATATGTACGGAGGAAGGGCAGTGAATTCCGGCCGTGAAAAGACTCGACCAGGGTAGATTTTCATCATCTGATCGAGCTTGAGCGCAGCAAACTTTCCGTAAAGATCAATGACAGGGCCAACACAGATTAGTTGTACCTTCGGATTGGCTTCAATGACCGAGGGCATGATATCCGCAATGAGGTCGACACCTTTTTGCATGGACCATCGGCCCACAAAAACGAACAACTCAGCTTCAGGGTCCTGGTTGAGCCCAGCCCACTCTTGCGCCTGAAGTTTAAGCGCACCACGACCTGCTTCATAATCCGGATCGACCGCGACGTCGCCTCGTTGGACTGCCATGGCTTGCTCCTTGCTCCATTCTCCCAAGTCAGAGGGGTCAGGATTGGGAAGGTTGCCCACTTTTTGCAATCCCCAAAAGATGGGGTACCGGGCGTAGGATCGTTTGCCGTACTTTTTCGACACGCCGACTGCGCCAAAGCCACGCTGGTGGATGCGTAGATAACTGGCTCCGGCATGCAACAGGTTAAATACCTCACCAAATTGCACATATTGCTTCATAACGTCTGCACTGAGGTTGAAAACTGACTGTACCTCTTCACGTTCGGTGGCTGTTCGGACAGGCCAAAGACCCTGGAATTCCGCATTGTGTAGGGAGAGGCAGACGGGAATCGTCTCCGGGAGCAGGTAGAGGGGTGCCAATGAGCCGTGGTAGTCGTTGATGTGATACAAATCGATGGGGAAGCGCTTGCATACAGCTGCAATACATTGATTCCATGCCGAATAATAGACAGCACTTTCCAGATCGTCCATGCGCGCGGGGTACGGATTTGACTTTGTTTGTTGGCGAAAGACCGGAGCATCGAGGAGGATGTAGGTGATGTTGTTCAGGTAATGATATTGCACTTGCACCTCATACTCCGTACCCATAAGTGTCACCAGAATTGACTCAGCTGGGGTGTCAACAGGGTACTCAACGTCTCCCACACAGGGAACCACCCAAATGAGATCCTGGTGGCTAAGGGTCTTTCCCATTAACTGCGCCATCACACCAAGACCTCCGATTTTGATCTTAATCGCCCAGTCTTCAATATCGTACTCCATGGTGGCGATCAACACCATGCGGCGCTTACCAGCGGCCGCAGCAGCGCTGAAAGGGGTGGCGGTTTGCAGCAAGCCTGATTTATTGGCTAGTCGCATGATGGGGTTGAGACGGTTGTAGTCCCCCCCACCTGGAGTTTTTCTTTCGAACCTTCGGCGCAGGGCAATTGCGAAGCCAGACTGCTTCTGGTCCACACCAACCTGGTTGAACTTGACTTTGTAGAAGGACTTGAGGAAGACCCAGAAACACGCCGCAGCTGACAGAGGGGGAACGATCCAGAATAACACAAACATCGCAATCTGCGTCGCTTGGTGTCCTACCGGAACTAGTTGGAACTTCTGGGTGGCATCGTCGATGATAAGCTTCCAGGAGATGTAGGGTGAAGGCGGATGAGCTGTTATATTGATTACCGTTTCGGAGAGGGACGATGGAGGCATCCGATCAAGGACAGAATCGTTATCAGCATCACCCATCACCCATCCTTCATCCGGCGAACCATCCGGGTTCATTCCCCAGATGCTGACCTGCCCAATTGCTGGCCACTCATAAGTGAAATGGTACTTCCACAGCCCATCATCTGCATCCAGGCGTATCTCGCTATCCAATCCGGCGTCGTATCCGTATTCATTGTAGGGACCTTCCCAGAAGATATGTGGAAAGCGTCGAGGGCCCTTCTTCCAGTCTGTATCGCCTTCCTGCACGTAGTCGCTGCTACCCGACCATCTATTCCAGTATTCGGCGCGGACGTGATACCCGTCCCAGGCTTGCTTGCTCGTGCCAGACCAGGACAACTCAGATATGGTAGTGTTTCCACCTGTGTAATCCATCCAGTCCGAGTAAGTGGAGCCCCAGTTTGTGGTGTATCGCCACTTGTCTGCGCCAGCAGCATGATGCTGGATGTATAGCGAGCCATTTTCGTATTTGTGAAGCAGGCTGCTGGAGTAATTGGCGGTCGTATATATCATCGGGTTGTCTATTTGACCGATTCTGAGGAGAAAGTGATCAACTGAATCTGTGGTCTCGTTCTTGTAGGTGTTACTAGCGTTGTTCACGGTTATGCGATGAATACCATTGTACACGCCAGTCAAGTTTCCTTGCCATACCCAGGCGCTAGGAATGAATCCGGGCCAGTCGCTGCCGGTCTCGTTGAGTGTAGCGGCTTTACAACTGACACTGTCCGTGTCTATCGATGGAGTTTTCCCTGCCTCGGTAGAAGAATTGACGTAGATGGAACTCGTGACTGAATCACAGTTCATGGCTTCGGAGAAGTAGATCTTGATTTGAACCGATTCATCCTCATCAGGTGCAACAGTGGATCGCACGGGAGCATCATGCCCCGGGGACAAACCAGTGATCATAGGCCGGGGCTTGGTAAACTTAGCACGCGGGACATACGCGCGGAACTCGTAAGCCTTCATCGTCATGTTGGAAAGACAACCGTTATAGGCCGTAGACCCATTGATGCCAAGCTTTTGCGGACTGCTGCTCAATTCATGTTCATCGAAGGGGTAGAAGAGGTTCTTGACCCAGGTTCCGGTGTCGAAAGGAGATATCAATGCACTGTCATTGTCACTGCAATCGAATGTGTAGTCGATTGTCCGGTTAGTATTGTGATACACTAACCAAACCGCCTGGTTATTGCCTGTTCCCAGGTCCTGGAAGTCAGAGCTAATGCCACGGAGAACCGACCAGAGACCGGTTTCGGTAGCCGTTCCGTTGGATCCAGGGTAGTATACATTTTCGGTGTGATTCGACAGTTTGGTAACATTGTAGCCGTCATTGAGCACGGGGAAGTCGACGCGCATTTGGTACATGTGTTTTATGATGTTGCGAGCTGGGTGGGAGGGATCCCGATGGTCATAGGTTACCGTGATATCCTCGCACGCGTGACGACCCCTTGTAATAGGCCAGTCGTAAAAGGTCGAGGAGTCGAGAGAAAAACATCCGTGAGTGTGCCAGGCAGTAGCCGGCGACATGGATTGTCGTCCAAAGATGTAATTTGACGCAGTAGCATCCAGGACATAGAATGCCTGTTCCTCTCCCCACAGCAGTAGAGGAATCCCGGGCAGAAGCAAGGTTGTAACGAATTGACCAAGCAGCTGGCGCTCGGTTCCCTTCTCCAGCGTTGGCCAGCGAAAGACATCTTGGTTGGTGACACCGTACATGTGTCGAGGATCAAATTCACCTGTAGCTATGGTCAGATTTTTCCTTGCTTTTGTTCTTGAGTGTTCGAGGTGAAGAATTACCGGTGTTAGGATTGATGAAGTCATTCGAGATCAACATCTCGTTCCAGGCAGTGACAAATTCCACCGATACATCGTATCCGGCGGACAAGCTGCCGTCCATTCCCAGGAATCGTTCGAGATTTCGATAGATCGAATAATGAAATGCGGCACCATCGATAGCATTCATGCCCTCCTCTCGCAGGAAGTATTGCGGCTCTGAGGTATTCGTGAGGTTCATGGCAACCTCAATCGAGGATGGATACTGATCAGGTTGCCGACCCCGCCCTAAATAGACCGATCCAAAGGTGTTGCCACCCGTAATTTCTCCAGCTATGAAGAAGTTCTCCTTCCCTACTGCCCGGGCGCATTCGCGATAAGCAGCTGACATATCACCCAAAGCATCAACTGTAGCCTGCGTGGCTTTATCGTAGCGGAAACCATCGACATCAAGCTGGTATATCACCAGACACGAATGCCGGATCAGTCTTTCTCGGACTGACGGGTGCCATTCACGCAGGCGGTCCTGCACGGAAGCAAACTTGGCCAATTCACGCTTCCAGTCTGGAAACACTCCGAAGGCCTCGATATCACCATATTGATCGAAGTCACTGTCGTAGCAGCCAACCAGGGAATCGGTGACCGTCTTCTGGACGGGATAGCCGTTTTCATACCAGAATCGGGGATAATCGCAGGTCTCGTTATAACTGTTACCGAAATCGAAATCTACGTATCGCCGAGCGGTCTTCCATTCGACTTTATGCTCGTCCACTGTGAAAGGCGCCGAGGTATTCAGGTAACCCTCGAATCCGATCAGATCTCCCATTCTATGGAAGTCTCGTTAGATGCCATTGCTATAGCGGTGCTTCCTCATTGCATATGGAATAGCAATGGGGAATAATGGGAGTACATACGTCGCAAGCGTGTTGTCGAAAATGACGTACATCCCACGTTTGTGGATCTCCGTGATTGCATGTCGCCATTGTGCCAGATTTCCGTAGTGTCCGTCGAGCAAGGTCGTATCCAGCGCTGAATAGCCATCATAGCCCCAGGGTTGATTCATGAGAACTGTGCCAGCCAGATAAATTCCCTAAAGCCGGAACTGATCAGCAAATCGACCTCAGCTTCCCCGATTCCCGACAGCCGGGAGTTCCGTTCCCTTAACCGACCTTGATGCCCATTCCCTGCAAATAATCCAGCGTATCGACGAGACCAGCTACATCTCCGCCATGACGCATTTGTGTTGACCAGATATCATGTTCCCATACTGAATTGTTGTAATTATCGTTGGTTGGATCTCCGTTCACAAAGCGATCAAGCATCAGGGTGTAAAACGGGAATCGCCAGTTATCCGGAGACGGAAAATAATCACCGGTGTGGTTTGGCCATTGCCCCCAATAATCTGCAGGATTTGTCGCAGTTTTGTTCTGGTTCAAATTATAATCTGCGAGCGATGCATTGTAGGGCCAAGCGACAGCCTGCCAAGCCGTCGAGGCAAGGACGAGGCCGGCGAGCACCCGCTTCATGTTGGCTGAAGCGCAACAGGCCACTTCTCGCAATTGAACAACAAAATCCAACTTGTTCTACGAGCCAGTCATAAGTACACACTTTCGAAAGGCTTACAGCATTCGAGACAGAAAACGAGAGACGCTAATAAGGGTATCTCGATGTCTTGTTCTTGAATAAGCAAAGCTAGACAAGGACCAAGAGCGGCGACCGAGCGGTCCGAAACGAAAGGCGTGTGTAGAGGTGAAAACGAGTGAAGAAACACAGAATGCAAACGAAGGATGAACAATTGGGCAGCTGAAGTCTGCAGTTGCGAATGGATGGGAATAAAAACGATGGTAAAATTAAAGTAAGACAGTCTGAGGAAACGAAGAAGCCAAATATGGGGAGACCAAGGCCAACTGCGCCCCCAGCAGAAGAAGGACTGATAAGTCTTCTCGCGGCTTCCAGCTTGTGTCCATCGATCATATCGATAACGCGACTTGACCCAGTGATAAGTCTTGGCCAGCCCTGGCCTACCCTGCTGGGCCTAATTCGAGCCACTGATTACGAGGCCATACGTACTCTCCAGGTGTTCCGCACGGCCTCATGGCAACACGATTCAGTACCCACGCCCGAACACCAAATTTAGCCCGGTCAATCCTCTGATCATCCGAAATCTGAATCTCAAGATCGAGGACACAGATACTGGCCCCTTCTCCTGCCTCAAGTCAGGCACTACACAAACTGGTTTTCCTGCATGGGAGACACACCCAAACCCCGCCCGAATAGATTAGGGTGGGAAATTAAACAGCTGCCTGGGAGCCAACGGCGTGGCAGAATTTTTCCCTGTAAGTCCGAGTGGCTTTTTCGGATGTCAGGTTTAGGGGCAGCTCTAGGTTGCTGTGCCTGGCCTGGCTCGGACTTATAATTTTAGTCGCTTGGCCGGCAAAGCTTCTATTCGAAGACAGTGGCCGAGTGGAGATAAGAGACGCTCTGTGAAAGGCTGTTGTCGGCACTAACCAGGTACTAACTAGAACTAACCTCAACTAACCCAGGCGTCGACTCCACTGCATCCAAACACCATGACAAGGCCTGTGGGGGCCGGCCCGGCAGACTTACGCAATTGCCACTGGACCACGCATGGCCTCGTCACTATCACACCAATCAGCTGTTCCACGCATGAACGCTCTCCCAGCCGAAATGTGGGAAGTTAATTTGCCTTGTCCACTTCGCCCTCCAGCGCAGCCCTGCCCTCACGACAATCAGTCAATCTCCCGTGACAATCCCAGGGGATCTTCGTGTTCTAACGCTGCTAACCGTTCTCGAATGTTCGGGTGAACTGGAGTACTAGAGTAGATTCCCATCGAGCGTTACAAATTTAGATGTCGTCTTTATTTTTGGTCCGCGTTGGGGGTCGTTGAAAGTGATGGATCAGGGCTTCGGGCACGCGATGCGAACGAGGGTGGGGGAGAGACTACCTATTTATGGTACCTCCGGCTTCTACCGGCCTTGTCTGCAGCCCCCGGTCTGGCGCTCTTATCTCTCTTGCTAAGTTGCTATAGCTATCGGGGGTCCGCCCCCCTGAATCGCGTTGCCTTGACTTGTCATTCTTTCTTTTCCCCGTTATTGCAACGGGAACAGCGCAACCGGCCTCAAACATCATGCTCAGCGGCCCGTTTGGCTGAATCGCGTGAAATTGAAACGCTTAAAACACATTCGTTAGAGTAAGCTGTTGCTTGTCATAATTCATTCGGTCACCCAAGCCCACCCACGGGAAGCAGAACCTCCACAAGGGGGCACAGAGGGTTGATCGAGGGTAGTACGGCCAATGATGTTTCGAAAATCCGCTTCCCTCCTGGGCCAACGGCTCATGGCCATTTGTCTCCTGTGCTGGTGCGTTTCGCTAGCGACCGCCGCAAGCACAGAAGAATGGAAGACGCGATCCATCTACCAGACGATGACGGATCGGTTTGCCCTCACCAACGGTTCGACCACCGCACCATGCAATACTACGGTAGCCAACTACTGTGGCGGGTCTTGGCAGGGGACGATCGATAAGCTGGACTACATTCAAGGCATGGGGTTCGATGCCATCATGATCTCTCCCGTAATTAAAAACATTGCGGGGCGATCTAAGGACGGTGAGGCCTACCATGGATACTGGCCTCTGGATCTATACGAGATCAATTCTCATTTCGGAACCCGCGAGGAACTGTTGAAGCTGAGCGAGGAGATCCACGCACGCGGCATGTACTTGCTGCTGGACGTTGTCATCAATAATATGGCTTATATGACGGACGGCGAGGATCCTGCGACGACCATTGACTACAATGTTTTCCCTCAGTTCAATGGATCTTCATACTTCCACCCCTACTGCCTTATTACGAACTGGAACAACTATACGGACGCGCAGTGGTGTCAGACTGGTGACAATTATACTGCACTCCCAGATCTGTACACAGAACACACCGCGGTGCAGGACATCTTAATGGACTGGAGTAAATCGGTCATCAGCAATTACTCCGTCGACGGGCTACGAATCGACGCTGCCAAGTCCCTCACTCCCAGCTTTCTGCCTACATATGCGAGTACCGTGGGCGGATTCATGACCGGCGAAGTCATGGATTCGAACGCCACCAACGTGTGCAAATATCAGACGGATTACCTGCCAAGTCTTCCCAACTACCCCCTCTATTACTCCATGATCACGGCCTTCCTCAACGGCGAGCCTGCGACCTTGCTCGAGGAAATCGCGACGATCAATGATCTTTGCCCGGATACGTTCGCAATGGTCAACTTCATCGAAGATCAAGACGTTGACCGATGGGCCTACATGAATGACGACATCATGCTAGCTAAAACTGCACTGACCTTCATGATGCTCTACGACGGTATTCCCTTGGTCTACCAGGGTCTGGAGCAGGCCATTGCCTATTCCAACCGAGCGGCCTTGTGGTTGACGGATTTCGACACCAATGCGACGCTTTATAAACACATCAAGAAACTCAATGCCATCCGCAAACATGCCATCAACCTTGACTCCAGCTACATCAGTTCGAAAACATATCCCATCTATCAAGGAGGTAGCGAGTTGGCTTTCTGGAAGGGTAACAATGGACGCCAAGTCATCATGGTTTTATCTACGGCGGGCTCGAATGGTTCAGCTTATACTCTGACACTACCTGTGAGCTATGGGGCTAGCGAGGTGGTCACAGAAGTGCTGAACTGCGTCAACTATACGGTCAACACTTACAGTCAATTGGTCGTGGACATGGATAAGGGCGAGCCTCGGGTCTTCTTTCCCGCTTCGATGATGCCAGGGAGCGGGCTGTGTGGCTACAATACTTCTAATGTGACGTATTCTGAGCTGAGACTTGCTGCTGTCGGTTCGTCGTCGTCTGCTGGTAGCCACTCTGTCATACCGTCTGCTGTTGCTTCGCTTTTCATGGCGATTGTTGCATTTTTGGCATTCCCGATTTAAGTTCATATTTTTTCTACTCAGTTTTATACCAGCAAATAATACGATGTCCTATGAACATGTACACGATTTCAAGACCGGAGATAGAATTATATCATTATATCCCTAGTACCCCCTTTCCATATCCTTTCCTGCAATAAAGGCCTATTTAGCATTAGGAACAGAATTACGAAGCACAGTCTCCTCAGTTCGCATACCCGCCCACCTCCAGCAATTCCCCCACAATTTCTCCTGTGCTTCACGATCTTCGCTGAGCGCCGCAGGCGCCACCTTCTTGACTCCAACGAAATACCCTCTTTTCCCTCGGAACTCAGCCCCAACACTCACAACAACCAAATCGTGCCCAGCGTCCTCAATAGTACGAAACATCGTAGTCATGTACCTCAAAACGGGCATCAGACACTCAACAACCCTAAACAACCATCGAGCCGATCTTTTCTGCCCCGCTTGCGCCCTCGAACTCGGGAGACCACCTGGGTCCATAGCGAGGGCAGTGACACCCGATAGCCGGTCATCCTATAGAAAGCGAAAGTTAATCAACGTGCACTTCGACCGGACAACAAAAGTACATACCTCCTGCAGCCTGCGATTGAGATCCATCGCCAACATAACATTCGCCAACTTTGCCGTACCGTATCTCTGAAACCCTTTATCATGCACAAGAGTCGGCGGATCCGGCGGGGGATGCACCAAGTCGTCCATATTCTCAGGAAACCCCGGTCTGAGAGAAGAAAGCGGGTTCGGCTTTTCGGGGTAATGGGTGACGGAACCAAGGAGGACGATGCGTCCGGATGTCTTGTTCATGCTTCCGAGGAGTCTCAGAATCAAGAGGTAATGAGACAGATGGCATACTTGGAAAGTGCTTTCGTAACCGTCCGTCGTATAGACCTGTCCTGCTTCGAAGGAGAAGGTCGCGGCGTTGCAGATTATTGCTGAGAGGGGAGGAAGTCTCTTTGAGAGGACTTGGTTAGCTACTTGATCTGCGAAGGAGCGTACGCTGGCGAGGCTCCCGAGATCGAGGGTCTCGAGGTGGAAGTTCGCTTTGGGGTATTTGGCAACTAGGTTGAGGAGTTTTGCGGTGTTTGGGTCATGCTCTGGGGAGGCGTTTCGGACGGTGGCGACTAGGGTCATTTGAGGATAGAGGGATAGTAGAGCTTGGATGAAGCCTAGGGCTAGAGAGCCGTTTGCTCCGGTGATGAGGACTGTTTCGTCCATCTGGAGGTAGTGGACTGTCTAGGAAACTGAACCTGGAGAGAAAGGGATGCAATAAAGTCTGAGGAAATGAGGGGAGGACATGATGCTTATATATTCGTCCATCATGGCTAACTTCCAGTGAAAAACTTCTCAATAGATGGTAGAATCTATGTATACGACATGAGCATAGGGAGTTCGGCCAATCACAAGCGTGAGTCTATCCAGAATAAGCATTAAGCCTCATTGAGCAGGCGCAGGTCTTGGCAAAGTTAGATAATAGATGCTTTGTCAGCCATGTCAGCTGCGCAGCTTCATTTCAAATGTCATCCTAAATATTATCCAGCTCGCTATGAAGCAAATAATTTGAATGGTGTTCGTTCTTCAGGATGACGCACCGGGAAGCACCATTTATTAATGTCACACTCGTTCCGAAAGAGAAGGCCGCATTGACAGAGTCACAACAGCGAATTACTCGCTCACATGCCGCTCGCTCGGCGCATGCCCGTGTCCGACATCGGCGGATGATAGAGTATCAGGCACAGAAGCGGGGGAGAAGAGACATACGAGACACTGTTATGGGTAGTTATCCGGGCCTCCCAGGAAGAGCACCGTCTGGGATTTCCACGTTACTTTCGGCGGACAGGCGGGACCCTTTTCTTAGCTTTGCCAGGGGTTTAAACCCAATAGAACAATTCTTGTTTGATCATTGTATGGCCTCTCAGTCGAAGCATCCTGATTAACTTTACTGGCCATCGTCAAAGATGTCAACGTCGTCATCCCTCTCATGCGCTGCAATGAGAGCGCAATATTCTTCGCGCAGCGCATGATCAGACTTTGGGTTCCCACTGCGATCACAGAATCAAGCCTTCTTGATATCATCCTGCTTGCCGCATGTCGTCACTTATCTATTGCATATAGACAGGGGTCGCAGGAACAGCAGCGTATCTTCCAACAATTGACCTTTCAGTACAAGTCCCAGAGTCTGCATGCACTAAGGCATGCCATCTCGGCTGAGATGCCGATGCTGACTGATTCAACGGTCGCTAAAGCTATAATGCTTGCCTATGATGAAGTAAGAGTTCACCTTCGGATGTTTCCGGTGATGGCGCTAACAAGGAACAGTTATATGTTCGAGATGCAAAAATGCTCAAGCATCATGTAGACGCAGCCGTGGAAATGGTCACGCTGAAAGGTGGGCCCCAGACACTAGGTCTTGATGGACTCATGGAGCATTTCCTTCTAAATTTGATTACCAAGACGAGAGGCGACCTGGAACTTTCGGTCAGGACACCCTGGGAGGAATAGGAATGTTAGGGCTCGCTGTATTGATTACTATAACAGTATTACCAATATTCCAAACATTTTAGGCTCCCAATTGGCTATTAATCAGACAAATCACGTCCATCCATGCTTTCCGGGCTCGATCGTATAATACTTTGTAAGACAAAGAGATCTGCCCAAGTGGCTGATGTCAGATGATGGCAGTGGTCCATCCGCCTCCGCTGATCCACTTTTGTCCGCAACTCAACCGCGACACACATAAGCCGGGGGCTGATAACATCAAGACCCCGCAACTACCGCAGTCAGATCACTCTAGTCGAGAGCGGACGTAACCATGTCGCTCCGCAAAAGTTCTTGCTTATCATGTGTTGCAGCCAAACGTCGGTGTGACCTGGAAAGACCCAGTTGCGCCCGCTGTCGGAAGAAGAACGCTGCGTGTCAGTACCCATACCCACCTCCACAGAATGCGGAGGATCAGATCACAGTACCCGAGGACCGCCAACATACCCGTAATGCCATCAACTCTGGTATCTTGGAAGCAAGCGATATCATGCTTGTAGATAGCCGCATAGACCGATCTACGGATCTCTATCCTAGAGAGGAATATTTCGACCCACTCCTATGGTTGCCGGACGGTCCGACGAGCCCGGCTCAGGCCTGGGCCATACAACCGGACGAGTGGTTGTCTCTCGCAAGGGCATTAGATGGATCATCATCCGCATTACTGCCCCGACTGGAACGCAGAGTCTTGGAGTTTTGGCCTCGGGTCAACGATACGCAAACCTGGCGATTTTGCATCCGAACGTTTCTAGGCTATGTCGATCATTTCTTGAACACCGGCACACTGCCTCTCGTTGAGTCACTGTCAACCCGTCAAGGGGATCTTTCGCCTGTTCTGCTGGAAGCCTATGGAGTTTGTGCCGCATATCGCACCTGTCATCGTGCAACCCAACCTTTCTACCTCCAGTTGTTAAAGACAGGAATCAATAATGCGGGCACGAGAGACTTGTCGCAAGCGGAACTACAGCATCAACTGGATCACCTGCAAGCTTTGATTCTTTATTATGTTCTTTTCCTTGCGGGTGGTGTCAGTGATCAGTCCATGTTTATCCAGCTGGACTACACGTTAGCGCAGACAACAGCCAATCTAGAACGAAGAGAATTGGAACTTCGGCAGACATCTTTCGCGAACTACGTGGAGAATCGAGTGCTTTGTGAAAATACTCGGCGACTCATCTTGGTGTCTTACCTGGTGCGTGCTGTCCATGCCGTGGTTCATTTTCATAGATGCGACTTCATCAAATATCTGGCGGGTCTACCGGTTTCCACTCAGTCAAACGCGCATCTGTACATAGAGAGGGATTTTATTGAAGGACGAACCCCTGCACAACTGACATCCGGGGTTGTGTCTTATGATGAATTTGTGAGTGTCTGGGAGCAAGGGGGACTGCTTCATGTGGATGATTTCAGATTCCTTTTGCTGGTGGCGTGCAAAGGGTTGGACATGGTGCAAGGGAAATTACTTGGTAGCTGAGTGTAATTAATCTATGTTCAGTGTACTAGCTTTGACTGATAGTGATACAAAGCAACGGTAACCTTACTCGTACGAAGGGGCATCTGGTCAGTAATGCTAATTATCAGAGCGGACAAAAATGGAGACTTATTCGTATCCATGCGGATCAGCGACGGCTGATTGACAGCCAATGCGGAGGAAAGTGGGTCCCATACAGCCCGTCATTTCAGAAGATGTTGAAAGTCCCGACTTGGTTCTCTATATAAAGAGTGTAAGACCCACGGCTCTGAAGTAAGCATATCATTCAAACAGAGACATCTATTTCCATTTCAAGCATTCTTTCCAGTTATGCAGTCCACCCAAACAGCAGTCATCACCCTATCCCTGGGCCACGCAGCCTTCGTCACTAACCACGGCATCCCGAAACCACGCCACGATGAAATCCTCGTTCGCACTGCTGCCGTGGCCCTGAATCCAATTGACTGGATGCTTCTCGGAAGCACTCCGTCGCCAAATGCAGTCATGGGCCATGATTACGCCGGCACCGTTGTCGAAGTGGGCGAATCCGCCCAAGAGAGATTTAAAGTCGGGGACCGCGTGTGTGGACTCGTCAAGGGAGCAGATAGAACCCGCCCCGAAAGTGGTACCTTTGCAGAGTATATTGTCGCGAAAGCCGCGGTTCAGATCCGCATTCCCGATGGGGTCAGTTTCGAGGACGCAGCTACCGTGGGCGTCGGAGCCATTGCCGCTGGCCAGTGTCTCTTTGGGCCATCATCACTGAATTTACCGTGGCCTGAGAACCATTCCCCTAGCGAGGGTCGCGATACAATTTTGATCTATGGCGGAAGCACAGCTTCGGGATGTTGGCTGATTCAAGTTGCGAAATTGTAAGTTATCTCCTATGCTATGTTCCCGGGAGAGACAGAAAGCTAACCATGAACACCAATAGAGCCGGATACACGGTCCTGACAACCTGCTCGCCAAAGAACTTCGACCTCGTGCGCCAATACGGCGCTGATGCAGTTTTCGATTATCGTGACCCTCGATGTGCGCAACTGATTCGGGAACATACTAACAATACTCTCAGTATTGTATGTGATACTGTGTCAACGCAGGATTCAGTTCGTATCTGTGAGAAAGCCATTAGCGATGAAGGTGGTCAATATCATTCCCTACTCCCGGCAGAAATCAGCCGTCCGAACGTGAAATCGACTTTCGTCAATTGCTGCACGGCTCTTGGTGAGCCATTTGAGTACGGATCAGACTGCATGGTTATCCCTGTCATGCCGGCGGAATTTGAATTCGCGCAAAGATGGGCGGATTTGGTTACTACTCTTTGGTCTCAGGGGAGGATCAGGACATTGGTTGTGGAGAAGCGTGATGGCGGGCTGAGAAAGGTTCTTGATGGCCTGGAGGATTTGAAGAATGGCGCTGTTAGTGGCAGGAAGCTGGTGTATACGGTCTGAAATAATTAGGGTTTGTGTCTATCGATTGGCTTGCTGTAATAGTTTGTTGATATTGAACTAAATTGTCTGTGAGAAGTGTATTGCATCTGCAGGAGAGTCGCTCAGTGACAAAGCTAGTTCGACGAGGTGGACCTATGCCCCCAAGCAGGAACTCTGGTAATGTTCCATCATCCAAAAGCCACAACGATAGCTTTAAAATCAAGGGTACGAGACAATGCCATCTCATTTAGAATCTAATCTATATCTTGCACCCCCAAGACTCAAAGTGGCAGCCAATCCAGTATCTCCACTTCTCGTCAGCTTCCTCCTCTCCGTACCATTCCCGCAGTAACATGTCATATATGTACAATATAGCAAAACAGGCTTTCAGATAGTCCTGTAAACGCAGTCTAACATCTTCACTCTCCCCCTTTAACGGGTCAGTCATACCTCCATCTTCCACGGACACGCTAACCACCTCTTTACACTGTTGCTGAGAAGCGCACATATCCGTAACCCCAAAGTGGTTCCAAAACCTGCGATGCGGGATATTCTGCATTGGAAAATCATAGTCTGCAAGAGCATGTCTCGCCCAGTACTGGAAAGTTTGTGTTTCCAACAATGAAGCTACTTCATCCTTTTTTTCAACTGTTTATTTATGAGCAGCACATCCATCAGATTAATCATGATATAAACTGCCAACGCTGTCTCTGCAACCAGCTCAACCCCAAATGCATGGCCCCAGTGTATACCCGCAAGGGTATGCAAAGGGATCTGAGGATGGCGCGAAAGCGTTAACAGAACAGAAATAGCTTCTTTTGATATTTGCTTCGACGTTGAGTCATGCTTTTTCCCACTTGCGGCTATGATTATCAGCATCTTAACGGCGCTAGATCGCCATCTGCGCTGGAGTAGCTTATGGGGTAATTATCGTCACTAGAGCTAGCCCTGTTGATCCAGTATTTGATGTCTCGATGCTTGGTGGATAGGGGGTTATGCAAGACTGAGTTTGTTCTGTGCGAGCCGAGGTCGAACTGATGTTCGGGGTAGCATAGCAGATTATCAGAGAGAAGGTTTCCCAAAGGAACAGGATCAAGTAGTTTGGATTCTTCGGTACATGAGAATTCGCGGATCGTCTTGGTAAGGATCCGGCGGAAATAATTAAGGTCCGATGACTCGGTGGGCTTATTGCGGGCGAAGAAGTCGGTGCGTCGAGGTGTGAATCGTGGATTGCATTTGATGAGGTTTAGATGTGTGGCTGCTGTGTTCCATGGTATTTTGTGATCAAGATGCATGGTGTGTGACTGCTGATTTGTAGCTGGTGGAATGTTGATGGGTTTCAGGAGCTACGACGATTCTGTTAGTGCAGGGTTCAATGACGGAAGGAGGGGTTTTTCTTGGCTTTTAGTCTATTTTTGGAATTGGTTAATCGGAGCGAACAGCGTTTCGTTCAAAGAAGCTACTGTTCCAGACAGTCTTTCGTGATGAAGATAGACACAATATGGTATGGATAATATGGTAGATTCGATATTATATTTAAAAATATTAAAATTGAAACTAGCAATACTTTAGAACCGTATCTTATCTGACAAATCCCTATTGCCTTTTCTTCACTAAGGTTGGTTTGGGTTGCGACAAACATTCTACTTATTCCGGCAGCAATTCAACATTCTTGTCTGCCTTCGGAAGCAGTACTCTAATCTGAGTCAGGTATATGATACCTGATTTAATCGAATCTAATCACTCTTTAGCCGTTCCCCAAATTGTGGGTAGGCTGCAAATATATATCATATGATAATCTAAGATACTTAGTATATACTGATCCAAATATATACAGGCTAATCTATATAGTCTACTGGAAAGCTTCCAGAGATTCGTCGTTCCATCTATTTTTCTTGTCAGTTTTGCTGCATAGCCATGGTGCTACAGGAGAACAAGAGTAAAACTTACGTTAGGTACTTGCCAGTCAACGACTTCGGCGCATCAATCACCAACTTAGCCAATACATGACCAGGCTGTTCGGGCTTCAGGAGGTTTCCAGCCTGGTGGACTGTAGTAAACACAGAGTGGAATTGACGGTCCATAGTAGTAGCCAAATCTTCACGAATCTGTCTCTGGATTTCGGTATCGACCAAGCCCGGGTCAATAGACACGGAGGTCACCTCGGGCTCTTCTTCCCCAAGGCTCAAAGCCAGGTGGTTCATGGCTGCCTTGGTCGCGCCATACAGACCCCATCCCTTGAACCCCGAGACGGATGCGCCGGAAGACGTGAAGACGATCTTACCCTTGGATTCGCGAAGGGCAGGGAGTCCTGCTTTGATCTGTTGCAATGTGTCAGTAACTAGTACTGATATCCCGCTCCTCTGTACCACTGCCTCAACAAAGCCCGTGAAAAGTGACTTACAAAGGCAACCAAGCTGATGAAATTGACATCAAATCCATGCTGCCATTGTTGCGGATCCGCCTCTGCAACGTTGGCAACCTGACCAAGCATGCCGTGGTTGAGAACCAAGCCATCAAGGCGACCGAACGCCTTCAAGGCCAGGTCAACGGCCTTCTGGCCGAGCGAGAAGTCCGCCAGATCGCCGGTCAGGACCTCGACTTGGGTGGGGTACTGGTCTTTCAGCTTCTGGAGGGGCTCCGCGCTACGGGCCATCACAACCACATTGTGTGATTGAGGCGCCGAAAGGAGGAACTTAGCCGTTGCGAGACCGATACCTGTACCGTGGATAGGATATTTAGCGTCGACGATTGCATATATAGATGCTGACATGAGCGTTAGATTGTGTTGATTTTCGTACCTCTCGAGGCACCGGTGACGATGAAAGTCTTGGAAGCCATATTGAATCAAACAGGAGGTGACCCAAAAAAAAAATGAATGTGAAATATTATGAGGAAGCTGAGGTAAAGAAAAGAAATATGACCTACAGGGAAAATTATCAGCCTATAATCTGAGTCAAATTCACCGGAGTCAGAAATTAGTGCATTCCGTCATGCAACGGAGAATTTCCGATAACCGATAAGTGCCACATGTGCGGCACTGACGATGCAGGGTCTGCAATTCATTTTAGCGTCGAGCATATCAAAGTTTCCATGAATATTACCCTGTTGCAAAAGAAGACGTGTACATACGACCATAGGGTGTGGAAAACAGGGCTTCCCGTCCGCTCAGCCGTACTTAAGCCACACGCCGGGAGGTTAGTAGTTGGGTGGGTGACCACCAGCGAATCCCTTCTGTTGTATGTTTTTATATTTCGCTCAGCTGTGAGAGAGCGCGAGCCTACTTACCTCTATCTCGACAATGGACGTGCCACGCTCCCGGTGCGTGAAGGAGAGGTTGCCTGCATGTTGATTTTCCTTTGAAATACCAGTTGAGTAGATAGCAACAGCCTCGGCTTTGTAACACTCCTCGGGAAATGAATATGCCCATTACATTGCCAACTAATATCGTCGAATAATGGACTTCGATCCCTAGTATGAGTGGACAGTGACATCCCGGGGTTCAAAATGAGCCGTGTTGTCTTATTTGTTCGTTGTACATAAGCCCTCTATCCTGACAACGTAAGCCTATTTCATTACATTCAGCAGTATGCCAATGCAGCTGAAAGTTATCATAAATCAAGTCATTGTAATAGTCAAACAATTCATATTAGTTTCTTTCTTTCCCAGATACTCTCTTCTCTTTAAGACTGTTATATTATTGAGTCTATACAAATGATTAGAATGTTATATCAAGCCTTAGCTTTGGAGGATATGAAGGGGCGCGTAGCCTGGCTTTCAACAGTTCTATTGAATAAAAATCTTCTTAGTATGACATACTGCTATAGCATTTCATGTAACACTACGTCTAGTAATATAAACACAGGGTATAGAAAATTTGATTGCGGCAAGCCAAGCCTAGAAGGCAGCCAGCGACGCTGATATACCTTTCCTTTCTTGCAGACAAGAAAAAAAGGACTGAAATAACACGCCAAATTTACCCCTTTTTTTTACGATAGTAAGACTGTATGGGATCAAAAGAAGAGTAGAGATTGAAGAGATCCAGCGAGATATCTACTACTACCTTTTTCATGTTGGAACCAGAACTCTGGTCACGGGAAGGCCTGCTTAACATGAACGGCAATCATTTCTCTCCTCCTGCAGGCGCTCCCACAACGGCTGCACCGCCTCCTCATCCAAGTGGCGAAAGGGGAAGATGTATTTGACAGTTGCCCTCAGCTCCGTGACCTTCCAGTCCTTGCGCTAGAGCTAGCGGTCCTCAATGTCATGCAGGGTTTTTGTCGCAGCTATCCGACCACTGGGTTCCACCGGGCGCACGCGGGATGAAGAAGCCCATGTTCGTCTACGTGGTATTCCACTTCCAGTGTTCCACGGCCGTCCAGTGTCGAGCAGCGAACGGAACGTAACCCATCCAGCTAGCCACGCATAAACCGATTCAGAAAACCTTTGAGTTGAATAGATTCATATCTGGTGGGACATGCGGACCATTGGGTACCTGCGAGAGCTTTGGCAAGAAATCCACTTATCTTCGATAGTTCTGGATGCATTTATGTGTGACCAATTCCACTTTATTGGCTTTCAGTGATACAATGGATGGTTGTCTGCCCTTGATCGGGGTATTGACCGCGTTAGCTCCGATCGAACAGACAGATGATCTACGGAAACGCATTAATAAAGGTCCGATAGAGACTCACCTGTCTATGCCAAGACTTTCGACTAGCCTGTCTGTATCATCATTGGAGGCATGGAGCCTTGGAGGCGAGAATTGAGACGCTACGATGGAGGGAAGCATGGCGAGCCAGTACCCTCACCGCTAGGTGAGGGGGGGAAGCGCTCACTCACACGTATTACACAAGAAGGCACTGCTATGACAAGAAGTAGATCGATGGAAGTGGGGCATGCGCAACGCCATTGAGATCACTCATCTCCGGTTCTTCCGCAAGAGATCGGCGAGAATTAATTTCCCAGCCGATTCAGCTGAGTAGTTCGTGCCATGGTGGTGGAGAAGCTGGAGACGCCGATCCCCCCATCAAAGCTCTCCGAACCGTTCTGCACCCGGGGGGGGGGGATAAATGGACATATTACGGCAATTTCCACCTCCCCTTCGCGAAAATCGCCCATTTGAAGTTATCACTGGAAGTATACGATACCATGGGAGGTCTACGTGCACTTCTTTGCTGCAAGGGCGACAAATGGGATGATGGTCAGGACATGGCCAACCGACCGGTTCGCAACATCCCAGCTTCCTCGACCGACGCAAATCAGGAAAAACCTGGGGATAAGCCCGAAGAGGACTGCGTTCTGGACAATTCCGGCAAAGAAACACCTCCGCGCAATCTATGGAAAGAAGCCTACGACGGACTGCCTCCCAAGCTACAGGAATATGTTCCTGCAGCTGAGATTCCGGCCACAGATGCCATTCAGAAGGTTGTCCAAACCACTGAAGAGAAGTACAAGGAGTGGCAGCAAGGTGGCCTCAGGTACCACCGTAAGAGTGGAAAGGAGATCGATATTCGTCAGGCATCAGAGAAAATCATTGGGATGGCAATGAAGGCCAAGGACACAATCTCGACAATTGTTTCCTTTGATCCCACAGGACATGGTAAGTTCTCTAACGTGCCGCCGGACAATGGCGACCGTTCTCTGGTGTGGCACGACTGATATAATTAAATTACAAACGCAGCCTCATCAGCATGGACAATCATCTCTTTTGGAATGAGTGTAATAAGCTTCTCTCTATCTGTGATGCACGTGATGTAGTGATACTTATACTGGCTATAGATTGTCCAAAATAGATTGGACCGTCGGGACGCCGTTTTCGAGGCATCTGCTTTTTTGACCGAGAATATGGCCTATTTCGCCTTGATTGATGCGAACTACAGGGACCAGGGTGTTGGGAGTGATGCGAACGTTGACCAAGCTCTACTTCGCGCTTATTCGGCAATCCTTACATTTACAGCTGAGGTGGAGAAGACGCGAGACGAGAATGAAGCAGGTAAGCGTCAAGCCATCATTTGCGCACTTGCAACGAGGCCCTGGAAAGCTCTGACTGATCACACTGAAGCCCGACTCTGGTACAGCATATCCGCATACACCGACCAGTCACTATCAAAGCTTAAAGATTCTCTCATCGCGCAAAAGGAGGCAACGAAGGAATGGGCCCAGCTCGCTTCAGATCTGGGTGAGATTACGCACGATTCTACCTTTTATGCAGAGGTACTAATCGAGCACAGGCAACCGAGAGCGCGCAAAAGAGATCCTTTCGAACACCGATAAGCTTATCGAAAGCTCGAAGAATATGGAGTCTAAGCTCCTCAGTATGATGCCCTTTTCTCCGTATGTGACAGCTGGGCTTTGCTGACAAGTGTAGCCGCGGAGGAGGACAACCAGCTTGAGTGGCTTTCATCAGCAGAGTTCTCGAACCGTCAGGACATATTGCAAAAGAAAAGAACTGGGGACACTGGCGTCTGGCTTTTGAATTCGAAGGAGTACAATAAATGGTTGTCAAGCACGGGAGACCTCCTTTGGCTACCCGGGATCTGTAAGGGGTTTCTATTTCTTCTTGATATATATGATACTATCAGTACTAACTGTTCGTAAATAGCGGGCTGTGGCAAATCTGTTCTTTGGTATTATATATGAACCCCTCGAGATGATCTCAGCTAACCAGGGCTAGCTCTACTGTGATACGTGACCTGGACGAAATCTGCGACTTGGATGGATCCAAACATTACGCCTACTGGTATTTTGAATTTGGCTTCGACGCTACTCAAAATGTGGACTCTTTGATCAGATCCTTGATAAGACAGTTGTGTCGATCTCCGCTGCCGTCAGCAGTAGTGAACCTCTGGAAAAAGCATCACGTCCGAAGAAGCCAGCCAGACTCGACCACTATCCGAAGTGTACTTGATGAAGTTCTGTCCGAAATACCCGATCAAGATCGTGTTTACCTGGTCTTCGATGCCCTAGATGAGTGTCCGAATAGCGGCTTTCCCAGCGAAAGAGAGTCGCTTCTATCCCTTCTCTCGCATTTACTCAAGCGACACAGGGGCAAAGTTCATATCCTCGCTACCAGTAGGCCTGAAAAGGACATTCACAAGGAGCTTTCAGAGTTCCCTAAGGTCGATTTGGAAGCACGTCTGGCTGAAGATGTCAAGACGTTTGTTGATGTGGCACTTGCACGACGACTGAACATATGGAGTGAAGAGATCAGAAATATGATTCGTGATAAACTATTGAGCTTCAAGGAACGGTATGTATACTCACCCTCAATTTAGCATTTTATTATCGAGATTTGCTAAATCATATCTAACCATGATTAGGCGTTTCCGTTGGGCTGATCTGCAAATCCAAGCGCTTAGCCAACAGTACGATGAAAATGACCTGAGAAAGGCTCTAAATTCAGTCCCGGCGACTCTGGAGGGGACTTACCGGATGGTTCTTGACAGCATTGAGCCGCACAATGTGACCAAGGCACGGGAAATCCTTATGATAATCTGTCTATCACCCGTTCCTCTGGATGTTGATGTCGTTGCTAAGATGACCAGATTGTACTCCGCTGACTACGTCGTCCAAATATGCACGACATCTCTTCTCGCTCTCAACAAGACCAAAGTTCAAGTGGCACACTTCTCGGTGCAAGAATACCTGATTGTGCCGGAGAAGAAGAACGAGCATCACGAATGCCAATTTACGCTGACCGAGGGACACAAGTTTCTGACCGACCGCACTGCGGATCTGCTTCTTGCGCAGGCTGAGCCTCTCACTCAACCAGAGGCAATGAAGTTGGGTCCCTTTTTATATGCGGCCAAACACTGGGATACTCATATGGTCGCTGCTGGAGGATTCGATCAATTATCTGCGGAGATACAAGCTAAAATTGATGGTCTCTTTACTGAACCCAACGTCTACTTCAACTGGGTTCGGAGTGCCGATGCCCACGGAGATCAGATCGATAACTCGTGGAGTAAAGTGCTCGCAGAGTTGGAGACCCCGATTCACAGAGCGTCCTATATGGGCTTGGCTCACACGGTGGGCTTGCTGGCCGTGCAGGGTGCGAATCCTTCGCGGCGATGTCTGTCGGTGGACCAGCGCGGACTTTTTGATAGGCCAGTCGATTCATACCATGTGGCTGCTCGTACTGGACATCTAGACGCTCTGCAGGTCCTTTTGGACTTAGCACTACCCCTTCCCACAAGTACGGTGGAAGCAATCTTGCAGGTAATCAATTATCGCAAGTCTGGGAAGGCCAAATTGGCAAAAGTGGTACACACCTTGCGGGACCAAGGTCTCCTCTGTGACCACGTAAATGACACCACTGACGTGATTCATGAGGCCTTTCTTTCTGCCGCCGTGTTGAATGAACAATCGGGACTGGAGACGTTCCATATCTTCTTGAATTCGCCAACGTTGTCAACACCAATTACCGAACATATTCTGGACCTGGCCTTCAGATCGTCGACTTCAAGTGAGCTGCCGAAGTTTCTTATTGAGACATTCAACCCTGATATACCCGTCGCTTTCATCGAACAACGAAGTTCGTATCTCTGGTCCTTTAAAACCCCAGGCCTCGCCTACTTGGCCCTAGAGCGACCGAATGAGATGCCCATAACCGAAAACCTTCTCCAGCTCTTCGCAAGAAAGGGAAATTCAGAAACAATGGAATCCTTACTGCGCTCTCGGAGACAAGATATTCATGTCACCACAGAGGTCTTGGAACTGGCAGCCACTAATGAGCAGAGTGGTAATATGCTATGTTTGCTTTGGCCTCATAAAGACCCCGGGACTGAGATAACTGAGAAGATGATCTCAAACGCTGCAGACAACGAAGTCCACTCCAGCGCCCTTGTCGCTTTCCTTCTCAAACAGCCCGGAACAAAGCCGACCTTATCTGAGGAAACCATCAATAACATAATAATGGGCGCTCAAGATGGAGTCGGTACCCTTAAGGTTCTTCTTCCGTTCTCATCTATGGGTCCTCCAGTACCAGAGGAAGTGGTTGCACGTGTCTGCTGTCACTCCGAGGCGTTAGATATGTTGAAACTGTTAGAAAAGGAAAAATCATTGAAAGGCCCTTTCACGGAACTTATTATCCAGGGTGCGGCGTTGAACGAGTCTAAGGGCCCTCTGGTGATCGACTATCTAGCAAAACGTTCTCCAGATCCTCTTCCGGTCACAGAGGAAGTCCTTCTTTATGCTGTCGAAAACGAGAAGAAGGGTGGCGAGATCATCCGAGCTCTTGCGCCATATACACCCGTTGCCAGTCTGACTGACAAGGTGTTTGAGGAAGCATGTGTAAACAAGGACGCTATGCTGGCCCTTCTGGATCAGAAGCAGAGGGAACCACCCTTTGAGAAGATGTTGGCCGTGTTGTCAGGATGCGGAAAGTCACCCATAGATGAATACAACCTGGGGGCGGTGTTTCGAACCCTTCTTGAGCGACAACTCGTAGAGGTGGACGAAAAAACAGTCGAACTCATGGCCTCTAACTTCTATTGTCTGGATGCCTTGCTATCTCGGAATCCCGATATCATAATTACAGAAAATGCCCTCCAGACCGCTGCGGATTCACCACGACTAATGCGCGTTATGATGTCTGCACACAGGAGTTCTTTCCCTATCACGGATAACGTTTTGCTCGCCGCAACAAGGGGATATCTTGCTGTTGAAGTCATGCAAGTGATTTTGAATCGCCAGCAGTCGCTTCCTATTACGGAGAAACTGATTCTCGAGGCTACTACCGAGGCGCACGACAAGAATACATTGACGTGGCTCCTGAATCAACAGTCTGAGGCTTTTGTTACAAGCTTTTGGGAGAACACCTGGAACCCTATTGACAAATACCGCATTGGCCATGCTGCTGTGATTACTGCCTTTCTTCAAAAGACAGGTTCAAATGTCACAGACACCATGCTTGAAAATTGGCCGTATTCGAATTCGGACGGAAATGACTTTGGACTTGGGACATTTGTTCAAGACCTGTGTACGAATGATAAATACCCTGATATGCCTACGACTCAACGAGCCGCCGAGATTGTTTTGGAAAGGTGCGACAAAGCCTCCATTGAGGTGTTTCTGAACCACACGAAGCTCCCGGTTACGGATGACTTGATTGAGGCAGCAGAGAAGAATCAGTGTAAAGATAAAGAGGGACTGGTGACGTTTCTGGAGCAGAAGAGAGGCTTAACTAAGTCTTACACATGCGGTGTAGCATGTTAGTATTGTACTAGTTACTTGCTGCAACACATCAACTCAAGTTTCGATACCCGACATGGGGACTGCCCCAGAACGTCAACATGATCCACTCACCACTATTCTGTCTCCCAGAAGTACACCAAACATGGCATTTGATGGCTGGTAAACACCACCCACGATTTGATGCCGAAATATTCAATTTCAGACTGCTTAATCCCCTGGATGCGCATTATATGTCCTCGCTGTGGCCAGAATTCGTCATTGATGCCGAAGCCGAGACAATTGCCCAAAGAGCCAGTATTGTGGATACTATGGGACACCTGTGGTGGATTTGGCGCTGCAAGAGCGTACCAGACGCATTTCGAGTGTTGTGTTGGAAAGATATTGGGCTTGGCGTGCTGCAAAGGACTTGTCTTTGGCTTGAGTTCGTATGAGTTAGGAGAAGTTTGGGTGTTTGCATAGTCGATTTTATAGGATTGTATAGTCCTTCTAATTCCGATGGCTTGTTTGTTCTTTAAGATAGATTGCTTTGCCTTTCTTCCTTGGGGAGATCTTCTGTATTCATTTCGGTGTACAACTTATCATTTCACACAAGGTAGGGGGACAAATAGATATAGTAGGTTTCTCCTCGATATGTTTTTCCCCTCTTTTGTCTAAACCAAGCGCCCTTACAGCGAAGCTAGTAACAGTATAACAGAAAGGCTCAGCTACCAGGCGCGAGATCCAAGGCCAAAATAAGTGACATAATGTCCGCTGATGCGCTAACCGCTTGACCAGGAAATTTATATCACGTTTATCCGATCGGTCGATGGAGAGTGTGTCTCAACAATGTCATAACCAATCCCATGGCCCTGGTCCTTTTCAGCTCTGGTCACAAAAGCACTCCGTAAGCACTGCTAACACAAAGGCATCGCGTTAGTGGTGAATGTAACGAACGTACTCATGGCGGCGAGGTTAGTCTTCGCACGTATCCGTCTCCTCCGAATAGTAAGAAGCAGCATCCGTTTCAGTCACGTTGACCATAGCAGAAGCATCAATAGAGCCTGAACCACTAGTCCAGACGGCCGGACCCGGCATTGGGTAATCCTTCATGCCTCCCCAGATACTGAAGTTGAATGAGGGGCCATCCTTTTTATAACCACCTGGGAATTTGATCGTAGGTCCTGGGTTTCCATTACCACCGCCTGTGACCTTGACTTGAGCGCACCTGGAAATATTGTCAATAATCAATCCTAAGCAAATAAGACGATGATAGCTTACTCGTAGTAGAACTCAGCCTGTCCATCATGTGCTCCATGCACACCTTTAAGCAAGTTAGTATACTTGCCCACCTTCCAAGAATATTGAAGAAGACCTACCGATATGCTCCGGCCGAATCAGATACTCTCCATCCGGCAGGTCCGCAGGAACTGTAAACTCAATACGGTCCTTATCCCAGGTACACCAGGCATCGGTCTTGATGTCCTTGCTCTGGTCACAAATGCCCTCCTCATGGATCTTGAACCAGTCGCCGTCGCCCTCATACTGCTTGGCCGAGCCGGGCGCTTTAGACATATACACGAGACCAGGGCCAGGGTGCTTCATCGTCGCTCCCACGCCGAGCTTCATTGCAAGCTTCGACCCTGCCTTGACCTCCGCCGTGCCGGTCTGGCCAGCGAAGGTGAAGGAGCCCTTATTGCAGCGGAAGTCCGGCATATCCGGGGTCATATCGTCGCGGGTGTTTTTCCATTTGGTAGGGTTGTATTTGGCCGGCCGAGTGTTGGAACGAACGTATTGGTTAGGAGTGGTCTCCTGGCCGTCAATGACGAGGGTGTCGAAGAAGTAATGCGCCGACACCAAAGGTGCAATCAATGCGGTAGTAAGAATAGTGAGCTTCATATTGAAGAATAGAATAAAGTTTTTTTTTGGTGAATGAAGGGAAGGGCCAGCCTAGCAGAAATAAAGACTTTTGTAGTAGCAATAGATAGAAGGAATTGGGATGCAATGGCTATACTGTGGTCTTTACCGTCTTTATATAACTGCCGGTGTAGCTCATGCGGTGTTAATAATCTGGTATTTCAGAGATAGAATGATAGCGATTGCCTGCAACATTCTGAATACCTCTTGTCCAGTCCATAATAATCAACTCTATATCCGAAACCTGCCAAGTCCACTGAGGCCTGTAGGCCATCCTTTGCGTTGTTCTCCATGCCTCATATCGGCAAGGCTGCTAAATGCCAAGCCTTGAAAGTTCAAATGTCACTATCGAAAGGTCGACATTATGCTTGGCATTATCGGCTTTATCCAACATATGATACAGTATCTTTGCTATTGTTCTAGGCCCTATAAGGTATCAGTATACCACGTATTTGTCTTTTTGGTGACACGGTAAGCGGCAGGTTGAGAGCTAGTCTATTGTAGTAATCTTGGCATTATGTAACTAACGGAGTGAACTGCAAGCCTTATGGCAATTAGAAGCCTTTGTCATATGTTCCTTGAGGAAGGATTTTACACTAACGTGAAATGAGCCTCTAGAAGCCCTATGGTTGTGGGAGGTGGCAGTCTGAAACACTAGGAGTTACACCTCTAATTATAGACCATCAAGAGAACCTTCATTGGACCCTCGTCTAACTGGATACGGTAAGATGGCAGGGCTGTTAGCTCAGGGTCCAGGGTCCAGGGTCCACACTCCGAACAACCTCGGCTTGTCGTAGGCTCGTAGTACCTTACACATCCATTACTAAGGTCAACAGGGTAGAACCTGGGAATCTATCCGAGCAACTAATTACGTAGGTAGGAAAGCGGTTGTGCAAGCCCAACAGTCATCGAAGTTTTATACACACCCAAGATGGTTTCCGGAAATAACGCACTATAGCATCTGCTAATCCTTTTAAAAGCGCCTTATATTGAGGTAAAGAATCGTTGGAATAGGCAGGGCGATGTAGCCAGTTGAATCACACCTGGCATGGCCCACAAAGCAGAAGCCAGCTTCCATCGAACCAAACCAGACCCAACGACAACCACTTCATACCGCAGAGACTTGCTGCAAGTCACTTTCATACGGGACCCATTCCGCGTTCGGCAGTGAAAATGGCGCTCTATTGCCGATGGGATCTTGGCATGTCAATCTAACTTATTTAGATGGACATCAGCTACTAGTCCGTGCAAATCAGAAGGCCTTAAACAAGTCGCCAAGCATCCTGTGGCGGAAATTATCCAAAGTACATCAACGGGCCAAGAGTTTAGCCTGATTCAGAGTCCTTCATCCACCACTGACCCACCATGACAATGAATGAAATGCTTTTCATTTGATAGCCTAGGGCTACGCCTCTCTGCGATGCTTTGACCTATCCTCAAGGGTCTTATGGGATTCTTCATCTCTTGGCAACTTCTGTAACCTTAACGGTGTCATCATGCAACAGTCTCAGACGTCGTCCCGTGTACAGGGTTCACCGGACGAAGGAGATAATAGGCTATAGTTTCGACAGAGATCTGCCGGCAGAGGGGATTAACAAGTCTGCCCAGGGCGAAGGAATGAAGACGAGACATCTAATGCAACGTACTATTATCCAGAGCTCCGTTCCTGCATGGGAAGGGATCATCATGAGAATCAACCTCGCGGTGTTATCATGGACATATAAACGGAGGCCAATCTGTCACTGAGTTCCCAGTTCCGCTGTCCATCTCACCAGTCTCCAGTTTCGCAAGCACTTCTATTCTATCAAGCATCCAATCAGTGATAATGACTCGATCAATCTTCATCCATACTCTCTTGGCCCTCAGTGCCCTCACTTCAGTCCACGGCGCGAACTCTCCAGGCTGCGGCAAAAACCCTACTCTAGCCAATGGCGTCCACCAGATAAACGGCCGCGAATACACCCTCAAAATCCCCGACGACTACGACGCAAACAACCCATATCACCTCATCTTCGGACTCCACTGGCGCGGCGGCAACATGGACAACGTCGTCAACGGCGACAGCATCCAACCCTGGTACGGCCTTGAATCTCGGGCGCAAGGCAGTGCAATCTTCATAGCGCCCAATGGCCTGAACGCCGGCTGGGCCAATACCAACGGCGAAGACGTAGCGTTCATCGACGCCATTATGGAACAAGTTGAGAGTGATCTCTGTGTAGACCAGAGCTCTCGCTTCGCGACGGGTTTCTCCTGGGGTGGTGGAATGAGTTACTCCCTTGCTTGCTCGCGGGCGAAGGAGTTCAGGGCTGTGAGTGTTTTGAGTGGTGGGGTGATTAGTGGGTGTGATGGGGGTAATGATCCTATTGCTTATTTGGGGATCCATGGTATCAATGATCCGGTCCTTCCGTTCGATGGGGGCGTGGAGCTGGCGGAGAGGTTTGTTGGGAATAATGGCTGCCAGCCAGCAAGCATTGAGAAGCCTCAGTCTGGGAGTAACGGGTGGAAACGAACGGACTTTGATGGCTGCTCTAAGCCAGTCTCGTTTATTGCGTATGATGGCGGTCATGATGGTGCGCCGCTTGGCGTGCAAAGCTCGTTGGCTCCTGATGCTACCTGGGAGTTCTTTATGGCTGCTTAAGGAAAGTGTCACATGGATGTGCCTCTCGAAAAGAAGTACATGGTGCATAGCCCCTATACTTACGTCTATCAAGTACAAAAGTGCTTGGGCAACTAGACCCACATTTATTGGCACTATAGTTCAACGTTCATCAGGGGAAGTTTTTTGTGAGAAGTAGTACTGTTATAAATAACCATCCATGATTCCTATCGAGAGAAACCGCCAAATCAGACTCTCTATTCAGGAACGCCTCGATTAACACAAGCCACTCACGTAGGCCGCATTTGATTTCATCAAGGCTTTCAATACACGCGTAAATGTGTTGCATGTTTCCGACATACGCAAGAATTCCTATACCTCATCCGTCAAATAGAAGTCGTGGTCTCGCTTGTCAAGGTCTTTGTTCGGCGAGTACTCTTAAAAATAAGCTTAATTATCAGAATTATAGTAACTATAAAGATCAGCTATTTCAATACACCAAATACTACAGCTGCTACAAGTAATTAACAGTAGTTCTCTTCTACTGGATATAAATTACTTTCTATATTAACAGCCACCGTAATAAAGCCGGCCAGCTATAAGAAAAGAGCTATAATCTCAATAAAAATAAAAAAAAAGTTAATTACTGTATACTCCACGAAGCTAATTTTAGTAGTGAAGAAGAGAAAGATAATATCCAGAAATATTTATTTAATATAAAATATTAAGAAGTCCTATGTGTCAGGCACACTGGTATAAGTATAGAAATTACTGTATATAAAATTTATATAGTCAGTATAGCTGCGGTATATATAAGTAGCTAGATAATACTAGTCAGACTAAATGAAAATTTTAAGAAAATAGGATATACTGATTAATCTGTATTATAACTATCTATTTTTATAATAATAATAATAAAGATAAGTTACAACGCTGGTAGAATAATATTAGTTATTCTGTTTACTGCTATGTCTATGTTCATCTTCTTAAGCATGTTGTGTAATGCTCTGTGGTTGGGATCTGAGGGAACTGGGGATATCGACTAATGAAGGACTGTAACACGGTGTAGAATAAAAGGTAGAAATTGTAGACTCAGGGAGTGCGATGCGCTCCTTTTAAGAACCTCCTCCAGCAGTCAGCAAGCAGTCTAGAAATAAATTTAGATTGGTGCCTAATACAATCTTACTCATTTAACGGCCTTATTAGGAATCACCCCAGTCTCCCTCCTGTTTCTTTGATATGATTCTCGTGCATCCTGCAACCACATTGACGAATATGGAGGTGGAGCGGTGGAAGAAAGCCATGTTACCAGATGACTAATAAAAGTATAAATAAGCCTATACTAGAGACTGATATAGCACGCGGACTAATCAGTATTGATAAATTATTGAAAGACTGAGATGATCTCTACCTGTATATTACTGCAGTCTTTACTTAATCCGGCTTAGTAGCAATAAACACTGAGCTGAGATCCACTGGCTGTTTAACGGCGAATCAGAGGCGATTAGTAGATGCTTGTCTAGGATTTGTGAATGATTCAATACTGTAGGAAGAAGAGAGAATTGGAAGTTTGAGGAGAGATTGAGAAACATTAGGAGAGGGGTTGTGGAGAGGGGGAGGCTATATAAGTGTCCATTTATCTTTTCTGGCCTTGTCTATTTAGGTAAAGTAGTTGTGTGTTTAGTGCTTACTTGGTTATAACTTGATGTCCTGTTGGCTGTCAACAGATCTCCTTGGTGGGCTAGCCACAGACTACTGCATGCACTGCCTCGGATCAACACGTCAAGATATATCAGTCGGCAAAGCTTTCTATATAATTGGAGCAGTAAGATGATGTCTTGGTCCGTGGCCGACCCAACGGAGCCGGTCCGAACCTAACGAGGTGGATACTACTACTACCATCGATTCGAGTATACTGGGCTATCCAGTATCCACACGCGCGCGACCCGCAATTGCTCCGTGATCGCAGTCTTCGGCTACTCATCCATCGGTCCGCGCTTCTAAATCGGTTGAGAAGAGAGCAGATCTCTTGTAGACAGATCGGCAACGGTGTCTCAAGTACCCCCTCGCTCACTGCCCGCCTCATCGAAGACAAGCAATAGTCAATTGTTACGCTACTATTTCTCCTGCCTGTCTACTAGAGGCGATGCTACGGCTGGAGGGATCTAGGTGTTGTTCCCTGAGACAGGGCAGTTGCGGAGGAGAACATGATGGGAAAAGCCATTCTTAGATAGCGGAACCCAAACACTCTCTCGTAGTTTCCATTATCGAGTACATTGGTAGTTGCCTATTCCCCAGAAACCACCGGGTCTCTTCTCCCTTTTCCTCTTCTCCTTTCTTCTCCTTTCTTCTCTTCTCCTTTCCTCAAGTTTCCGTCCAAGATCTTTCCATAGATACTGAATATTGATGCCAAACTTATACTTCTTTTTTAAAACTCGACTCCAACGCGCCCCCCCGCCCCCAACGACGACAATGCCGGCATCACCGTGAGTTTGGCTATCAAGCATGAAAAGGTCTTCATCTGACGATTTGTTAGGATGATGTCGGCCGACGACGGGTCGCTCACCGGAGCGGCCCAAGCCCCCCTCCCTCCTGACAACGGCGCGCACGGTGGCCACCCTCCGTCAAGCGTCTATTCTTGGTGGGGTCCAGATGAGTCCAGTTGGCTCCTTCTCGCGGATCCCAACGATATCTCTCTGGACCCCACCGAGCAATTGAAGCGGCAAGACTTCCTCCTGGAGTATGGGCACTACGCGGGCCGGGTTTGGGACTGCCTGGTGAAGGCGTCCGTTGCGCTACGGCTTCAGATCACGTTGAGCGTCGTCCAGTTCCGTGACAAGCTTACCCAAGAATTCAATGATTCTTCCAGCGGACGGCAATATTGGATCCGCCTTCTCGAAAGATGCGTCGAGTATCTCAGAGAGCAGGGCCTGGATATCGACCTTGACATGGCGAAGCTGGCAATTCTGGTCTATAGCAAGCGGGACCTCCTTTGTCGCGCTAGGATAGGGGATGTACCTGCCTCGACCTCTGCCGCGCTGAGGAGAGAAATCGAGCAGGCCAACAACCACCTCCCCGAGGTCCTGTCAAGGGATCAGTCCCGCAGCTATAGTACCCGGCAACGGATTCGGGCCTTCTACGGCAGTCCCCAAGACATGAAATACTCCAGACTTGGCGCTGAGTCTGCCCTTGTCTTGCCGGAGCCTGACTGCAGACACCTGCCCCGAGACGCACAGCGCCGTGCGTTCTAGAACCGTGTTTTCGCCGATCGCGTTGACGCGGCTTTCCAGACAATCAACGAGCGGATCCCGGTCACCTTTCGTCCTATTCGTTGTCAAACGCGGACGAAGCGTAGTGTGTCGGATCCGCTCGAATACGTTCCTCGGAAAAGGCGTGCCCTTGGATCGCTGGACTGAGGAACGTATCGATGGAAAGCCTGCCGACGCGCCATCCTCCACCGTGGCCTTTGGAAACGTGGAGGATGCCTGCATATATCAAGATATGTGCAGGGATCTCGATTACACGCTCGGCAAAAACCGGGGAATGGGCCGCAAGGCTCTCCAGGAGGCACGGAAGGTGGTCCGCCGTGCGCGGGCTAACGTTGAATAGGTCGGAGGGAGGGGGAGTGACAAAGGGCCCCGTCATCGGCGGTAAGTAAGGGCTACTTTTGATTCTCTGGTGATTTGCACTGACTTCTTCTTGACTCCGCCTCGTGCGGAGTCCCCCCAGCGATGAGCTTGCACCTTACCCTGGTGCTGGGGTTCAGTATTCCTCTGAAAGGAGGAAGAAGCCAAGACAAGCTCTTTCGTAGAACATAGGATGTGTAGAGAGTCAGAATAGCGTGAGTGTGAAATCGCAGAGAAGGGTGAGGTTGATGCCTGGGTTGTTGTAGGGGAGTAGTTCTTATGTCTGGACAATTATCCCGCAGTACTATAAGACATACATCCTGTATATAGCAATCTCGCAGCCTGAAATACCGGCCGTAGGCGACTTGGGAATCATATTCGAGGATAAGGCCTTAATCAATCCAACATCCATCAGCTACATTAGCATGACTTGCTCTTTCGCTGTATGCACATCCTGAGTTCATGTTGTGGCGGCTATTCGAGTAAATTGCTCCTTGGTTAGTTGCTCGGCAGCCCATGCAAACTATACTCTCCCAGAAAAAGGTACTGTAACTCAGGTATCGTTCCACGCGAGCCTCCTCACAAGGGCCCTGGTTACTACTGCGTAGCTAGTATCTTCGACCTCAGAGGATCTCTTGCTCTCCATCAATACAATGAATTCCGGCGTGAGTTTCAAGGGCGGAGATCACAATAATGGGGAACTAGATACGGAGTAGGCAAACGTGGACTCCACATGCTACATACACCATATCATATACTCGTCGCGTGTTATACACAGGCTTTACGGATAAATAACCACAGTATATCACTTCTAGTAGGGATTGAAGACAACAATCGACGCGTCAAGCTGTATTGGTAAGTATGGCTGCGTGTTCTTGTTCTCTGCTTCTCGTCCCTAGTCTTCCTCTACTTTCTTCATTCTCCTTCCCCGTCACTGGACGCTCCTAGAGACCATAAACACTCTCCTCATCACTTTACTAGGATCTTCGTTGACAATCGATTCATCGAATCTACATCTTTTTCATCCAGTTGATTGATTTTTCCTTATAGAGATGATTGGCATCAAGCAGGAGTGTGGGTGGTGCAAGCAATCGGTAGTAAGCGACATGGAAGCCTTTTTCTTACAATTATCTCTCATCTCTTACAACTTTTACACTCCCCTTCGCTTGAAGCTTTTGCACATCCACTTTCCCTCAACCCTGCTGTTCAACCGGACGACTTCTATTGCTCAAGCGCTTCTTCTCATTCCTGAAGCTATGTGAACCTTTCTTTCTTCGTGACGCTTTTGCTTCCGACAAGGACAGAGAACTGCATGACTCTGTTATGAGCTCTACTCTGAGAGCTGCTCTTATGGAGGTCCATTCTTCTATATGGTGTCCCACCGACCTAGAACGGTAAGTCTCACATTGGCTAGCGATCGTGTGTCCCGCTTCTGACGATTTTGCTTCTGACAGGGTCACGGAGATACCGACTGCGCTCTAAGGGATATGATCCAAGAGCTGGAGGCCCACCCACCTGAAAGCTGGGCCTCACTGATACTCAGAGAGCACTAGATCGCTTGTGAGCTGTCGGAGAAGAGGTCGACGGCGAAGAATCAAATACTGCGAGTGTTTCAGAGCTCAGTCTACACTTATTGTAGAAACTTCGTGAACTTGGTAGTCGTCATTACACCAAGCTATTACTCCAGTTCAGGCGAGGTATGGGAACCACACGATGCATACGGTATGTACCTGTAGCTATGTGACAGAGGCGAGCTATAGACTTATGCTAACACAGTTTGACATAGGGCCGCCTAGCAGCTGCACCAACATCGCTGCAACGAATGCTCGAACCATTTCATCGGGACAAATGCCTCGACCTATTCACAACCCCTTAAGCCTACCTGTCCTCTACCCGGGCGCGTACCAATGAATCGACGTAACAATCGCAATCGAAGAGCTTGGGAACGGCGCTTTCTCAACATAAGAAGGAGCAGGCCAGCAGAAAGCAAGAAGTGGTTGTTAGACAAAGACAAGGGATGGTGACTTGCAGGGATGCTGAAGCCAGTTGCGACGGGATTGGTAGCTGATGTGTTTCTACCTACCTCCTTCATGGGTTACATTATGAAAACGATGGATGATCATGACATAGGTTCTATGAATGCCAGACCACCCTATCCTGTGCTACCCTGCATGGCATGGATGATATACTTGAATGAACAGACTCCTTTTGCACTATATGAACCTTAACCTACCACTTCCAAGTACATACGACCACAGGGTGTGGAGAACAGGGCTTCCCGTCCGCTCAGCCGTACTTAAGCCACACGCCGGGAGGTTAGTAGTTGGGTGGGTGACCACCAGCGAATCCCTTCTGTTGTATGTTTTTACCCTTTGTGATCTGTCTCCTTTCAAGGCAGTCGAAATGCTGGTTGTCAATAAGATTTCTTGTGCCCTGTTACAGACAACTCAGCCTCGCGGAACTCTGTTACTTTGGATCACGTGACTCCATATTGCCGTGATCTTTGACGAAGTCCAACTTAAGGAACGCTGCCCTCTGGGTATTAGGCTAAACCCCTCTTGATATAAGTCTTCTACGGAGAATAATTGGTCCAGATAGGGCATGGCTAGTCCCAAGGCTATTACTACATGTTGGCCTACCCAATTCGGCGATTTGCAGCTCCATCCCCCGCCCCTGAGATGAATCGATTATTTCTGCCTGACAGAAAGCTATACCTTATTGGGGTATGATCTACCTTTGGGAGGTCTAATCACCAAAGGCATCACTTCGCAGGCTACCCGAGGCCAGATAAGCCAAGAGCGTGCTTCCCTGCGCCAGCACCCTAGCGAATCCTAATCATGTGCTGGTAGTAACTGGTCGGTAGACGTGCTCAAGGATCGCTTTTCCGATGCCTCTTACTGGGGGAGGAGAGAGGGGGTAAACCCACTCGAATTTACTTTCGACGGCTGCGTACTGATGTTGTCTGCTCTAGAGCAACTGGGAGCCACTTGCCTTCCCATGGATGTAAAATTAATTGTATGCAGTCTCCACTGGCAGCCGCTAGCAATGTTATAAGTATAACCGTGTAATAAGGTGCAGTGCACAGACACTTAGTAATAACATATAAGAAAGCATCTACTAGTAGTTCACTGCGTCTTCACTTTCACTTCTTTCTGAATAGCATTCAGTATTTTACTCAAAAATCTACTCTTACTCGGAGATCCTAAAATCTCAGGAAGGCCAGTCTACTTGTGTCTATATACAGTAGCACCGGCCGTTGGCATATGATTTCAGAAACCAGATGTGTCATTAGAAGCAAAAGTGTTACACTGGTTGCAGTGGATGCCTCGGGCCAGCTGAGAAGGCGAGACAACAAGCAAAGAAATTTAGGTAAACAAATGATAGCTACTAGACAAGAAGAGACCATGAATTCATAATCCAAATGAAGCACCAGAAATATTTGTAACCCTTTCTGTTTTCTGTCCTTGAGGCAATGTTAGAGTTGGAGAATGCGGTCGGGAAGCACAGTTACCAAGTACTCACCATACCTCAGAAGCCCATCGAACGTGGATCTTCAGAAAGATTTGTGTAACGTAGAATATGCCCATCATTGTCTGTACAGTACTCAAAGAAATCGCATTTGCCAACGGCGCAGACGTAGTGAATCGCCCCACGAACTTTCTGTTGGCTATCCCATCCAGCTATTTGCCTGCGGCTAAAGAGGTATCCCTCGCAGTAGCATACAGGGTTATTCAAATGGATGCCCCGCATGTCGCCAAAGCAGGAAAACCTGTTGCATGGCTCACATCTAAAGTAAGGTCTTCCATCGTGGCCAAGGTGGTTCCCTCTTCGTGCGATTCTTTCGGTTGTCGGTCGTTTACAACTGAGGCACAAGGGGGCACTGCGAATCGCCCAATGTGAAGCTTCAGGATCCATGGTTATTTTCAAGGACAGACACAATATAGTGCGTTAGAAAACAGACCAAGAGTGAACGCAGGACCACAATATTGCACTCTAAGAGGACATCTAAGTTCTCAAGAGGAAACATTTCGAGATTGATGGCGGTGGGATGGAAGGGTGACATATAGGCACATGCACCATTCCTTTGGTCAGTGTCTGAATTGGGCAGCCATGTAGCAGGCATCTATATGCGAGTGGACTTGATTCTTGTAATAATAAGGATTCTGGTCTGTTTAGTTCATTGAGATCATAACTTTGAAATTCGATAATAATTAAATTGGTATATTGTCATTCTATTCTTCATTTCTTCTTCTTCATAATATTAAATATCTTTTATTCTAGAGTCATGAAAGTTTATTAAACATTAATCTCGCAACCAGTAATTAGCGGAAAGAAGTTCAGCTCTGATGTTTCGCTTCCCATTAGCAAACCCATGCTGAGCCTCGTGGTACAGAACGGCTCATTGAACATCACTTGGCTTCCAAATATCTCCGCCCACTCATAATAGGTTCCCCATTCAATCCCTACCATGATCCACAATGCATCTGGCCAAGAATAGGTCTCGATCCCGTGCAACCTATCCGTTGGATGATTGACGGGATCCATGGAACACGGGCCGAAAGCCGATAGACCAAGCGGCTTCACTTATGGAACAACACCAATTTAGAACATTGTCACATGCCGATACGTCATGCATTAACCAACTGACAAGGGGAATTTTAGCCAGAACAACAGGGACTTCCATCTCGCCCGAGTGTCTCGTACTTGCACCATCTGCTTTTATGGCAGCTTACTACCCCTGATGCTCTGAATGGACCTCAAGAGTGACAAAGAAGTGCATGATCGGGTATGTATGACGCTTCATCTATTAGTATTATGAATACCACATGCTCATCCTTCTGTAAAGCCGCTTTCTGAGCGAGACAAGCGCATCCTCACTACCTATGGGAGATTGCCTTGTGGAGGTAGTCTTGGCCAGCAGCCTAAGGTATACTTGCACTGTGACCCCTCGTCATCGTCGCTGAATGCATTCAGAAACGGACCTACTTCGATTCTGGAGACTATGCTCTCTCTGCTGCTCACCGAGTGACTGACAGCGGTGATGATATCAAAACCGGCACGGCTCACCCTGTCCGCGAGAGCATTTCGCACCCCTTCGCACCGGTACCGAGCACTGGCAATGCTGGTAACGAGGCTAACAATGGTATCTTTGAGGACAAAAGCGCAATTACACAGACTCCAAGGAGTCCTCTTTCCCGGAACCCGAGCTTCAGTGAATAGGAAATATAACCCTGGAGGACAGAAGGAGAGCCTGAGGAGCTTGTAGAATGCTTCACGAAGGTTGTCAAAAATCAACCCATGATGAGGGAGATGTTTGATCAGCTTCACTGTTTGATGTAAGATGGAACACGCTGATTCATCCTGAAGCGTGTGGTATAGAATGCGTTTAACATTCATCCCTTAGCTTTCCAATCTTTTTTTCAGATTGACCTGTACTTGGATATGTACGTATATCGAATAAATATTCCGTACCACTTATGCATCATACTACGAAAAGACAGTCAATCACCCAGTCTAGGTTCTTCAACTTTGTCATCGAGGCCTAGGACGAGTCAGTCGACACAGTAAGGCTATAATTTACCGGCAACTCACTCCAGGTATTTATTTCGGCATTTCTCCTTCATCCCCTTTTTCCACCAATATGCAGGTAGCGATCATAGACCAGGCAGTATCCAGACGAGCACCGCCACCGCCGTGGATACCACTGCAAGATCCGATATCATAAAGGTGTCAAACACGCTCAAGTTTCCGGTATGCAGGCTCCGGCACGCGCAGTGATGCAGACGCATACTGATCCAAAAAGGCGTGTAAACTGGAATGTTCCGACTCAGACACACAGACGCTCGATCGCTCTTGCTGACGGTGTCCCGCACAACAATGCCAACACTGGCGTAGGCCATCTTCAGTCGAAGACTTGAGCGAAGGCCTTGAGCCAGATTGGTCTGGTGTGGATCTATAGACACCACTGATGTGTGCGGCGAAGGCTGGCCATCTGGAAGTTGTCAAGGCGTTACTGCAAGGGCAAACGCGGGCAGATGTAAGACTTGGGAGTTGGGACGGTGTGACATCGTTGATGTGGGCGGTGCGGCACGGATTCTGCCATGTGGTGGAGTTCTTGCTCGATCGTGATGATGTGGATGTGGCGTCCCAGGATAGCGATGGTCGGACAGCGCGGATGTGGGCGGAGGAGTGTGGGAATCGGGAGATTTTACGATTCATTGATTCCCGTGGGATAGGATGAGTTTATGTTTAGTTGCCTTCGTGAGAATATGCGACTGGTTCTAGCTAGAGGGCATGGCTCTGAACTCATCAGTAAACCAAGGACTATGGTGGAACGGTACAGTTTGGTTAATCAGTATGAAGTCAGTCCCTCACTCAAAGATCTACAATTTACTATGACGCTTGACTTGTAAGCAACTAATCAGTGAATCCCTAAAGCCATTCAGCCGTCAAACGGCTTCTCGGCTTTACTAACCACCTTTAGCTAGCTTAGGCGACCACCAGACCTGTCAGCATATAAGGCCAACTTCAGTGTCATGTGTCATGTATTACTTTTTGTACTCTCAATCCCCCATCAAGTTGTGTATACACAATGCCACTATTGGCCCTACCCACCGAAATATTACAGCAGGTCGCTGCACTCCTCCCGGATGGACATCTCTCCAGTCTACTGCAGGTGAACCTCCATCTATACGATGTACTGCTTCCATGTCTCTACCAACGGCGTCACAAGTCTCGAGACTTTGCACGTAGCTGGCCAGCAGGTTTCATGCGAGCCATTGCGACTGGGAATGTCCAAGGCACACAGAACTTCCTCCACTACGGCGCCGACGTGAACCTCGTATGCAGTCATCACTTTCTGCATCAAGCGAAAGTCCCTATTGAGCCTTGGTTTGATTTGCAGATGCCGCTTAATTTGGCAGCGAACATCGGAAATGACACGTTGGTGATGATGTTGTTAGATCACGGGGCTGAAATCAACGGACTGAAGCACCATGATGGGGTTCGCTGTAGACGCACCCAGCCAGCTATCGTGGATGCTCTATTATCAGGACATATAAGCACTGTTCGAGTCCTGCTTGAACATGGCTCAGATATCCAAGGCTGCCATATAGAGGCTGGTCGGCTAGTCCTCTACGCCGTTGATACAGGCCAGTTAACGATGCTCCAGCTCCTGCAGGAGTTCGGAGCTGATCTAAACATCGCTTATAATCACGTGGAACCCCTACACAAGGCAGCCTGCTTGCGACAAATATCGACTGATATAGTACGGTTCCTGCTTGATCATGGCGCGGAAATCACCTCTTCTGATCGTCGTCATAGACGGATTATGGAAGGTGTGATGAGAGGAGGGACCATCGATACTGCCCGGCTTCTGCTAGAACGCGGAGCGGTATTTCCGCAGGATGGATTCCATTCGGCTATTGCCTGCGGAACGCCTGACTTTATCCGCCTGCTCATTGAATATGGTCACAAGCCTGATATCGAGTGGCTCAAATGGGCTATTAGGAGTCGGCGGCTCGATCTATTGCAGCTACTTCTTGAAGAGGGCGTTGCTCTCGATTCCAGGGACACTAGAGGATCCACAATCCTGCATTATGCGGTAAAGTGGTGCAGCTATGAAAGCCCCACACATGGAATGTCGCAAGCGATATGCGGGATTCCTGCACAGACGCCACTTGTGCGCCGTATCAAAAACATCGAGCCTCAAACGGTATCATCTCCATGTAGTATCCAGGGCACCTCTAGGGGTACTTCGGAAGACATCCTGCGCTATGTCATTTATATAGGGGCGGAGATCAATGCCGTGGATGGTGATGGTCGGACCCCGCTCGATATAGCTAGGAAATACGCTCCGAAGGTGGAGCAGATACTTGTAGATAGCGGTGCTACATCCCATAGCAACTTCCAAGGAGGAAGAGAAAGTGGATAACCGGGTGAATTCAATAACTATATTTGGCGAGGCTGATTAGCTTGGATAGGTATCAGCTGGATCTGTTGGTTGGACAATAGATGTTGGGAGTATGGTTACTCCTTTTTTGTGGTGCATAGCATACTATATCATGGCCACTGCGTCTTTTCCCAATGACACATGAGACGCCTCTGGTCTCAGACATTGTGTTCCTCGGCATGCTAAGCCTCTGCCTCAATGCTTGTTCATTCGTGGACTAATAGCTTAACTGCCATGTGACGGTTATGGGGCGGTGGCGCGGGAGCTCACGGACCCCTAAACGAAGAAGACGTTTCTTAGCGTAGTCATAAACCCATGCTGCTGTATAAATCCTCCTCTCGCATAAGAGTGGCAACTATCTTACTCCTGATTAGGCCCCAACAAACTAGGGTACATAAAGCAGAGCCTCCCGTAATATGGTAACACCATCATCCGATCTGAGGTGAAAGTGAACCATCTTCATGCGACGATCTTGTCCAAAACCAAACACACTATTCACAGAAGACTTCTCTAAATCTTTCACATGTCTTTCAAACTACTTGTCCTCTTCTCCACAACAGCGCTAGCCACACTCGACGACGGCACAAACCTCGTTACACCCGTTGTTAAAACCGTGACTACTTATGAGGCCGTCACAGGATCTCCGGTTACCACAGCTGTAACCAAAACCATGACTTCATACATTGATCCGATTGAATCTTATCTCGTTTCCGAACTGGAGGCCCTGGAGCCAACATACCCAAGCAGGGTCGAATCTGTTCTTGACACTGCCATCCCGTCAACATGGGCGGAGAGAATGTCAAGCGATCAGTCATTCTCCAAGTCTGTGGCGGACGCGGCGGCATCGGGGATCCTGCCAGTCTGGTACTCTAGTCTGCCAAGCGATGTGAAATACGTTATGACAAGCGATCAAGCTGTGTACAAATCCGAGATCTCTGCTTTACCTTGGCCTCCCGAGACTTTCGTTACCGGTTCCGGGTCGTTCTTAACTTCGACGCCGGTATCGTCATCTATCTCCTCTTCGTCGTCATCCACGGGGTCAAGTACGTCTGACCCTAGTACTGAAACACAAGCTTCTGAGACGTCTTCCGTGTCTACTGGCGGTGCGCCCGTCCCTACTGGAAACCTTGCCGTGACTATTGCGGGTGCTGCCGGGGTCCTGGGCCTTGCTCTTGCTCTGTAAAAGGTTCGACACGATTGAATCTATAAGATCTTATTATATTGCTGGCAGAGTTCTTCTTGTGTTATTAGGCTGTGATTCTCTATAGTATAAGCCCTTGCGTTCGTAGTTTGTGACGTCGCATATCAACCAAGTACCCGTACCCCTACTACTTAACGAAAAAATTCATTATTTCGCCTTAATAAATATTATCCAATCAAACACAACACTCAGCAAAGACAAGCTACGGCCGAGTCCGCCCAACCGTCTCGGAACGAGGCTGAGCTATACTTAAGTGAGTAACAGCACTCGCCCAAAACCGCAACAACGAGAATAACCCGATCATTTAGCTGAACCTTCGTACCCGCACGGGACCCCACCGATGCACATCAAACAACAAATCGGATACAAGAACGGCTGTACCTGTGCTAAGAAACCTTGTCCGGCGCTTATCCGTCGAGGCTCCTCGGCCAATACTTTAAATTGCGGCGCAGTCAACTTGCATGATGGAGTGTGCGCTTAATTGGATAGCTGCAAGCAATTATTCCTGCACTAACGAAGTCAAGACTAGCAGGATACTTGCGATGGTGTGGAGGGTATTCCGCATTTCAGCAAAAATACAGAGTCACTCATGCAGCTAACGACCCTAAATGCATGCTTCCGTATCCTCCGCACCAATCTATTAATCGATCCATACACCAAAGATCATCCCTGATAGCAACCCCTAAACACGGGAAAGAGCCCTGAGTACCTCCTTCTCCTCCACCTTCTCCCTCAAGCTTCCTGTCCAGCCCATCCACCCTCTCCATATCCATATCCACGTCATGCCCACCACCTCAACCTCCACCTCACCCAACACCTCACAATCAGACCAAACCTCCCTCACAACCACCTTTCCACACCCAAACTCACACCCACACCTACAATTACCAGCATCACCACCTCTCCTCATCCCCTCCGCGCACCACGAAACAACCGAACTCCTCCAAACCCTCACGCACATCCGCACGCACCTCCATCGCGCCTCGCACCTCTACACTCAAAAAGCAGCATTTCTCGACACCCCAGAGCGGCAATGGATTGAAACTACGATCGCAGATACCGCTGACGCAGTGCATGCGTTAGCGGTGCTGGTTGAACCGGTGCGTGTGGAATGGGAGGTCAGGAATCAGCATCATCACAGTAAAAAGGGGAGTAAACGGGTGTCAATGGGCTTGGGGACGCAGTTAAAGTGGCTGTGCAGGGATGGACAGAGAGCGAAGGTACAGAGAGGACGGTTGCTGGTTTGCTATTCGAGTTTGATGGTGGTTTTGGAGAGGTTGATGGGGGTGGGTTGTGATGAGGGAGGGAAGTTAGAAGGGAGAGGGGGTGGTGAGGAGATGGGGGTTGAGGTGGAGGTGCAGGAGTTGCCAGGGGAGGGAGCTGCTGGTGTTGGTGGTGGGGAGGTGAGTTTGGGGATGAAGGGTAGCACAGGAGGAGGACTGGGGTTAGATGTTGGGGATGAGATGCGGGATTTGCTACGCTGGAGGCAGGCGAAGGGGAAAGATACTTAGATTTATGGTACTTTATATGGGAGAGGCTTTCAGGATTATGATACTGCCAGAGATCATTATATTTCCACCCTAAGTGTGAAATCATATCTGAGCCATCGTCTCCTCCACCATCTTCTGGGGGACCGGCAGTTTATCCCCCCGTTCGTCACTGATCTTCATCACAGCCGGCAGGATAACAATAGAGCCAGGAGATGGCGCACTCCAGCTAAACTCGAACGAGCACGGCTGGGTAAATAGCCATACGCTCAGCTGAGCTGCCTCTTTCACAACACTAACCAAATGACGCCTGCGATCTGAATCCGGGAGCTCGTGGTTACGGTATAGGCCAAACACTTCTGAAAATCCCTCTGCGAGAGTCGCGATGTTCTTTTGTGCAGCTTCCGACGTTGTGTCCAGGTACTGGGCATGCAGGCGAGATGTCAGCATGCGCCATGCGAACATGGCACCCGTCGAATTGGCGACCGAGCCCGGCTCAACCCCATGAGACTCTATAAACGGAGGATACAGAGACCCTCCAGGTTGGATAGCTTGTAGTATGTTTCGAGCCAAGACATGATTCAGAACGGGTCGACGGGCGCGGCGGCTAGCCAAAGCGGTTGTCAAGGATCCAGTCACCGAGGAAGAAGTATAGCTTTCTATGCGAGAAGCTTCCTCTGGGGTTGGTGATATGCTCTCATATCTTGCGGGCACGTAATAATTGTCGACATGAAGGCCGATGTGGTCGAAGAGAGTCTGTATGCGTGTGCTAACAGTCTGGTCGTCGGCTGGCTGCGGGATGAAGGGGATCAAATCGAGCTGTGAGTTGTGACCTCCTGTTGGGGAAATGGGGGAGGAACCCGATAGAGCTTGAACCCTGGCCCGCGGTTTCACCAACTCCACGCCGTCTCGATCGGAGTCACCAGAACTGCTAGACTGGGGTGTGCTTTTTCTCCTTGAGCGAAAGAAAAGTGCAGCACCAATAATGGCCAGAATAGCAGTCCCGGCAATGGATCCAACGATTGCCCCTGCCAGAGCACCTTTACTGACGCCGTTGCTGTACGAGGGCAGGCTGGATGCGGTGCTGGTAGGAGTGCTGGACGAGGAGGAATTTACCACACTTGCCGACGTGGTTTGAGACGACAGAGCTGTTGAGGATCCCGGGGTAGTCAGAGTTGGCGATGTTGGTGCTGTGGTGCTAGAATCGCGTGTCGTAGTGCCATATAATGGCACCGATGATGAACCATATTGCTCTTGGCGAGCTTGGATCAAGGCTTCCATCGTGGGCAAAGGGCGGATGCTTTCACAAAATGAGGGTGAAGGGTCGATGAGCTGAAAAGTACTCCAACGCCCATTTTATTAATGCACTCCTCCGCCCCAGCCGACTTAAATCAGATTGGGAAATGCAAACAGGGGTGTACCAGACTACGGGTTGATTAGCGGCAATCGGGCAAAAACGAAGTTGAGAGCAGCAATACCGCAGACGAACATCGGCATCTAATGAAGCCCGAAGAAAATTCTGCTTGTACGTAATTTAGAGCTTTGAATGATTTAAAAATTGGACTAAATGAGAATTTTCTCTTTTCTACCTAGATTACGAATATAATTTCCCTAAAACGTTTGAGGCAAAACGACGGCGATAAGAACTCACGCTAATTTTTGCGCTATGCACCCCGGTACCAAAGTATCCAGGATCAAAGGACACCCCCTTCTCGCAGCCTTGTCTAGGTGGAGTAACGGAGGTTTTAGTTGCATCCACTAGAGTCCGACAGGGGTTCGGTTGAGGGGCTTGAAGCCAGCTTCTGTCGCACGCGCCCCCGTCAACATTTCCACCTCCCACTGTCACAACATGAGCGACAAAGAAGCCCTTGGTCCTCCGACAAAAAGCACGCTCCAAGATGGGGAATGGAAACCGAACATCGTAGTCGGGGTTGACTTTGGTATGACGCACACAGGTATGTACGTGGTAGTCAGGCCATATGTCGCGTCTGCTGCAAGACATTTTACTTGCCTTGAAAGCTTACTGCTGATCAGGTGTCGCATACTCGTACGGACCAGACTGGCCACCTCCCAAAACCATCCAGCGATGGCCGGGGAAGTTGCCCGGCGAGCTGGCCAATAAGGTTCCCACCTGTATCATCTATGGCTCTGATTCTAAAACAGTCAGTCATTGGGGGTTCCAATGTGATATCGATAACTACGAGGCACGAACAAAGGAATTCTTCAAGCTTCATCTTGCGCCTCAGTATGTGCGAGATGGGGGCCCAAGCCTGACAGAAGCCCAGAAGTGGTTCCAGGACTACATTCAGTGCATCTATCGGCATGTGGTGTCCTACTTTGAAACCACGATCCCACAGTTTGTCATGCAACGCGTCGAGTTCATTTTCAGTGTTCCGACGACGTGGAAGGATGTGCGCATGGTAGAGGAAATTAGGAGGTTATTGATGCAAGTCATTGACGCGCGAAATCCTAATCACCGGGCCCGCATCGGCCTCACGGAAGCAGAAGCCGCGGCTGTTTATGCAGGAAACGAGCACTACGGGGTCAGTCACCGTTCATACAAATTATCTAACGTATGGCACTGAAGCTGACAGCTGTACAGCAAGATGATACCATTCTGGTTTGCGATTCGGGTGGAGGAACGACAGTAACTTGACCCCATGACCACCCTTTTGGCCTGTAGAATGTTGCAACCAACATTGATTGTAGGATGTAAACGTCCTCAAGCTTCTGTCAGCACAGAGTGAACCTACGCAACTGGCTCAGCTCGGTCATGTCGAAGGTAGCTATACAGTTTGTTATTATATCGTCCTTGGTTAACAGTATGCCAGGACACCCTATCGGCTCGGTTTTCATTGACAGAGAAATACATCGCCTCATGTGCAAGCGACTCGAAGGTATCCATCAGCACTTGAAGTCATCTCCAAACACGACAGCGTGGCGGATGACATTTGGTCGATTTCAGCGATACAAATGTGCTTTTGGCACCGATGCCACGGCCACGCCTTGGCTGAAGCTGGATGTCCCAGGATTAGATCCCAATCTTGACTTTCCAGAGGTGGGGATATTTAATGGTCAGATGCAAATTGCTTGGTAAGGTTGGGTCAAACAGTCTGTTATAATAAACGTTGACACCGGAAAGGGAAGATGTCCAGAAAAGCTTCGACTCGAAAGTGGATGGAATATTCCAGCTCATAGATACACATATCCAACAACTGCGCGCCCAAGGCTCTAGTGACGATATTGTTTGTTTGGCAGTGTGGAATCTCTTTACACACCTAGGCTAACACATGTCACAGAAATATCTGGTGCTGTCCGGCGGGCTGGGTAGCTCGCCGTATGTGAGACAACGCCTTCAGGAGAAATACAATAGTTCGAGCAAAGTCTCGCCGACAGGAGTGAATATGCAAGTTCTCATGGCCGATGAACCGTACGTTGCTCCTGATTCTCGCTAATGGATCGTGAGGTCACTTACCAACTGCATGTCATAGTCAATTGGTTGTTGTCCACGGCTTGGTTATGGACCGCACCCAGCAGCTCAAGCGCGGCGTTCTAACGTTCGGCTTCCGATGTGCACCGGTGAGCTACGGAATCATATGCCACAAGGTTTACAACCGCGAAATACATGTAGGAGAACGAGTCCAGATGGACGTTCGCGATAAGCGTCTGTATGCTCTGGACCAAATTGACTGGCTCGTAGTCAAGGTTTGTATTTGTCTCTCATGTTTCATGTTTGGAGTTGACCATCGCGCTCTGACTAGGGGCGCCCAATTCCACCGACTGGAGTCACAAAGGAATTCCACCTGAGGACCGACGTCGGTTTGGAAGCTGGAATCCATAATGTTGAGATTGTGATGTCGACGGAGTTGCCGGACAGGCTACCACGCAGCTTGTCCCACGAAGGATGGCAAACTGTTTGCAATCTCGATATCGCGACCGACAACGTGGATAGGAAGCTGAAGAATCGCCATTGGTACAGCTCGAAACCTGCTTTCTGGCGGACGTCTTTTGAGGTTAGGGTAGTTGTTGGACCCGCTGATCTCTCGTTCCAGTTGTGGTCCAGGGGAGAAAGAATCCGGAGCAAGCATGAGCCAATCTCGGTGCATTGGATGCCCGCGGAAAAGACATAAGTATTAGTCTCATATCATACCATCTGTGACCGGTGATGGAAGTATACTGCCCCATTATCCATATTGTCTAATATAAACTTGATTTAAATTTTGTTCTTAGTCCCGGGGGGATTATCCGCCGCTTAGACCATCCCATTCAGAAGTAACGGCAGCCCATCATACACCATGCCGGAATTCTTGCGACAGTCAAGGACTCCGGATCATGTCCGACGACTTCTGCCAAGTCGGATGTGTCCGTTGTGTGCGGAGTCCCCATGGGGGATCGACGACTCCAGAGTGTAAATCCGGGGAAGATAAAGGGTGGGACCATATGATACATAAAAGCCCGATAGCATGGATTGACTGTAATCCGACGTCTTTCGTTAATTCTCCACAACGCCTTTCCATTTAGTCATGGCGCCCAGAAACGACGAATATCACCTGGACGACAGGGACTCTAAGATCATCGTCGAGAATCTCGAGGATGTCTCATATCCAGAACACTCGTTGACTCAGTTTCCTCTCCTACGGGAGAAGTCACCCACTGAACTGGAGCATCTGGACAAGGCTGTCCTAAAGAAGCTGGACTACTACTTCCTGCCTTGTGTGACAATTATGTTGCTCATGAGGTGTGTTTGCTATCATTGCTACCAGCAATACCAAACACTAATGATGGCACAGCTACCTAGACAGAATCAACGTATCCAACGCCCGTCTAGCCGGCATGCAGGACGACCTCCACATGTCCGACACCGAATGGTCCGCTGGAATTTCCCTCTTCTACGTGGGATACATCATCTCTCAAGTTCCGGCAAGCGTCTTCATCGCCAAAGGCAAACCAAGCATAATCTTCCCCTGCATTATGCTCTCCTGGTCCGCCGTCACAATCTGTATGCCGGCCCTCACCTCGGCTTGGGGCTTCTGTCTCTGTCGATTCCTCGTCGGCGTGACTGAAGGCCCCTTTATCCCCGCGGTCTCCTTGATGACTTCATCCTGGTACACGAAGAAAGAATCCCCCTTACGCATGGGCATCTGGCACGCGGGGAATATCATCTCCAATGTATTCTCTGGACTTCTTGCGGCAGCCATCCTTGCGAACATGGACGGCATTGCACATCTTCGCGCGTGGCAGTGGTTTATCCTACTAGAGGGAATCGTCAGCATTTTGGTGGCCTTAATTGCATTTTGGTTCCTCCCGAACTTCCCCGATAATACTAGTCGACGGTGGTTCAGTGAAGAGGAAGCTGAAATGGCAAAGTACAGACAGTTCGTCTCTGCGGGAGGGATCCACGAGGATGATGAGGGTGGTCGCTGGACTGGTGTTTGGCTTGCCGTTAAAGATCCATTTACGTGGTTGTTTTCGGCGATGCATTTCGCGCTTATTATTGCGCAGTCGTTTAAGGATTTCTTTCCTTCAGTACGTCTCCCTCGCTCTACTCTCACATTCTACACATTGCTGATGATAATGATACAGATCGTCGCAACCCTCAACTTCTCCCAAGTCGAAACATACCTCGTCCAAGCCCCACCATGGGTGATAGCCTACATCGCCACCCTAATCCTATCATGGTCCTGTGGCCGCTTCCTCAAACATTGCTGGCACATCGTTATACCCATGCTCATCACCCTCGCGGGGACAGTGATCATGATCTCAACCTTGAACATCGGAGCGCGGTACTTTAGCTTTATACTGCTGTGTACAGGACCGTTCGTCGGATTGAACGTAAGCGACCCATCACACTTTACCCATTGAAACCCACGCTTCCCTTACACACTCCCACCACCCAAACTAACTTAGAGGTTAGATCCAAATATCCTGGGAAACCAGCGTCGTCCCCCGCCCGCGCACAAAACGAGCCGCCCTGGTGGCAATCGCAAACTGCGTATCGTCAGTCTCGCATTGGTTCACGCCATATTTCTTCCTGACGTCGCAGGAGCCGAGGTATGAGACCGGAGGGGGAATTATTATTGCGGGATGTGGACTTACGGTGGTGCTTTGCTTGGCGACGAGGTGGTGGTGCGTGAGGAGGAACAGAGATCTGGAGAGGGAGGAAGGGGAGGGGAGAGGGTCGGGGTGGAGGTTTGTTACTTAGGTAACGCTGAAATTTACTGGTGATGGTGGTGAATTGCTCTGAGGGAATGAGAGAGTAGTTGATAAGGGTGTGTGGGTGGTTTGGTTGATAGTTTGGGATATAGCCATTGTTGATTTTGGTTGAGGGGGTGAATGGAACTTAAGCTATTTAGTATATCTGTGTTATGACTCATTCTATTTTCCCTTGTGGCATTTAATGAGTCACTCAAGCTATGAAGCAGGTCTGGTTGTGGGGATGGACATTTTCCGCTCTGTAGGAGAAGTTCCGGATGATGCTGTAGACTCATTGTCCACCAGCCGGATATTCTCCGGACAGCATCATCCAGACAACAAAAGATACCTTTGATCTTACCGATGAATTTTAATATATAAATAACAAGATATCCTCAGTTCATTTAGACTATCTCAATCAATCAAAGAACAATTTCTTCAAATTAAACATTTCACTTCAATCCTCCTCTACATCCACATCCTGAAATACCCCCAAAATGACCCAATCCGACCCTCAAACCACCAGTATCTCGAACCCCTTCCGCACGCGCATCCTCTCCGGGCAAATAACCCCCCTCCTAACAGCCAAATATCTAACGACCAACGAGCTCCCCCTTCTCTGCAAGACGACCTCCATCCATGCCGTCTTCATCGACATGGAGCACTCCGCCCTGGACATGCGCACCGTGTCTCAACTAATCCTCGCCTGCCACTGTGCCGGCATCTCGCCCGTCGTGCGCTCGCCCTCAAAGTCCCACTTCCATATCAGTCGCATCCTGGATGCTGGCGCCTCCGCGGTGGTAATCCCGCACGTGGAGTCCGTTGAAGAAGTGAAGGAAATCGTGCAGCATGGAAAGTACGCTCCCCTGGGGAAGCGCGGATGCACGAACAACCAGCCGGCGTTTGGGTTCCGGCACGTTTCTACGAAGGTACAAAATAAGGTGTTGAATGAGCAGACGATGTTGATTCCGATGATTGAGACGCCTGGAGCGGTGGAGATTGTGGAAGAGATTGTGGCTGTTGAGGGGGTGGATGGGATTTTGGTGGGTTCGAATGATCTCTGTTCGGATTTGGGGATTCCGGGGGGTTATGATACTGCTGAGTATCAGGATGCGGTGAGAAGGGTTATTAAGGCGTGTGTGGATGCTGGCAAGCCGGTGGGTATTGGAGGGATTGGGGGGAGATTGGATATTCTGGAGATGTGGTTTAGGTTGGGGGCGACGTGGTCGTTGGGTGGACAGGATGGGGCCATGTTGCAGGCGGGGATGAAGGGGTTGAGTCAGAAGTATGAGGAGATTAATGCGAGGTTGGAGAGGGAGTAGAAGTGTGAGGGGGATTTGTTTTGTGCTTAGATGTATATAGTTTCTTTTATATATCGTTAAGGAATTGACTCGCAGCTGAGGATCCGTACACATACTCCCCAAGCATGCCAGCCTCCATACTCCAAAAGACGTTGTCTCCAAATATATCCCATGACAATAGTTGGTTTTCCATGGCTGCTTCATGCATTTGAAATTCATTCGCCGTTTCATCGGGTGTCAGAATAGGCCACAGCGGGTTATGCTGGATGGGTGGATCATGAACACCGGGGATCCCAGTATTCAAACTGCCATGTTGTTGGTACTGTATATTATCTGTATCTTGGTTTATGGCTGTTGAATGATTATGTTGCTCGGTATGCGCTGCTTCTGGTCGTTGGAGGCTCTTCGTCTTGCGTAGAATATCTGCGCGCAATGCTTCATATAGAGCAACATAGTGAACCGAGTCAGGGAGTTTTTGAACCATCAGTTTCAACGTTTTCTCGCCCTTCTTTACTGCCTCGGAAGCACTCTTAATCGTCTGGGTATCAAGATCCTCTACAACTGAAACACAGAACATGACAGACAACCCGGCGGTAAACAGGGTTTGGAAGTAACTGCGGGTGTATGTCACAAGCCCCTGGTCAAACATTGCGCAAAAGCTAGAAATGGTCCCCACGGAATATTCAAGACAAATGCTGAGTAGATCTCGCGGAGGTACGTTGTTTCGTTTAGGCACCAGATCAATCGCTTTGCGGATGATAAGTAGTCGCTCTCGCATCAAGAGCAGATCGTACCACTCCTGCCTCTCATACAAGCACTTTGGGTTGGTGAAGATGGGTGCAGAGTCTCTCCAACTGTCTAGCTCGTTTAGAAGCTCATCGAGGTCCGAATATATTTTTCCACTAGCTGTTGCCATATCAATCTGTGACATGGTTTGCTCACCAGTTCCTTTAGCCTTTTGCTGAAATTTCGTATGGATCTTTGAGGTAACCTGGCGTAGTCGGAGGCATACTAGGAATACAGAAGTCTCGGTCGTGTGGGTGGAGCCCAGCTGTGCCGTGCTGATCCGATAGAAGGAATCAAGATCCGCAAATACCCCAGACTGTCCGGCGAGGTCGAGCTCCTCATCGTCTGCATCTGCAGGAAACCCGACCTGGATATCTTTGTCGGATATGGCGGGTGGTCGGTCCAGCATCACAGAGGTATATCTGTCCAACATGTAACATTGCCAGAAGACCCGTCTCCGCAATTGCTCCTCGAGCAGATGGCCATCTAAGCTTTTTGAAGTACGACACCTATGCAGACCCTGCTCAATACACATTCTGGTACTCAATTGGATTAACTCCCATATCGAAGTGCCTGCGGAAGCGCAGTCAGTGATTAATCCGACATTTCAGGAGTGAGAATACCGCACCAATGTGATAATAAATGCCAAATCTGCTTACGAGCAAGATATCTTGGATAGACTCCAAGCCTCTGAGGAGGAAACCAGCTTCGAGGTGTTTTAACGCGGCAAGGAAGTAGCCGTAAGGATGGTACTGGTGCTTGCCATTTCGGTAAAGTGGGATAGCACCAATGGCAAGTATCATGAATGCCCGAAATAGCTGGTGCTCTGATGCTTGACTGCCACTAGCACGTCCATGTTGATCTTCCGGCTTTTCTGGGAATAGTGCTTGATATAGACCTTGCACGTATCGGCGCAGCAAAAAGGGATTTTGGACATGGGAAGTTCCCAAGCTCGCCAATTGTCAGCATGGAAATCATTATTAATGAAATTCCAGAGGAACACGTACTAACTATTAAACACTACCAAGGCTTCTTGAGCTGATGGAAGACTATTCTGCTGCACACTTGTTTCTAGGATGGTGGCTCTCTTGGATAGGTTGTGTAACAGCTTCTGGTTTTGCTCCCTCCACCGAGGGTCAGTAAAGAGAAAACTCATAAAGCTATGGGTTAATGTTAGTTTCTGGACCCAACTCTCATAGTACAGAGACCTATACCTGATCCCAGCACCCTCAGTGTAATTCGGGGACTGGCTCGTATCACTGTCACTTTCATTCCCATGTTCAACGGCTCGGCCTGAGCTATTCTGAAACTTAGACCCCAAATTCCTGAAGTCTTCTGGCGAATGATACTCTGTATCATGCATCGAGGGTTCTATGTCGATGACTCCGGTTTGGAGGCTTAGAACCTTTTGTTCCAACTCAAATATATACCTCGAAGATATCAATAGCTGCTTCCAGACTAGCTAGAGGATACTCACTCCCGAGAAACTGGCTCGCTGCCGTTCAGGCTCACCGTTAAACAGGCCTGGCCGCTTCTCATACATGGCGAGCATTTTGGACGCTCATTGTCACACTATTGGTCACCCACTGTTAGATCTATAGCTTACATCGGCAAGGCTTGGGTCTAGATGATGAGACCGATTACCTTGGCTTTCTTTGTGTAGCATGACTGACAGGCAGGAAGTCGTGGGAGTTGCCTGTTCTCATCTCCGGTGGCCATAATGTCGGCATTTGTGAGTGATAGGATCCACGGTCACTACCACCACAAAGATCAAGGTCGCTGAAATGACCGACTATCTCTTATTTGTTACTGTATCTTCTAACCCCAGAGTTTTACTGTCAGAGAGTGTGGGGAATAATATGGGGAAGCGAATAGCCTCGGCTTACTCCGATAGCACCACCTACTAGCCGTGGGTTGCATTATTCCCGTAGGTCACTCGGAGACAAGGCTATAGGCGGTGTACTATTTGCTGTTTTACAAAAGCATGCTGCATGACATTATCACCTTGCATGATAGCTGATGCTACAATGAACAAGAGTATATGGTGGAATCTGGCGTCAAGAGGCACATCTCTGCATCGGACAATGTCCGCAGGATCAATCCACCCACAGTGTGGCTTCGGAAAATCTCCGTCGTACGGCTTCCCCGCAGCCAAGAAAAGGTCACTCCACGGGGATCCCACACGTTTTCCTATCATTATAGCGGGATGGGATCTTCCATACTCCGACTTCCACGTCTAGGCATGAATCATGGAGGAAAGCCGTCGGACAAGTCCTACGCCTCGGAGTCCCAGAGCACAGCGGAGGCTTCAAGCCTGCGAGAGATGCTGGAAACGGAAGCAGAAGGTGAAACAGTCCACTGCCACTACGTTGATCTTTCCCGACTAACGCAGTGTCAATAGTGCGACAGGTTGCTGCCTGTATGCACGGCGTGCATTGAAGCGAAAGCCAAGTGTTGTCCTCGAAGCGTTCAATTAGGGGGCACCGCAGAAGATGCAAGCGGACTTTCCAATGCTGCACTTCCAGAGTAAGGGCCCACTGACGGTATAGCAAACTGCTTTTTCCAGAACAGATTTTGACATGATTTAGTTACATTGAAACGCTTAAAAGAAAGGTGGAAGCTCTGGATGATCAGTCTCGGCGCCAACGCCGTCGTCTTACAGCCCACAGAAGCGATGAGAGAACATCGCACTCACCTAACAGCCCAACAGGAGCCGCACAGAATAGTCCACAAACCTCCCATGACACACCATTGACGGAGCAAACCAGTCTCACTGAGCGGTCGGTACAGGCAGCCATGGGAGAAATTGAATTCCTGTCTCGCAACGCCATGGCAGAACCTCGTGGTGAGGCAAGTGGATTTCCCCAGGAACTGGCGATAGGAAGCATGATTCAGGCTTCCCTTACTATTTCAGGGAAAGACCCGACACAATCTTTAAGTTCTTTGTCTCAAAAGTCAAAGTACAGCACCATTTTGGGACAAGCCCCCACACTCGCCAGAGACGTTGTTGCTATGGACCGTTTCTTCGGGCAAACAAAAGCTCTCTGTCCATTCATCGACGAGGAAGAGATGCTAGGATATCGTGATTCTTTCTTTGATAGTAGCCAGGAATCCCAAGCGACTCCGTATACCTCATTCAGAGATTTCAATGTGTATATGGCAGCAGCTATTGGGATCCTACTCTCTCCCGACTCGGGTATTGAATTTTTCGCCAGCAGCTTGCACAGCGCGGCAATGCAGAAGTTTCCCAGCATAATCCAAAGTAACGATGACATGAGCATGTTGCATTCCTTGCTGTTGTTGATTATTTACTCCATGTTCTCATCGGTGGGGGGTTCCACATGGCATCTTCTCGGCTTGGCTATGAAGAAGGCAATATCGTACGATTTCCATAAAGAGCCACTCTATGACATTGGCATACCTGAGGAGAAGCTCACTCGGAGGAGAGGTATATTCTGGAACCTGTACATACTTGACAGGTCTGTGCTACTCTGGGCTTTAGAATGCAGTGACTTATACTCTACAGGACTATTAGCTGCGCAATGGACCGCCCATTCAGTATTGAAGATGAAGATATTACGCTTCAGGTATGTCGCAGGTATACTCCAAGGTGTGTACTAACACCTTTCAAGGTCCCGTCTTATGATGGGGACATCCGTTCACCAGACACGCTTGACTTCCCGGCATACGTTGTCATGCACGCTCGACTGATGTCTAAGATGAGAGGCTCTTCACGTCAGCAGTCGATTTTTCATTATGGAAGCCTCTCCTACTGGAGAGATATACCAAGGGGAATACAAAAATCGAGCGTAGCTCCAGCTTCCTCTAGAGCAATACGGCAGCTCACCTGTAGGGCAATGGTCTGCCTAGCACAAATCATTGGCCTTGAGCAAGCCGCAACCAGGGTTCTTGGGACAACCCATACTATCCGACAAGATGTAATAAACACTTGTAATGATTATATCAATACCGAGTATTTGGCTGTGGAGGACGACTGTTTCACGGGCTCGTTCGTTGATGCGTTTGACATCTTTTCCGTGGGAGTGGTTCTTATCTGCCTGGGAAGGACAGCGCTCCCTTCAAAGATGTCGAATGCAACCAGTGTTCTCAACAAGTGTACTGCTTTATTGACGCTTCTTGGTGAAAGATTTCCAGCGCTCAAAGCTTTTTGCAGGGTACTCTGGTGCTTGCAGGAGTCAGCAGACATGGTAAGCGAAAGAAAATCATACAGCACGACCTACATCAGACCTACAGAACTGGAATAACAAGGCACAGATAATTGATGAGCTGCCGGACATAGTCCCCCATGCTCTTCAAGTAATGATTGAGGGTGCTTTCCGAAGTGATCGCGCGGTTCGTTAACTTGTGGTTTGGGGAGCCAGCCTTCGGAGAATGCCCGCCGGACGGAATCCGTATGTCTCGGGCATATATCATGGCAGTGAATGCCAACCAATGCAGACTGTAAATCTACAGTGTTGTTCCGAGAACTTCAAGGCCAATTATTACTCTTTGCGCGATACCAAAATGGCACCCAGCAGAGACGATGACTTGGTTTCTTCCCGCCAGATTACTACGGATAAACCAACAGTGTATCTCCTTGACACATTCCCTCCAAAGGCAATCGAGCACGCCAAAACACTCTTCAACATTATCCAGCCCCAAGATGAAGAGTTCCAGAACTGGAGACAGAATGCGCGAGCTTTGTTAATCCGAAGTTCGTATCTTACTGCCGAAGATGTTGCCAGTTGTCCGAATCTCATTGCGATCGGCAAGCACGGAGTGGGTATTGATAAGATCGACCAAGCCGCTTGCACTGAAAGAGGCATCAAGATTCTTAATACACCTGGAGCAAACGCACGCGATGTGGCTGAGCTGGTCATTGCTCTTTCTCTGTCGGTTGCTCGTGGCATTCGGTCCATCACAACACGCCAAATGTCAAAGCCCGTCCCAAAGGAGACCTGCAAGGGGCTGACGTTGTACCAAAAGACTGTTGGAATTATTGGCATGGGAAATATTGGACGGACCGTCGCCGAGATATTTCGGGGTGGCTTCGAGACCGACATCATCGCATATGATGCCTATATGCCGGACGATATATGGACGCACATCCCCCACACCAGAGCCAACAGCATCGATGAAGTCATCACTCGGGCAGATATCCTCTCTATACATGTCCCTCTTACAAACGAGACACGGGACATGATTTCCTACGACAAGATTTGCATGATGAAGCCGGATGCCATCCTGATCAATGCGGCTCGGGGAGGGATTGTCAATGAACAGGACCTCACACGGGCATTATCCGAAGGCCATCTTTGGGGTGCTGGATTGGACTGCCACGAACAGGAGCCTCCCAGCTTTGAGAAGTATGGTCAACTGTGGGAGAACCTGAATGTGATCAGTACACCGCACATTGGAGCTGCGACGTCAAGGGCACAATTAGCGAGTGCCACTGCAGCGATTGACAATTTGCACCAGTACCTATCTAGTCTGTGATATTCACACCCAATAAATGCATTGTTACGTTTCTCTTCGTCATCACTACTATACATTCTAGATTTTAGCCTTCAAAACCCTCCCCCCAACCACCCCCCTACAATGCCACCTCACAACCTGCACATTCCCCTCGATACTATCCGTAATGAACAACGTCCTCCCATCCTCTCCGCCAAACGTACAGTTCGTCAAATTCTTCCCCCCATCCTTCGCAGTAATAATCCTCGCCTTCGGCACCCCCTCCCTATCCACCACAAACACACATCCAAGACTAGGATGACAGATAAACAAACTCCCCTCTTCGTCCACCGCCAGCCCATCAGGACCTGCACACCCAAACGACTGGAAGAACAAACCCACTTTCGACGTGCTCCCATCCGCATGCAGCGGCAACCTCCACACAGAATTCTGCCTCGTCATAGCAACATACAAGAACCGCTCATCGGGGGATAACACCAACCCGTTCGGAGATATCCCGTTCGATACGAGACAGTCGAGCCTTCCGTCGGGAGAGAGCCGGTATACACATCCGGACGGGTCCGTCATTCCCGTTTGGCCCTGGTCTGTGAAGTAGATATCGTTCTTGCTGGAGATAATTAGGTCGTTCGGGCCTTTGAAGCGCTCCAGGTTGCGCCGGGTTAGGAGGGGGGTCAGGGTGTTGGTGGTAGGGGAGAATAGGAGGATGCCCTTTTACCTCATTAGTCTTTCATCGAATTGGGCTTGTGGGAGTGGAGCAGGGAGGTACGTATGCACCTGCTTATAATCCGCAATAACTAGACATCCGTCTTCTCGGGCGACTAGACCGTTCGGTTCCCCGTCGTAGCGAATACATTCGGTTACTTCCTTGTTCTTGTCTATCTTGAGAATCCTCCCGTAGGGAACATCTACAATGTAGAGATCGCCATTCTGCGTATAGACTGGCCCCTCGAGGAAGATATCAGATGCTGGGCGTGCCGAGCCGCTGCGCCACTCTGTCGGTTGGCCTGTGCACCGGAGGTGAGAGGGGATGCGGGCGTAGATTTCGGCTTGGATTGTTGGGGGTGGTGGGTAGAAATTCATTTTGAGAATAGTAGTCAATGGATTGAAATTGGTAGAAGATAGTTGGTGTGGCTGAACTGGTTGGGGTTGGCAAGTCTCGTGTCCCCGCAATATCTCGCTTATATAGTAGTAGTGCCTTTTCGTGCAATAGGACTGGATCCGATCCGCGTCGGACATTTCCCGATTTTAGTACTAAGCTATGGTTTTGGTTGATATACTAGGGAGGTGATGGGGGTTTATTTATAATTTGCTGGAATCCGGGGTTACCCCGTGCTTGGGGTCTGGGGAGCCTGTCGTCTAGGTATCGGTTGTTAAAGGTTCAAGTCAAGATGGGTCTTATCACTGAGACAAGGAAGGCAATTCAGGATGCTCCGAAGGGCATGTTTAATGCCTATGTGTTGATGTGTACGTGTGTTTTTGCTTTCGCTGGTGTTGCGAAGGGGTTCGATGAAGGTATTTATATGGACTCACTGCGTGAAGTTGGAATGGCTAATGGATTGTCTGTTGTGGGTAGGAAATATTGCATCGCTTGTTACTCAGCCGCATTTCAAGGCGAAGTTTGGCATTGATCATCTGTCGGAAGAGGACTATGCGGATACGAAGGGGTGGATTGTCTCTATTACCACTGCTGGTGCTGTTTTTGGATGTCTTGGTGTATGTTTGGCTCAATGTTAGCTGTGGTCTGGGGCATACTAATGTCAGTGCAGTGTCCTCGAATCAACGACCGACTCGGACGACGGTGGACCTTTCGTCTGTCGACGCTTGTCTATATTGCAGGGATTCTTGGACAGGGACTATGCAATGGGAATCTTTCAGGGCTTTATGCTTCGAGGTTTATTGCGGGATTGGGGTTGGGTGTGCTTACTATTGTGCCGCCTATCTATATTTCAGAGGTATATACTCCAGAGGGATAACATGTGCATTGTACTAACAGATTTAGATCGCACCAAAGACAATTAGAGGTCTTCTCACACTGCAACATGCTGCCTGTCAACAGTTAGGTGTCGTATTCGGCTTCTTCATTAACTACGGGGTGACTAAAAGCTACCCTGGCGGTGATAAACAGTGGATGCTCCCTACCCTACTACAGCTTCTCCCCGCCACCATATGGCTAGTAGGATCCTTCCTCTGCTGTGAATCACCGCGGTGGCTACTATATAAAGGCAAAAGGCACGAAGCAGCCACTAATCTTGTCAAACTGCGCCATCTACCCCTCGACCATCCCATTATAGTCGCCGAGCTTGCAGGAATGGACGCCCAACTCCTCCTGGAAACTGAATCAGTCGGCGAAGCCACCATATGGGAGCTTCTGAAAGAGACACTCACCCCAATTGAGAGCCGACGTCGCTTCTTCCTCATCTTCATGGCAAACCTCTTCTCCCAATGGTCCGGAGCCAACGCCATCACGCAATACTCACCCACTATCTTCGGCTACCTCGGCATATCCGGTGAAGAGTCAACCTTCCTAGCAACGGGAATCTACGGCGTGGTCAAATTCGCCAGTACTCTCGCGTTTGCCCTGTTCATCGTTGACTTCATCGGCCGTCGTCGATCACTGATAACAGGCATCTGCCTGCAAATAGTAACATTAGTCTACGTTGGAGCGTACCTCGGCGCTACAAAGGACATGACCTCAACCCAGATCAGAAATACACCCAGTGCCTCGCACGCCTCGACGGCAGCTATAGTGGCTATTTACATCCACGCTGTGGCATGGAGTATCGGGTGGTTCGGCATTCCGTATCTTATCGGGTCAGAGATTTTCCCCATTAGGATTCGGTCGCTGAATGTGTCCATCTCGATGGCGTTCCATTGGGCGTTCTATTTTGGGTGTTCGAGGGCCATGCCGAGTTTGTTGGCTGCTACGCATCGGTGGGGTGCGTTTCTGTTCTTTGGCTGTATTTGTCTGAGTGGGCTGGTGTATGTGTTTTTTGCTATGCCGGTGAGTATATTCTGCTTTTTTGGGTGGGCTGGGATGGGGCTAACTGGGTATAGGACACGACTGGACGGTCGCTGGAGGCGCTGGACAGTCTGTTTCAGCGTCCATGGTATACGGTGTATCGGGTTGCTTATCCGTCTAGTGAAGCTGTCCAGGTGGAGAGGGAGGATGCGAAGTTGGGGGATGCTGAGCATGTTGAGAGGGCGTGATGGACTTCTGCATACTTTTTCTGTAGTGTCACCATAATTCTCATGCAATTGGTCTTATTACAAGAGATAGTGAATTTTCAGGTGCGCTAGGAATACATCTGTAGAGATGAATAACACATAATCGAGTCAACTTCACTACCCCAATTCATCTCTGATCCGATCAGATAAGATAACATATCGATCACCCCAAAACAGTAAAGCCCCGCGCCAATAATGACATCTTCTGTCCCAGTTTCGTTCCGTGCATCAATTCTCCCCCTCTACCCTCTACCTTCTACCCTCCCACCCAACAAACCACTCCACACCACCCATTGACCCATCCCATGGCCGGAACAAAACGCACCTGGGACGGACAACCATCATCCACCACCACCACAACAACAACAACCCAACCACCCACCATGGCAGACTCTACCACAGACCAACCCCAACAACCCGAACAGCAACAGCAGCAGCAGCAATCCAACCCTTTCATCAACATCTTCACCACCTTCCGCGACGAACTCGACGAGCATCACGACCGTCGCGAACGCATAATAAAAGCCAGTCGCGATATCACCGCCCTCAGCAAGAAGATCATCTTCGCGTTGCAGCGGTAATCCCCTCCCCTACCCTTACCCACCATCTTATCCCCAAAACTAACACACATAATAATAAATAGAGTCCGAACTCTAAACACATCCCTCCCCGCCTCTCTAACCAAAGAAACCACCACCCGCTTCAAACAAATAACCACACACTTCACCTCCCTCCTCCCAGACCTTCGCCCAGCACCAAACACCCACCGCTACATGCGGCAACTCAGCCCCGCGATCCAGGAATTCATCGAAGCGTTATCCTTCCATCACTACCTCACCACTCAGACATTGATCACCCTCGATGAAGTGAGGAAGCATCTTCCTGAGGGAATTCTGGTTACGGAGGAGGATTATCTACTCGGGTTGTTCGATTTAACTGGGGAGATGATGCGGTTTGCGGTTACCGGGTTGTCTGCTGGCACTTCTACATCTGATGATGGGGGTGAAGGTAGTGGTGGTGGAGGATTGGGGCAGGAGCAGAAAGGCATCGTGGTGGATTTGAGGGAAATGAGATGCGGGTTTGAGGGGTTGAGTGTGCCGGGGAGACATCGGGGCGTTATGTTGAGGGATATGGGGAAGAAGGTGGATGTCATGCAGGGGAGTGTGGAGAAGGTGGAACGCGCGGCGTATGGGATTTTGGTCAGGGGGAGGGAGAGACCGAAGGGGTGGAGGCCGGATTTGGTGGTTGGTGGGGGTGGGATGGGTGGTGAGGATGAGTATTGATTTATGGTGTTTTATGGATTTGGGGAGGTAGAGAGCGGATTTGTGCATACTCGTGTCCATCTTCGACATGGATGAGAGAGATCCAGGATGATGTATGATGTACATGCACATTGAATCTGAAATAACCATGACAATAACCTCATCAATCGTGTACGAGTGTACTAACTGGGTCCTCACTATCTTCAAACAATCATCAATCAGAAGCATTTAAGTTAAATCAAATCAAATCAATCAAAACAAAACACCAAACACCATATCCGTCCATCCATCCATCCATTCATCCATCATCAGTCATACCATACCACCTCCCCTCCCCTAAACAGTTGGAAACCTCGGATCCTCATCCTCCGTCAAAATGCCCTGCGAGATCAAATCCTCCGGATTGGGTCGATTCTGAATCTTCTGGTCGAGGTGATCAGCCAACATATGTTTCTCGAGTTCGCGGGCGTTGGCCTGCAGTGCGGGGGCGGCGTGGGTGGTTGGGAGGATGTTTCCTATCATTGCCATCATCAGTCAGCCATATGCTTATTCTGAGAGATAAATATATATGGTATGTGCATACGCTCAACCAGTTCCTCCCGCTCAGGACGATGTTCAAGATGTTTCTTCAGGGCGTCTGTGGTGCGTTGGCGGGCAAGTTCTTGGCGGGTTGCTTGGAGGGATCTAGTACTTGTTTGTCAGGTACTCCAATAGTTATACAATATGAGGATGATGTGTAGACGGAAGGAGGGGAACGTACGGAGCAACATTCGTATCCAGCAGAATATGTCTATCTTTGAGATCCTGCACGTCAGGCCGTCTCTGGAGATGCTTCTCCAAGGAACTGCGACGTTCTGGAGATGCGGAGAGAGGGGTCTCGTCGATGGCGGTAGCAGTAGTGTTGGGGTCCATTGCGGGGTAGAAGAATGTAGGACTTGTTGTAGCTTAGATGGGTGGATGATAAGTACTAGTATGCTGAGTTGGTTAATCGCTGGGAGATGGGCTGGGTATATACAGTAGTTCAGTGGAAGAGTGGTGTGACTGGGATAAAGAAAGAACGCTGGTTGTCCAGGGGATTAAGAGGGGATGGTCAAGTGATGCGTGCGGAGGACGAATCCACGGGACTGCCGCCGAGGCCCACTGGACGATGTCATCACACCCTGACTTCACCACATACAACAGTGGTATTTTTTCTCACTACAATCAAGGTCAGAATCAGTCACTGTTGCATTCTGGTGCACTGGATAGTTAACTAGTTAGCTAAGTAGCTCGTTAACATCGCCAATCTGCTTCCTCCAATTATCTCCGTAGCAATCGAAAACATGTCCAACAAAGTAACGCAAAGAATGACTGCTATATCTGTTTTGTAACTGCAGAGTAGAATGTCGAAAAGCGGCCTGGGAATTGCCCCCCACAACGTGGCTAGGAGAAAAGATCTGCCCATTTCTTCCCTCGGAAGTCCCAAGGAATTAAAGCAACCGCCTGTCCCTCCATCCTGAACGGAAAGCAACGCCATATGAGGACCCAGCATCTACTACGCCTCTCGCAGCCTAAGCGACGCCCAGAGAGTTCACCTCGACGATGGCCATACTGGATCGAAACTGTCCCGTATCCGAATTCCTCTCGTCTACCGCATTTCGCATCCATGCCGTCTGTCCAGGACCTGTCGCCCATCAATGTAGCCAGTCGACTCCGACAACAAGCCTGACCTTTGGCAGCCCGGGAATGGCAGAACATATCCTTTTCTGCTTCGTGTAACAACCACAATGGTCTATTTCAAGTTTGAGAAATATTCAATCCGTCCATCTGCGCAGACTGACGGACCCGACCATCGGGTCAAGGAACCCAGAGCTTACCACGGCCACGGCTGCTACCACGCGAAGGGCCCCGAGAACCACCACGGCGGCTGTTCGAATAGTTCCGTGACGCCCCCGCCATGCCACGTGCGGCCCCGGACTGGGTGCTCAGATCAACCGTCGGCTGCTGCTTCGTTACACCCAGCGATCGGCTGAACGAGTTGGGGTCGATTGGCTGCGTGGGAATTTCCATCGTAGCCTCCACCGGCGGGGCGACAGACTTGAACGCAGCGGCCTTGCGAGTAGTGCCGCCGCGTGAGCCACCTCCTCTCGAAGATCCTTTGCCGCGACCGCGGGGGACGAAAACAAGCTCATCCTCGTCGCTCTCATCCTCGTAGGAGAGAAGAGACTTTGGTTCAGCGGTAGTCGTCTGGGTTTTCTCCACGTATTTGCACCGGTTCTTGTACTCCCGCTCCTCGTACTGGATGGATGTCCGCAGTTGATGGATGTTCTTGACTCCGATGCCGAATTTCTGCGCCCAGACCTGGGTAGGCCGATCGTTCGTAATTAGAATGCATGTCTTTGCCGCGTTAGCTGCATCAGGGCCGCTGTGCAACCGCCACAGAAGGGCGCTGAGCAGCGGTCTGAGCATCAAAGGAACCGTCGGAATAGTGGAACCCGACGCAGAACGACGGTGCCCACTCTCTGGCTTCTTTTTCGCATCCTTGCCGACTCCATTTACAACATGGGAATTCGAACACTCGGGGCTAGTCCGGGAGCTCCTGGAGGACGGTCGGGATGCAGGGGCGCTGTGAGTGCCGTTTGACGTGATCGAAACGGCATCGGATTCTTTCTTGAAATTCAGCTTGTTGAGAAGCATTTGCGACAGATCGTCCGGGGCGGCGCCGTTCTTCTTCGTATCTTTGAATTTATCCTCGCGATTCCGCTGCGCCACCTGGTTGTCCGGAAGAACTCCGTTGGCTTCGGGTTCCTCCTCGAACTCCGGAAGGAAGAACTTCTCCGCATCGGTCCAGTTCTCATATTGCTCCATAGGACCCTGCAGGATGACTCGTTCGGCGGAAATGTTATCTTTGCCGGAGGTAACACGGTCGAGGAAACGGACGGCCTCCCGGGCATTGATGGCGACTTGGGATCCGGCTCTCTTCAAGGCGTGGAGGCGCTCGAGGGCTAGAGAGGCATCGGGTCAGCAGAAATAGGCCGCGTGTCATCGAGTCACTCACTGTAGAGGGGAACGATAAGAGTGATGGCGCCATTAGTGGTCCATTTTTTGATTTCGCTGATATTGGTGGTTAACGCCGTCTCGTCCACGGCACAGTGGAAGACCTTGCGTCCGGTCGACATGGCTGGCTGAGAAAGGTCGACAGGACCGGTCGCGTAGTTGAAAGGTAAAAGACTGGAAAGCCACAAGGGCCCTAGACCGAACAGCTTGCTTTGACGACTGCGACCGAGCCGCAGGCGTGGTTAGCGTGGTGCTGAAGCCCGTGAGGGAGGTTTGGATTGGGATTAATGGAGGCGGAGGCCTGGGAATGTGGGGGCCCTGGTTCGAGGACCAGAACCATAGCCATTCGCAGCCCGACAGCCAGCCAAATGCCAGATTTGAAGGAATGAATCACTTACAATGAAAACCTCGCTCACTAGGGAAGATCATCTGCAGCATTTTGGGGTTCAAATAAGCGATCGTCGATGGAACAGAATCGAGGCGAGATGGTGAGCGAGGAATGAATCCATCAGCGGATCAACTGAAAGCCGCGGGATTCGCCTGGGCCTGACTAAGCGCCAGACGGATTCGACCGAATTTATTGTCATCATCATATATTCACCACCATTATTGTCCCCTCATAACACGTCGCTGCCATACCCCAATGACTCAATGGCCGCCCGGGAGTTGTCATCACCTTTACCCGTCGCTACACGCTTATCTTATTCGGGATTTCCCATGTACTTCTAGATGGTTCGATCTCTATCTGGTATGGTATAACTGCGGTTGCTGGAATCGGAGATGGAGGGGAAAACGCTATGTCATACAAGACCCGACGATCATCAGGCCAAACCAATCTCTTCGCCTTCAAACCAACGTCAGCTGTCCTTATCCTCCCGTCCCTCCTACGTTGCCTTCTTGATGAGACCCTCCTCCGGCTTGACACGTTGTGCCCACTCACTGTCGCCATTGTCAGCCACTGAACCTTTGTAGAAAGTCAGGGATCGGAAGAGAACTTACGTCCAGCTGCCATCGTATACCCTCCGCAGGTTGGGCTCCCCGAACTCCGCTTCGCCTAGTGCCGTCTCAATGATAGTCGCTGTCACACCAGTGCCACAAGAGCTGATGATGGACTTGGACTCATCAATATCCTTGCCCTCGAAGATCTTGCGTAGCTCAGGCCCCGGAAGATAAGTCTTGGTCTCCGGATCCAGAAGCTGTTGGAAGGCCAAGCTTTGGGATCCAGGAATATGGCCCGACGACAGCCCCGGACGTGGCTCCGGATCGGTTCCCGCCCAGCGGCCGTAGGAGCGTGCGTCCAGGATCTCCACTTCCTTTGCGCCCTCCTTCCTATGCTCCTTGGCGATCTCCTTCAGCTCCCGGTAAGGGATCACGAGTTTCGAATCATACGTAGGTACGGGGTAGTTGGTCCTCTCCGGCTGGGAGGGCTCACCAGTCTCCGTCGGGTATCCTTCGCGAACCCACAGCCTGTAGTTGTTGAGTAGATGAACTCGAGGGTGTCCAAAGACTCGCAGGGTCCATCCGACGCGGGGAGCGCTAAAGATCCCCAGCTCTTCGGTGTCGTAGACGACCACCTCGTCGTCGCGGCGAATGCCAAGCTCACTCATTGCTTCGGCAAACGTTTCGGCGGTAGGAAGCATGTGCGGGTAGGGCGATTCATGATCCTTGACTCCATCCAAGTCGAAAAAGCGAGCCTCGGGAATGCGATGCTTGCGGAAGATGTCAATTCCCTTGCGACCCTCAGGGTCGTTCGGCATGAACCAGGCCGCGCATAGCGGTATCACGCGAGGAGAGGTGGAGATCTTCGTGCGCGGGTTCTTCTTGAGGGCGGAATCAAGCTCCTTGGGGGTAATCAAATATGAGTTGAAAGAGAATTGGCGACATTGGGCCGGTTGTCGTGCCTGTTGTGCAATGGACATGGTGGACCGAACTAGGCGAGTCGGTGAAGGGATGGAATTCCGAAGAGTTACAAACGCCATATTGCGAGGCGGGGGCAGATGCAGTAGATATGGGAGAATTTGGTCAAGGATTATTTACATTCCGCTCAGACCGTGCTGTCTGATTAACCCACCTGCAGGTCCGGAAAGGTGAATGAGGGGGAAGAAAGGAAGAGGAATAGTGGGAAGCGCAAGATCAATGGACGATGACGGGAGAGCTGCTATCAGTCCGTGTTTCTCCTCGCAAATGCGGAGGTGGCCATGTGAATTTCGGGAAAGCCTGTCCGCTTATCGCCCGGTCCACTTCCAACCACCTTCCCTTAACCTCCCCTTCGTCCCGACACTAAACGAGAACCCCGTTGCAATCCAATCATCCTCAGCCATGAAGGTCACCATCAAAGAGTGGAACGCCGTTGCTACTTGGCGCTGGGATATGCCCGATGATGAGGTGTGTGGTATTTGTCGGGTTCAATTCGATGGCACATGTCCGACCTGTAAATTCCCAGGTGATGATTGCTCGCTATGTATGTCAACGACAGTCCCTACTTTTTTTTCCCAGCTGCAATGGTTATTAACCGGGTATTTCCACAGTACTGGGAAAGTGTGGCCATTCATTTCATATGGTGCGATTGTGGATCTTGATGTTCTCATCCTGAAGCAGAAACATTAACAAACCCCAGCACTGCCTCATGACCTGGATCCAACAAGAGTCCTCCAAGGGACTCTGTCCCATGTGCAGACAGAGTATGTCACTGATATCCCTGCATTTATCTACGAGTGCTAATTCTGGCTGCAGAATTCGAGTGGAAGCAAAACGACGAGGAGGATGAATAGCAACCTCAAGTACTCTACAACCTAAGCGGGCTGTTGAAGGCGTTGGTGGCTCCTTGCAAATTATGATACCCTGCGACTGTATTTTCTTCTTTCTAGCATAGAACTATTATACTGCTTATATATATTTTCTGCGCATCACTCAACATCCGTGCACATAAACAACCTCTGTTTACCGCCGATCGGGTCACCTGACGCTATCGATAAGGCAGCAGATGATCCGCGCTGAATGCGGCAAGTCAGTAGTTCCCCAGAGATACGGGAAGCTTGCTTGCCTCCCCGTAGCATCTCAGGTACCGGCCCTGCCCTGCCACGCTCACTTCCCATCCTCTCTTTCCCTCTCTCTCCCGATCACTCCATTCTAACCATGTAGCTCCACCCAGACATGTCTCTTCCCAAACACACCTCCCCATCTCCCTTATCCTCCTCGCCCTCCCGCCAATCAGTCCGCCGAACCTCAGGATCTCGCCCCCAGAGCATCATCGACCGGCCCGGCACCGCCCAACAGGTCACCGACATTCCGGAGGAGCATGACTCTCACGAAGCTGCACCTGCACCAGCTTCAGTCCCACAGGTACACGCTCCAACCGAGCACGACAAACCCCACGATACAACACCCACCTTCCAACCCTTCTTCACCCTAATCGAAGACGCCAACTCCTCCGAATACCACCACCCCACAGTCCACTACATCTTCTCCGACGATGACACCGACATCGTGACCGAGGCGGCCCTACGCGCCCTAGAAGCAGAGCCCGATCTTTTCGCAGCCAACGGAAAGGGTAAATCCAAACCCACACAAGACCTCCGCCACGAAGCAGACGGTGGTGCACAGGGCACATACCCCGAAGACGATGAATACGCCCACCAGAGGAAGGAATCCCTCCTCCCGGACCCTATCCCAGGCGTTCGCGATAACTACGTGATCCTCGATATAGACTATGCGTCTCCTGACGGTGCACAAACCGAGACGACAGGCCCGACCAACGACGGCGCGGCTAGCGCCCACGAAGCCCAAGGAACAGGACCTCCGCTTACACAACAGCAACAGCAGAGTCAAAACCAACCATCGGCGCATAAATACACTGTGACCTCTGCACACAGTCTATCGCCAGCATGGCAGGTTCTGAATACGCAACTGGTTTCGGCGCCTACCTTCGAGAATAACAATTCATCCGGGGGACAGCCGCCTAATGGAAGTCTGATGCTCAAGATCAAAGGCACGGCAGGACTGCCTATGAATATGCTGGGGAAGGATAAAGATAGAGAGAGAAGTAGTCAGCGGTTGGAGGATATGATGGATCAGTTCGCGAAACGGTTGTCAGAACTAAGACAAGTAATCGGTGCTGAGGAACAGGCGGAAGATGCGGAAGGAGAAGTAGGGGGCGACATGGCACTGCCTGAGGAAGGGGATGTCGAAGGTGCTCCTGTGGTTAATACTGAAGAGCCTAACGAAGCCCAGACTCATGTTGAGGGCGGTGGGGAGAACGAGGGACCGTCTGCAGAAAGTTGAGTTGGGAAGTGCAAATGTCCGGACTAGTCATCAAACCATGCAGTGTGGCAGTCAAGATATGCACTTCGTTCCTGGAAATGCTCTCTTAGGCACCCACCATGTTACATATCCTATAGTCTTATGTTAAGCGGAAATGTTGACGCATGCAATAGCCACGAAGAGCTAAGATCCATTGTATCAAACGACGAGGTATCTATACCAAAAACAAATGTAACACAAACTCCCAAACACCATACTGCAAAGTTTCAGAAAATTACCATCCTGCATTTGAAAAGCAAGCACCCAGCCAGTGTCCGTCTCCAACCCGCCAGCCAAAATACAATGTCAAACAACCTGTCGTTCCTCAAATCGGCCAAATCCCAGGGTATCGGGTATCCCATAACGCCTGCCACAACCAAGCGAGACATAGCAGTATCCATGCACAATGCAAAACGAAAAAGTAGTCAAGCACGTGACACTAATTGAAGGGCTGGTTTCTAAGCCTTCTAGCGCTGGAAGGAGGAGGAACGTTTTCCGGACCCTCCATCATCCCAGCCATCTTCCTCGTCAGCTTCTTCTGCGAGAGCTTGGTATCAGTCGAGGTGAGATTGGAGCAGCGCCTTTTCGCAGGCGGTTGGTCGGTGTCCTCGGTTTCCGGTGTGGGGTCCATAGTAGTCCGAGGGGTTTCCGCGCCGGCAGTAGAGGACTTGCGGTCTCCAGCGCTAGATGCGCGCGGTTTTACGACGTTTGCATCGACTTCCCTAAGGCCCGTGTTGGAAGGAGTAACCGCGGTTTTGGGTGGTAAAGATCCTACCTCGTCCGAGGTGTCGTTAAAAACGAACCCTTTGGATGGGGGTGTTCCAGGAGAGCTGTCAAGGGTGGGGAGCTGATCTTCGCCGCTGAATGGCAGTGCTGTGAACTGTCTCGACGTTCTCATCCGGGTTTTCAAGCAATCATGGCCTTCTGTCCGGGGTAGGTCAGACGGATAGTCGTAGGCGCGTTTCCTGGGAGTCACGCCAGTGGAGACATAATCCTCGAAGGCTCGGTTCCTGATGTTCTCCCGAAGATCGGTCAACGGCTTCCGGACTTCATCCGACAGTGGCATCGTCGACTCTTGCAGGTTGAGTTGTTGCTGGATCGCGCCCTCTTGTAGCTCGCTCAGACGGCCACCAAGCTCCATGAATTGCGTGTTCACAGAATCATATGACTGGTGGACATTGGATGCCATGTTCTGCAGGCTGGCAATGTGGGCGTCACGGTAAAGGCCATTCTGGGAGCGAGCCTTGGCGACGAAATCGTCCAGTGCTTCCATTTGTTTACTCATGTTGTTCACCTGAGCATCAACAATACGGACCGTTTCTTCGTGAACAGACTCGGTTGCTTTTTGGATAGAAGCATTGCGTTGATCGAAGACCTAAATTTTTTAGTATACGTGGGCACAAGTATCCAGAGAGCGAAACTTACTTCCCAGTCACTTTGCATCCTTGACCTGATGTCGTCTTTCGATGCAGTGACATCCTTTGCAAACTGTTCCGACTTGAACACCCATTCGTCAACGTGGCGGTCATACTGAGCAGTGGCATGCTCCAGGAAGTCGCCAGAAGATGTAAGTTCTGTGCGCATGGTCTCCACCCTACCCTTCAAGCGGCCATACTGCCTCTGGCGGGACTCGTCAATCAATGCCTTCATTTGCGACATCAGAAGGTCACGCTCGGCTTCAGCATTGGCACTCTCTTCCTCAAGGGTCTGTGCCAAGTGGGAAGATGCCTTGCGGTTGGCCTCTACCGCCTTGGTGTTAGCCTCCTGGAGCTCCAATCGCAACTTGTTGATCTCTGCTTTTTGTCCATTGAGATGCGTGACCATATCCTCAAACACAGTCTTCAAATCCTTGCCAAGAGCACTGTAGGACGAATGAAGTTGAGCGTGAAACTCGGAGAACTCGCCAATAACCTCTTTTGATATGCGAGCGGCTGCAGCTGAGAGACCATTCAACCCTTCGCCAACCTTACGCTTGACTTCCTCACGTAGGTCCTTGATCTCTTCGAGGACTTCGTTTATCTCATCATGGGCGCCCGAGGTCTGAGAATTCGCCTCACGTTCCGCCTTTTCAAATAGGCCTGCCGAATGAAGTAATTGCGATTGGTTCGATTCAATGTTGCCGAGTTCACGTGTGACAAATTCGTTGATCTTCTCAGACATAGCTTCCACAAGCTCGGAATGTTGCTCCTGGAACGCCTCCACCTTGGAATCAATCACTGTAGTAACATTGGATACCTCCGCGGTAGACACCTGCCAGGCCCGCTTGTTGGTGGCATCGAGGTCAGTCTTGCGCTGTATCTTGGCATGCAGGCCACTGATGTCTTCCACTGTCGTATCCAAAGTAGACAAAAGACCTGCGCCAATATCACGAAGTTTCGCTTCTGTGTCCTCATGCGCTTTCCGCAGCATTTCCTCTTCCTCAAGCTGAGCCTTAGTATCCTTGAGAACAATTTCGGTCTGCTCAAGTACGTCGTTCGTATTAGCAAGAGCAGCACGTGTTTCTTCATTGTCCTTCTTCAGATCATTGAAATTGCTTGTGAGTGTGAAAAGTTCCTGAACCTTGTGTCGCAAGCTCGATTCCATGGACTCGATCTTTGCACGCTGTTCCTCATTGACGATCCTTCGTGATTCGCTTTCCATGTGCATCTCTTCCCAGGAATCAACGCTCATGTACACACCATTTCGGTGTCGCGTAGCGATAAGCTCTCCTTTCAGTTTTTCAATCTCTGCTGTGAATTCACGAATGAGCGTCTTCTTCGGCATTGTTGAGTTGATCTGCGGCTTGTTGCGGATATTCTTCGCCCTGAACGCATAATCCAAAGTGGAAATCGTTTCCTCCAGGTTACTGCGCGATGGTGAGACCGTAGCAATGATGCATGTCTTTGTTCGGCCTCCGAGAGAGTCTTGCAGCAGGCGGGTAAGCTTGGATTCCCGGTATGGGATATGGGCGCTCTTGTCGACCAAGGCGTTGATCACACGACCCAAAGTGAGCAAACTCTTGTTTATTAGACCAGCTTCGGTCGCACGCTTGTTTTCAGCACCGCTACGCTGGATATTCTCACTACCAGCCAAGTCGACCAAGTTCAGCTTTCCGGGGCTGATATACTCCTCGCCCGACTCTGTCGTTCGTTTCGTAAGGACGGTGATAGTGAAAACAGTGTGACTCCGGGAACTCAGGTCGTTACATTTGGTTGCCGCCACTTGCCGCTTGTGACTGCCCTCCTGGAGCAGCTTTATTCCAGCCGACGCAGAGTCGATGAATGTCTCCTCCATACCCTGTACAAGTGTGCTTCCATGGCCCTTTTTTGACTCGTTCTCATAGATCTTGAGTTTTGGGTTTTCCTCAGAGGAGAGCAGATCGCGAAGCTCTTCATTGTATAACTCGATGAAGGAACACTTCACAGTGCTCTCTGTTTCCTGAAGCTTGTGGAATAATGAGTAGAGCACACGCGGGATGATACCAGCATTGTCTGAGAGTATGCCCAGGGTATCCGTCATGTCGCCTGACATTGTGTAGGTCTTTCCGGTTCCTGTCTGTCCATAGGCGAAGATTGTGCAATTGTATCCAGCAAGCATTTCGTTAACAATGGGTAATACAACGTCTTCATACACAGTGACCTGATCGGCGGCTGCTGAGAAAACCTTGTCAAATGTGTAGGCCTTGTTGGCCAAGGCATTTGGGCCCATAGATAATTCAACGCATTTGCCTTTTACTCCCTCGGGAGTTGATACGACGACTCCGCTCTTCTCCTGGATTTCCCTGTCGTTGCGGCCGCGACATCTTACCACAACGTGAATACTGGTGTCTTCGTTGATTTCACGTTCAAAGTCTCTTTCTTTTCGCTTCGCAATAAGACTGGTGGTGGATGATTCGGTCGGCGATTTCACCACGCGCGAGCTACTAGGGGGCGCTTTCGCAGTAACTGCCGGAGAATTGGCTCTGGTCGAAGAGGGCACCACCGACCCCGCTCGTCGTGTCGATGGGCGTGTCGACGGGCGTGTAGTCGTTGTCGTCGTACGTCTTGTTGGCAGCCCAGAGGCAGGCCGTTGTGGGCCGGCCATAGTGGACTATAGAGTGAGAGTAACAAATCCCGTGCCGGTTAAGTGCAGTGAGTGTCAATGCTGCGCAATCTCAAATTAAATGGGCAACATAAGGCGATAAGGTGGCGGCGAATGTGTGGGATGTCGGATAAGGAGGTCGAGGTTTGGAGTATTTACCGATGTTGATGCGGGATTCTCAAAACGGAAAACGTAAACAAACCCACCACACCGCCCACGTGCCGGCCCCCGTCATTCCCCCCTCTCACATGATCGGTCCTATGCGTTCATCGCCTTCCCCCCACGGCTTCTCTCCTCCTGACTATCGCAACTCTTCCCAGACAGTGTTCAGTGTTCCGAAGCATCAGTTTGTCTTCAGCTTTGAGTGCTGCTCATTTGTAAAAATAAACTACGGGATGGTGCTTTGCCCATCCAGCATCCAGTACTCTTGACATATATATACTACCGACTGCTAATACCCACCGCCCTCTCAGTCGGCCGCCTCAGTATGAGAATCGGCCGTAATCCATCATGAGTTCCTCCAGACCTTCACCGCAGGCTCAGATCTACCCTGGGAAAGGGCTGGGATTCATAAGCATGTTGAGTCATTACACTTAGTTTTGGACATGGCTAATCGGTGTCGCATAGCTCTCGGAGCCTCCCTTCATAATGTCTTAAGCCGCGTCAAGGCCCATCCCCAGATATACCCCGCTATTGATATTGCATACTCCTCTGCAGAGCCCTTGAACAAGCCAGTAACCTTGCAACTTCCATCGAGCGGTCTTCGTCTACGTTTTGATGGACCCGACCAGCGGCTTCGCTTGATCGAGGTCTTGGACTTCTCCAAGATTGCACTTGTTTATAAGAACCAGGAAGTACTGAAAGGTGTGAAACCGGGGGAGCAGTCGGTGACACAGCAAGGCCCCAACTTTCGCCATGTCTACAACCGTCTCTTCGGGCCCTCCTATCCTGGAGAGTATATACCTCCGGATAGCCCTCAGTCGCCGTATGGCACCTACGTGCTATCGTACCCTGGAGTCGCATTCTCCTTCCCACTGCAGAACTCGGCATGGTCCGATCAGTGTGACTTTGTAGCATTGCTTTCCTCCTCAGCAGCCTTGCCAGCAACGTCTATGGCCATTTTTCAGGGCTCATCTTGGCCCGAATCTCGAAACAAACTATTCACACAGCAGCCGCAATTTCCGCGCTCGCCGGCATTGGCAAGTAAGAGCAGAGAATCTGTTCCAGACGAGATTGAGGAGTTTCTCATACTGGGTGGCGGCAAGATTGAAGTAGTGCGAAGATCGAGTCCATCTGCAGTCATCGCGCTGTCAGAAACCACTCCTCAGGATCTAGTTGCGGAGTTTGGGCCGCCTGATGCCATCTACCGTAAACATGATCGGAGAATAGCTATTCATCGAGCCGCCGGCCGTAGCGGTGGCGAGGACGCTCTTCACATGGGTTCTTCTCCAGGCAGAATAGATGTTACTGACATCGATCAATCTTCAAACAACAGTGTGTCCGATGACTCTGATGACGAGCTCTTCCAACCAAACGCAGCGGATCCTTCGTCACTACCGTCAGAATGCTTTTTCAACTACTTCCACCATGGCTTTGATGCGTTCATCTCCTATCCAACTACGCCTGGCCCCGCCTTTCCAGAATCTGACCAGAGAGACCCCACTCCACCGCCGCCTCATTCGCAGTTGGTCGTGACCAAAATTATTTTACATGGAAATGTGCCGGGTTCATATCCTTTCAATCGCCACCGCCGAAGCCGTTGGAGGATTGTTTTCAGTTCGCCTGATGATTTTGTTACTTCCGAGACTCGTTATGAAGAGGTTTCGGAGCGTCTCAGGTCAACCTGGAAAGGATCTTATGCAAGCCCTGCGGAGGAGCGGGCTCTACAACGGCCCATGGTTTTGAACCGAGGGTGGGGCGACAGCCCAGAGAGCAGCGTCGAATTTCTCGGCGGATGGGAAGAGAGCACCGGCAAAGGGCAGAGGACGGGCCACGAGGGGCATGACGGCGGACTAGGCAATACGGAGCTCTTCGGATTCCCTGGTCTGTTGTTCGAGGTGATGAAGAATGGCGCAGTGAGCTGCTTGACTATTTATTGACCTTGGTTTTCCCATTTCTCGGAAGGGCGGAGCGGAGTTTCGGGCTGTGTGTCTTCTGGCAAGCATCAGTATCACGAATATTGCATACATTGATAGAAATATTGTACTAATTTCAAGGCAACGTTGCTTATGAAGTCGCTTTTCGGGTTTACTATATGTGTATCTAATTTTGGCTGTGGTATCGAATAACCGTTCCTCATGCATCATACCATCTGTGATTGGTAGTGTGCGTAACTTACCGTAATACCAATACACGCATTTTACGGCGCATCGGAGATGGGTGGACATTATTTGAATCTCCGCTCCCCAACCAGTCACCTGCCACCCTCTCGCCCAATTCCCCCAACCTCAAACAGTGGGATATGATACAGCGGTAGTATGCCGGACCTGCCACGGACGCTCGCTCGGTCCTGGTCGTCGACGCTCAAGCTCCCGAAATCGACGTTCCCTGCACGCGTGACGCCGGCCGATCGGACAAAATACTTGCAGCGATGCACCGACGACCTCTACGCCTGGCAACAGCGTGAAAGACCAGCCAGCCAGCCGTTCGTCCTGCACGATGGACCACCATACGCAAACGGTGACCTTCACATCGGCCATGCCCTCAACAAAGTACTAAAAGACATCATTTGCCGTGTGCAGCTCGGTCTGGGAAAGCGGATTCGATACGTACCGGGATGGGACTGTCACGGCTTGCCGATAGAGCTGAAGGCTCTAGAAGCGCAAAAGGAACTACAGGGGCAGGAACACAATGGACCCGTTAGCGCAGCGCTGGTACGCAAGGCTGCGCGCAAATTGGCTGATCGGACGGTCAAGGCGCAGATGAAGGGATTCCGGAGCTTCGCGGTCATGGCGGACTGGGAGAACCATTGGAAGACTATGGATAAGGCGTTCGAGAAGAGACAACTTGGTGTTTTTCGGGAAATGGTCGATAAGGGATTGATCTATCGGAGATTCAAGCCGGTTTACTGGTCGCCGTCTACTGGAACGGCGCTGGCGGAGGCCGAGCTGGAATACAAGGAAGATCATGTTTCAACGGCTGCTTTGGTGAAATACCCTCTTGCTAGCATCCCGGAGCATCTGGCACAGGACCCTTTGCTCAAGGATAAGGAAATCAGCGCTGTTATTTGGACTACGACTCCCTGGACACTCCCGGCAAACGCGGCTATCTCGGTTCATCCGTCTTTGGATTACACGATTGTCGAATCGGATACACAGGGCTATCTCCTCATCGCGCAATCTCGGCTGGAATACCTCGAGGGTATTCTGAAGGAGGATTTGTCGGTCATCGTGCCGGCTATTCCTGGCTCGAAGCTTGCTGATCAGACTACGTACCGACCTCTGTTCAAGGGACCCGATGCGGAGCCGCAACCCATCATTGCTGCGGACTTCGTCACCGCCGACTCCGGATCAGGTCTCGTTCATTGCGCCCCAGGCCACGGTATGGAGGACTATGAAGCTTGCTTATCCCGAGGTATCCCCGCTTTCGCCCCCGTGGACGACAACGGCAAGTTCACCGATAAGGCCATGCCCAGCGACCCGACAAGGCTCAGTGGAAAGAGCGTCCTGAGTGATGGAAACGCCGCGGTTCTCGAATACGTCGAATCCCAGGGCCTGCTGATCACAAAGCACCGGTACGAGCACAAGTATCCCTACGACTGGCGGTCCAAGCTTCCCATCATCATCCGCGCCACAGAGCAATGGTTCGCCGACGTAGCCGACATCCGTGGCAGCGCCATGACAGCTCTCGAGGATGTCAACTTCGTACCTACTGCCGGAAGACAGCGACTGGAAAACTTCGTCAAGAACCGCAGCGAATGGTGTATCTCGCGTCAACGCGCCTGGGGTGTCCCTATCCCGGCGCTTTACCACCGCGGTACAGGCGATGCTTTGCTTACCAAGGACAGTGTATCTCACATCATGAATGTCATCGAAGAGCGTGGCATTGACGCATGGTGGACAGACGACGCCAACGACGAGGCGTGGATCCCACCAGCTCTGCGAGACGCCTCTGGCCCTGGCTACAGACGCGGAACCGATACCATGGACGTGTGGTTCGACAGCGGCACCAGCTGGACCGAGATCGACCTTCCTTACCGTGACGGCGGATATCCCGCCGATGTCTACCTGGAGGGCACCGACCAACACAGAGGATGGTTCCAGTCCGGTCTCCTCACCTTCATTGCCCACCAGCTCGCGTCCGGACACACCGCATCCCCTCGCGCGCCCTTCAAGAACCTCGTCACCCATGGCTTTACCCTGGATGAGGAGGGACGCAAGATGAGCAAGTCGATCGGCAATGTGATCCAGCCAGAGTCAATCATGGATGGCACACTCTTGCCACCTCTCAAGCCGAGAAAAGGCAAGGGGAAAAAGCAAGCCGAGAACCAGGCACCGGTCTACGACGCGCTTGGCCCGGATGCTCTGCGAATGTGGGTTGCAAGCAGCGACTACACGCGGGATGTCGTGATTGGCAAGCAAGTCCTTCAGACGGTCAACACCAGTTTGCACAAGTACCGTGTGACATTCAAGCTGCTGCTTGGTGCTTTGTCTGACTTCCGTCTGGAGGATCGTCTTCCTTATGATCAGCTGCAGCAAGTGGATCGCATCGCTCTGAAACATCTGTCTGACACCGTGTTGGCCTGCCAGAAGGCCTGCGAGAACTTTGAGTTTTACAAGGCTGTGAATGCCATTAACCGCTGGGCTAACCTTGAGTTTTCTGCATTCTACATGGAAGCTATCAAGGACCGTCTTTACACCTACGCTGAGAACAGCACCAGCAGAAGGGCTGCCCAGACGACCTTGTTCCACATCTACCACCACCTTCAAGAGGTGCTGGCTCCCATCACTCCGTTGTTGGTCGAGGAGACCTGGGAGCATACGCCCGAGGCCATCAAGACCCACTGCGAGCATCCGCTGAAACGGATTGTTTCCGCGCCCGCCTCTGAATGGCAGAACCAGGCTCTGGAAGCGGACTATCAGGATATTGTGGCCGTCAACTCCGTGGTCAAGGCGATTCAAGAAAAGGCCCGTGGCCAGAAGCAGATGGGCTCTTCCCTGCAATCGTTCGTCCACATCGTTCTTCCCAACGGCGCGACGAGCGAATCGGTCTTCGCGCGCCTCCAGTCCGAGCTGCCTGATGTGTTTGTTGTCTCGTCGGTCAGCCTCGGGGCGCACGAGGAGCCGATCCCGGAGGACATCCGCAATGCGGAGTGGCAGTACAGTGAGGAGTACGAGCTGCCGAGTGGCGGCAGAGGAACGGTACATGTGTATACCCCGCAGGCGAGCAAGTGTCCGCGCTGCTGGCGTTATGTGGTGCCCGAGACAGAGGCGGCGGAAGAGACGGTGTGTGGGCGCTGCGAGGAGGTGGTGCAAGAGTTGGATGCATCGAGCTGAGTGGTCAGTTCCTTGTTAGCATTTGAATCGTACAAGCTAGTGCTGCATGTATATTATAATAGTAACAAATAGCATAGATCTGGGTTAGGTTCCTTGGCACGCCAGCATTAGCGGCATCTGTAATACATGGTAGGATCCCTGCGAAAATCGATGAAGCGACTGTCTGTCTGCTTGGCGGAACGGAACAGGTTGAAGCGTGGAGAAAAGATTAAAGTGCGTGGCGAGCGATGCCGGATCAAGACCCTTTAGATTATATATTGGGCCAACCGAGATTAATCATAACACTGGCCATGCATTGAGATGATCCAACTGTCAAAAACTCCATACTATTGTTGTGCTAGAGCTAGTCCTTATCACATAGCAACACTAGCATCATATATGACCTGTCATTGAGGTAGTGAATATATGAGACATCCACTTGGCGCATCCACGATGCCATCTGCTTGCCTCATTGCCTGGATGGCGCCATGCGATGACCATTCTGGCACACTAAGTATCAGCCGGTCTTTGTCTAGCGAAAATGTAATATCGGCTAAGTGACGCTAGTCTGTCTGCTGTAGAGTTAGTCTATCTGTATGTAGGGTTTTCTTTTCTTGGTGATAAAGCCTTGACTAGCGCCACTCGCGGTGGTTAAATAATCTTCCCAGCCTACACACTTATCAGCCTTGTATCAACGACCTCCTCCTATATCAGAAATGAAACTCGACCACCTCCCCGTGGAGCTAATTCTCCAAATTGTTCCCTTCCTAAAGAAACATGATTATGCGCAACTAGTGCTGGTTTGCAAGTCCTGGTACTCCCTATTCATCCCCCATCTATACCACCATGTTGTGCTTCCCTTGAACCATTACTGTGGTTTCGGATATGGTCACAAGCGCTATAGCAAGGATCTTCCTGTGCGTCGGTTCACCTTGGCTCTGCTTGAGAATCCAACCCTTGCTCCCTTGATCCACTTTTTGCAGCTTTATCCTAGTGATTGTGAGGGGAAATGGCAGAATCGGCCTCCGCTAAAGCCGGTGGCTGAAGAAAAATACCTCCCTTTCATGCTGCCCTATGGCGATGCTAAGCGCAAACATCGTCGCAAGTTCCATGCATGGCGCCGAGATCTTAGACACAGATCCGAGCGACAGGACTGGTATCGGAAATACCGATACGAAGATGCCTGGCTAGCCTTGCTCATGGTACAAGTCAAGAACCTCGAGACGTTCGCCATCCAATTACCCGAAGAGTGGGACCACATTGTTGACGAAGGAGAACCCCTACTCAAAAACTCTGTCCACTTTGAACGTGTCATTCAATGGGCTAGTAACCCGAAGCTGGGCATTCTCACGTACCTAAAGCACATTTCGTTGAGGGATGGCCCAGATTTCTGGGAATATCGGACTTCCGTAGGCGCAGTTCCCATGAACCGGCTGCTTCCTTATCTCCGGATTCCGTCACTGCGAAAGCTTTATGTGCATAATGTGTGTGATCGATCCCGATTCCACATGCCTAAAAGTTTGGTTCTTCCACTGACCCATCTGGATCTTATGGCAAATGATGATGACCTGCCTAATCTCCCCTGCCTGCTGGAAAGGTGTCCAAACCTGCAGTCATTCACCCTTGAAGTGGGTGATGGGATGGCGAATCATACTCACCAATACCTGAATCACTCGCGCCTATACCAGCCCTTGCGACGATCTCAATCGTCGTTGCGTTACCTGAACCTAATTTTCCTGAGCGACCGGACCTGGCAGGATGCCGAAATCCCAAGCCCTATCTTCTTCGGGAGCCTGACTGAGTTTCGTAATCTCCAGACCATCCATATGCGGTGGAGTAGCTTGTTGCCGTTTCTCGGGAGCGGTTCCTACGATCCCGAGAAATCTCTTCGGGAGCTGCTTCCTTGCTCTCTGCAATATCTCTTTATTCACGATTGCTTGATCCAATCCTCGTTGGCCTTGTGCAGGGAACTCGAAACCCTGGAGATACACTATTTCGAGGCCGTCCCTTCGCTCAAGGCGCTATATCTTGAGTATGCTGTTAGAGAGCAAGCACCGGGACAGGGGTGTATGAAGTGTGTTAGCGGTCATTGGTCCAACTATCGAATGATGGAAACAGACCCCGTCATCGATCGCCGTCTACTGGACTTGCAAGGGAAATTCCGTACGTTGGGCGTGGACTTCCGGATTATCAAACCAGGAGTCACGGCGAAACCTTTCCCTCTAGACGGTGCGATCAGGACGAAGTGGCCTTGGGAGACTTTTGATGGAGTTTTGATGTAGACATTTTGTTTTTTACCCTTCCGGAGATGTGGTATTTAGATGAAGCAAGGTATGGGTAAGCTGCGTCAGACATAACGATTAGTTTGTGAAGAAGAACATGCGTGATGCAATACCGGGGCACGAGTACCAGCAGTATTGGAATAAATATCATCGCTCCTCCATGTGGTCATAACAATCCATGTTCAAATTGAAAGATGTGTATGGGTGTTGATGAACCGGACAATCGAAAGGGCATATCAGATGGTAGCAGTGATCTGAAAGCTTTCAGGAAGCCGTGCTAATTGTAAAGGGAATTTATCGGAGGAAAAAGTGATGTTGGGAAGAGGATGTGGCAGTAACGGGGATCGTGTGAAAGCTGTGGGATTGGAGTAGGAAGGCATGATACGCGCTAAGATCTACTTTGCTGGACATTATGCATATCACGGGATCGCATCTATTTGAGGGTGTAAATTGGGACCAGTCAGTATAGAGTACTGGGTAGTCTAGACACGTAAGTCCAGGTTGCCTGATGGAAGATTGGGTGAAGTTTCTTAGGGATCAAGGAATAACCATGTTTAACTAGGGAATATACATGAGTAGCTACGTAGTGGAGTAGTAGTCCTCTTTTTCCAACCTTCTTTCTTTCAGTTGTTAGTTGCCTAATTTGTAATAACAATAGTATTCTACTATTATTGAATAATAGTTGGGTTATATTCCAGTAATCTAGACACATCATTATCACTGAATCGACTGCAAAGCAGGTGGATGAAACCGGTGCCTTGTAGCTGAGTCATGACCGATCTGGGGATGGCGTCATTCCGCGGGGAGCGCAACGTCTCGGTGGAGCTCCAACCTTCCCATCTTCACCAAAAAGGCGACGCATTCGTATCATGCAACAACTTCTGACCAGCCAGCTTTTCAAGTTCCAGACAAACATGGCCACGGCACCGATTCCCTCCCGGTTACACGGTTCCCCCTCAAGCCCGCGGTCGCATCCGCCGTGATTGGTTCTCCGCTGCTCTCCAAGCTCAATGACGACAACATCGAGGTCAGCATGACGCTGGTCGCTGGGGAACGGTGATTCCCAGTCGATGCTCCTCTTTGATTCACTGGATCATGGCCAGCCTGCATCTCGGCTCTCCCGGTTCCCGTTAAATACCCAGTCGATCCCCCTCATATACGCTGATTTTCCCCGCAATATCCTTTTGCGTCGGACTGTCTCTACACCATCTTCAGTGTCGATAGTTCTGTCGAAATCAAGCAACATGATCGAGTCCTTCATCAAGGCGACTCCAACTCTCCCTTGGCCTGAGCCATCGCCCACCTCGTCGGTGGCGCCCATTCCCACTGTCGTTCCCGGCAGTGATCCCATCTTCCAGGTGCTCCATGACACCGGGAAACGGACACTATGGTAAGACTGTTGCTGACGGGAATACGGAAATGTGACGAGTATAGCTAATGTCGAGTTACACAGGGTGGTTACTGTGCTCATGGGTATCTCCTCTCTCGTGTTCTACGTTCTAGGTGCTCGGGTCCCTATCGTAAGTTCTCAGCAGCTACCACTGTGAATCTTGGGAACGGTAACTAACTATACTCTGACTAGACTAAACGCGTGTTCCACGTTCTCGTTGCTCTCGCCAGCACCATCTCCTTTATCATCTACCTCGCTCTGGCGACAGGACAAGGCATGGACTGGAAGCTCGACATCATCAAGGAGCACAACAAGCATGTCCCCAACACCACGCAGGAATACTACCGTCAAATTCTCTGGCTCCGCTATGTCCTTTGGTTCTTGACGGAGCCTTTGGGTCTCATCAGCTTGTCGCTGCTCTCCGGTCTGCCTGGCGCCCACCTGCTCATCGCCATTGCGGCCGACTTTATCATGCTGGGCTCGGGCATTCTGGGCACCTATGCCGGCCATTCCTCGCGCAGATGGGTCTGGTTCACTATTAGCGCAATCGGATATCTTACAACAGTCTACCATATCAGTGTCCATGGAAGCCGGGCAGCCAGCAACAAGGATGTCCAGACCAAGCGGTTCTTCGGAACATTGTCGGGCGTCATGTTGTTTGTCAAGCTCTTGTATCCAGTGTATGTTCCTTTGGCCCCAGAGGATCTTTTGAACAATGTACTAACATGGGATAGGGCCCTCGCTGCTGGAGCTTTGGCTCTGAAAATCAACGTTGATGTCGAGACCATCCTCTTTGCCATCTACGATATCTTCTCTCAGGGTATCCTTGGATACTGGCTGCTCATTGCGCATGACGGCGCTCCTGGAATGTATGTACCAATGCACTCATTGGTCTGGAAACTTAGCATCAAACTAACTATTACATCAGTACCCTCAACGTCGACGGCTTCTGGTCCCACGGCCTGGGTAACGAGGGCGCCATTCGCATTAGCGAAGAGGACGGAGCATAAACAAGCCACCCCTGTTATCAGGTGCCTCCAGATTACATGAGTGGCGCGTCTTCGGTTATACATTGGTTTGGTCCACCAACCAATGTGCCAGTCGCTACAGTACTTACTCATTTACCTTCCTTTCATCATCTCACTACACTACTTACACTCTTTAATGATCACGAAATGACATGACATGACACTTCCAGCATCATATGCAACCAATATGACACTAATATGCCCGAATACCACGAAGTGGAAAGGTCTCGAATATGCGTGGTGGCATTTATTTACCTGAAGGATAATAATCGACCCGACTTCTGTCTGCAGGAACACTGTCTTTTGATTGATTGCACATTGTGTATAGTTGTTATTCTGATTTTCAGTCAGGACAAAATTGGGCGTTTGGAATTTATCTGCCTGTCTACCACACGTGTGTCTCTGTACGGTGTAGTTGGTTTACTTCAAGTTCTAGTTTAGTTCAGGACCCATCTCCACAAGATCAGAATGTGACTTCTCGTGATGAAAGTAAATGAAGTTGACAAACAGTAATTACTTTAAGAAGAACCTTCTACATCCTAGTTAGTGTGGTCTCTCTGTGCTACCCTCACATCCGTCATCTGATCAGTAAGACGGCGAAATTATTTTTACTTGGGAATTCCGGTCATCGTTTAATTAGACATGTTATCTTGCAGAACAAAACCAGTTGTTTTCTGGGAAAGACACTTACACTGAAGCCTTGAATCAACAATATCGCCCGTTTTCCCCAATTTTATCGGATGTTGCTGTTGAAAATACCATCGAGTCAATTTCTGACTTGGCTTCATAATGAACTAGAGCTCGCTTGCAAATCCGCCCGGTTTGTCTAACGACCCGTCTTTCTCTTCCAATATCAATATCGCAAGCAGCCGCGATATAGTTATGAGCTCGTGGTAAGCCACTTAGTCACCTGATACTTTGATATAGCTATAACATCCTATATCTGGGTATACGTATCATGCTTTGCTAGTCTCTCAATCGAAAAGTGCTTGGAACTCTCGTGGTTGATACACATAGCTTCACTTATACGGATACTAGACGAGACTTTTCGTCCTTTATGGAAGGGAACTTCGTCCCCAGATCGACAAAACGTTAGATGAGTAACAAAAATAAGGAGATGGAGACTACTATCTACTATCAGCTCAAATGTCAAGCTTATGGGTCCAAGATCCTATCTCTCCGAAGGCACTTGAACGATTGGGCACACTGATTATCTCTGTTTATCTGTCCTAATCTGGCTTCCAAACCGCATATGTGTTATGTAACGCATGATGGGCTACAGCTCCGCTGAAGGTGTCGTGGCCTGGTTAGGTCAAATGGACCAGGTAGCCTCTTGTCAATGATTGCATGCCATACATCAGCCCATGCGTCGAAGTATCTGTAGAGGCCTGGCGGCTGCTATTAAACGTTATGAGAGTGCATGAAAGAAGTTCGTGCCAGTCGTCACGATTCCTGTTTGAAGAGTTTTGATGTTGTACCATGAAATTCCCCACCAACTGGTTTGATAATTGTTCTAGCCATTTGTTTGACGATGATAAGCTGTTGACTAACGTCATGATAGATTGTTCTTCCCTCTTACGAGCAATGCTCCCTCGAGTATGTCACCTCAACCGATCTGTTCGGTCTGATCTGTTACGAAACTTCGCTGCTTCGATAGGTCCCACACCTCCTTCCTCTTTTCCCCCGGCATCTGAGGTTGTACTCTTGGGTTCTGTGGTGGTTCCATCGCTGCCCTCATCGACCAGTCGATCCAATGAGTGAGTTACGTATCTTGGTCCACAATGCTAGTTGTAACATCTCTTACCTGCTTGCCCTTTTTCTTGTATTGCCGCCCCTATACAAGTATTGCCATCCTCTCTTAGTTGAGAAGTTGAGAAATAGATTTCCTGTCTCCGGCAGCATCTCAACTTATCGAAAGGAATTAGCTGCTCGTTCCCTAAGACTACTTCTGACCGGCTCGGTATTGCACGGAGTCTTGCGTTGCCCGCGTCGTCCTGTATTGCTTAGCGGCTATCAGCTGCTTGTAGGGTTACGTATCATGAACGTGGACATACGATCGGATAAAGGCTCACTCAATACCTACCCACAATGACACGTCACAAACAATGATTCTAGACCTAGCATTTACCAAGCGCATCATGAGAAGCCGAGCACATTTGCTCTACAACTTGGACGGATGTTGTTCCTAAAGGTAAATTATCTGTGTTATGTGCGTTGAATTATCGACTATCTACTTGTGGCCCGTTTCAACTACTTTTTGCTACACAGTAAACCCAGTCGAGGTAATTATTGCATTAGCTATTACTAGGAATGTCAAAAGGTAGACTCAGTAATGTAGGTGATGATGGAAGTCACTAGGCCGACCCGCAGCCATTTTGCAACAACCTTGTCCCACTACCTAGATCCGCCTTTAAGCCTTAACCGCCATTTCAGTCCGACAGAAAGCATCGCTAGATTAAGCCAGTTCTCTCTACCTCGGTCACCACCGACTCTCGGTTTCAACGGTCTCCTGAGGTTCAATCGTCTCTTCTCCATCCGCTTCAGTAACCGAAGATGCGTGCCCGGACTCTTCATGACCCCAATCTTCCGCATCTGAGGACTCGAGTCTGATCTCATGCACCAAAGGTTCCGCATCTGGATTTCCAACACTGATCTCATGAACGGATGATGGTTCATTGGACGCTTCATGACCCCAATCTTCCGCACCTGGAGATTCGTCCCTGATCTCATGAACTGATGGCGAAACATACACGGCCCCAGCATTCTCAGACGATGCTTCCTTGACATCTGTACTACAACCGGCAGATTCCGACGTACCAGTTGGTGTTCGGTATTTCCACCAAGAAGTCAGGGACTTCCACGCAGTCTCCATCAGAGTAGCCTTGTCAGAAACAGTCTCCTCAGAAACAGTCTCCTCAGAAACAGTCTCCCGAGCATAGTTGATTTCCTCCTCTTCCACAGGTCTGACCCCCTGAAAGAGCTCCTCTTCTGTCGGACCTACAGTATATCAGTATATGGGGCAAAAGCTAACCGGGAATTTAGAACTTACACGTGCAGCTAATGATACTCCTTTCACTCGAGTACCATTGAGCGAAAGCGCAAGGGTAGGGCACATCATTATTTATCTTGTCGCCCAAATGGTTCCGCTGCGGGCCCTGAGGCATGCTCTTCGCGTCAGAGCCCACCCGCGCTGGCAGAACGTTTATCATCACCTCCGTCATCCGGCTCGTTCCGACGTTGCCGCGGTTGTTGTCGATCGTGAAACCCATCTCAGCGAAAGTGTTTGCGGAAGTGACAACCCAGTCGTAGATGATTACCTTTGACTCCTTTCCTTGCATCGAGTCGGTGGTAGCTATCTTCGGGAGCTCTGTCTTCAAAAGACCGCCCCGCTTCGATAGTGCAAAGAGAGTCTGACGGTACCTAACGACTTGGGCCATGTAAGGTGTGACGATAGTCACATCTTTTCCATTGTACCCACCGTTTCGGTAATTCTCCAGGACGAGCTTTAACACCCAGAGTCGATTGCCATCATTATAGCGACTGTGCGTTCCAGCCTCAACTTCACACGAAGCGTCATCTAGACTGACAATGACGTTGCCTAAGTCGATATTCGCATTTTCCACGCCGAGAACGTGTCTCATGGAGGTCAAAAAATTGCCATTTACGGTGATCTCGGTAGTTGAGGGATGGTCCTTCATCTCTCCGTTGTAAGTCCGGTGGTTCAGCCATCTCGAAAAACAAGGGCGAAATCGGAATTGTTCAGTCAATTTCTGTACAGGGTGATGCATGGCTATTAACCTCGCAGGAAAGGAAACGGCGAGCTGCTGGGCGAACTCGTTATACCGCTCTTTAGATTGCAACGATAGGACCATAGGCCGTAGTTGCCGCTCATCGCCACTGGTAATGAGGCCCTTGATGCTCGGTCCCGCCTTTAGCTTGGTAATTGGGATCCAACCATTTGACTCTAGTTCTTTTGTGTCTTCGTCCCGAATGACAAAGATCCCATTTGCATTTTGGCCGAAGTTTGAGGCAATGATTGGGTCCCCCATATTGTTGTTCGTGGAGACGATAACAGAAGCCTCTCTGATAACCTGCCGAGATACCTTTTTGAAAGCCAAAAGGGCCTTCCGCTTGACAACGTCGTCAAGTTGTCGAAATGTCTGCGTTTGGATCATCTCAGCGTAATGCCGAAGGTATTCGAGCATATCCGCTTCTTCGCCTTCAGGTTCGACATCACCGTCTTCAATTGAAGAGAATAAATCACCTTTGGACTTCAGCACTTGGTCATCGGACGGGAAAGTGTCGATTAGTTGTCGTCCTTCGGTATATGCTAACCGGAAAACATGTGCTTCCAAGGACTTCGCTGGGAGGCCGTAGTATCTCTTATCGCTGTCCTCCCTGATCACATCAAGAGTCTCCGTCATGCGAATCTGGCTTTCCAGAGGAATGAAAACAGGAGTGAAGTCCTCCTCTGCATCAGTCTGAACCTGGTGGCTTGCGGTAAACTCCTCTGCATCTTCTTCCACGGCATTCTCATCACTGTCCTTGGTTGTACGGGGTCTTCCATGCGTTCTGAACGCTCTCGATTCAGAGATGGGGCGGTAGACCCTGAGAGGACAAAGATTTGTACCAGTAATTTCTGCCCATTTATCCATAGAATCGCAAATGGCGTCTGCAGCATAGTGACTTGGAGCCGTAAATATGACATGGATCCCCAGGGACTTTAAAATTGACGTTATAGCAACTAAAACGAAGGTTTTTCCAGTGCCGGGATATCCTTGGACTAAAAGAATACCGTTAGGAAGCGCCGTGATCGACCTTATGCAGGCGATCTGACTTGCTGACCATTCGATGCCTGACTGCAGAACTGTCTCTATCGCACCCTGCACAATTTCAGACGGCAGATCCAAGCTGGAAAACGGATTTATCAGGCGTCTGGCGCCAGCTTCTCTATTAAGAGAGACATAAGAGAATGCTTCGAGATGAGAATCTGAATCCGACGTGCATAAGCGATTAATTCCATCGAGTTGCCTCTGTGCGCCCGACTGAGGGACAGAGATCTTCAACTTGGCCGGATAAAAGCGAGGCCGCTGTCCAACGTCTACAGCAAATGAAGAATAGAATGATGTGTTGGCTCCAGGGATCAAGAACAGCACGCCATCTTCGTAAGGCAAGCCGAAGATGTTGTGGATCATCACTCCAATGCATTTGACGTCCCCGACCCTCATCATGTTCGGAGGGCGGAATTTGATTTGGACGGCAGTATTCTCACGGGGCGTCCAGTGTTCGATCCCGAGGTTCTCTGGTATATTGAGCCGCACCAGAGCCAAGACTGTAGAGGGCTTAACAACCAAAAACGAGACACTGTGTTGCTTATCCGAAACATTCTCCGCAAGTTCGGACTCCCGTTTCCATTCGAGAAATGAGCCATACGCCATGATAATCTGGTTCTCCTCACGGGTCGCGAAAGAAGTTTGAGAGGGGAATGGCACGAGACCATTGCTTTCGCTTGCGACGATCTGTCGTTTTACGAGTTGTCCCCACTGAGTGATAGGGTTTCCACGTACGTCCCTATAGGGGGCCAGAATTGGCTGGGTCACCTCAAAGAAATCACTAAACTGGCGAAAGAAACGTTCCTGCTCTTCAGTTTTGCGCTTTGTGCGGGCGTTCTGTACCTCGTACTCGATATATCTCGCATTCAGGCGGAAGATGGCACGCTTCGGGGAAGTATTATTGTTGAAATTGGAAGCTAGATGTCTAGCATACCAGAGCAGTTCTCTGTCTTCCGCGTCAAGGAATCCAGCATCGAAGTCAAGGCCGATACCGATACCACCGTTGGTCACGATCCGCACAACGATATAACTGTCCTGCAAAGGAACGTCGTCTTTTCGTTCATTCTGTTCTTGGCGGCGGTTTCTCCTGAACTCCTTTCGAGACCTGTTATCCATCTGATAATTTGTGACATGAGCGTGAGCGTGGAACTCAAGAAGAGCTTTGTGGACGATTTCCGAATCACGCTGAACGGCGAACTCAAGGACGAGCTTGCGAGCAAGATTCGCACCACAAATTTTGGACCTCATGTTGACGCCTGTCTCTTTGTGGATCCAGGAATGCGGGAGATACTTTGGGGTATGGCGCCCATTCGAGTCTACCACATGCAGAAGAAAATGAGCGTTTTTCCATTGACAGCCGTTGAACTCTTTCGCAGCGTCCTAATCCTTCGGCTGAACCAGAATGAGCTTCTGGGGGTCTTCTTGTTTCTTGGCTGCCGCAGTGCCAGAAGGTGCCTGGACAATCGTTAGTTTGGTATTTAGTTATTTCGGGTGCTACTACTACTCACCACATCGCGCTGGTAGACGAACTGGCTGAACTCGTCGTCGCCCGGTTCGTACACCTCATTGAAAGCAGCTAGCTGCAGCATAGGCCTCTGATCTGCGGTATCTTCGACCTCATTGAAGTCAACTGCATACTGTGCAGTCGAGACGTTGTCGGAAGTACCCACATCATCCGCTTCCAAGTCAGAGCTGTTACTGGAGACAGGCACGTCCCATTCAGACATTATGACTGCCTAGAATGCGGTTAGCTTCTGATTCTAATGCAATTCAAAGTAACCAGAGAAAGTAGAAAGATTGTGGCACAGAGTTTAGAGCTCAACTGAAACTGCCTGAAGCCGACCGCTGAAAGTAAAGGAAATTTTTATACTTTACCTCGAATGATGCTCTTAACAAAGTGATAGAAGAGAAGCTATCAAGACGAGAGCTGCCACTTGAGCAGGATGAAGGTTGTGACGAGATACGACAAAAATTGGTTGGGAGGTAAGGAGGGGCGACACGGTGATGAGGTAGGAGTTGAAGGATATGGAAAAGAAGGTAAATGGGTACGGTTTAGAAATCGAGGTGATGAGAAGGCCTAGTAAATTTAGAGTGATCCGACCTTATCGAGGATCTGTTTACCAGGCTGGAAGAAGGAAGCGCGTCATGGGATGTTAGGGGAGAAGAAGGTTGAGAGATGAAGAAGTGAGAAACAGATTTGGAGGAGGGGGGGGGGAGCTGATATAAATGAAAACTCAGGTAAACAAATTCAATACGGGGCAGCCCCTACTTCCTATAATTCACGAGGTGTTACTCCCAGTCACCGGGGCCACTGAGTGAAATCTCTGCACGAGGCTCAGTGAATTGAGCAACTCCAAGGTTCAGATGAGCATGAATGCAGATAGCTTCCCTTATTTTTTTTATCTGGCTGTTAGATGGATATCTTCACTGGGTACAATTAACAAATCTCTAACGACTGGTACAACAGTTTAAGAGAATATTGATTCGAAAACGTAGGCACGTCCTGGTTTACCAGTACAGGGGAGGTGTGTGCTTCACTCTATGTAGATAGGAATCCCTGAGTAGTATCGGGATTTCCCTGAGCTGTAAGTAGTACTTGATCCCCCAAAATTCATCCATAAAGGAATATTCCATTGTATACTGCGGAATTTCTCAGACCACAACTGCTGTAGCTTTTTATAGCTTCAGTTTGGTGGGTTGACCTTCCGCTACAAGAATTATTCTGGACTGGCAGGATGATGCTTATATGGATGCCGAGGTATATGTTGGCCAGAACCTAGACTAATCATCCCTTGACAGCGTGCTCAACTCTGGTATTATCATCATTATAATTACTTGATTGTCCCAACTTTCAATGGCTTTCATTAGCCAATTTGCCTATATGTAGTTGATTTCAATTAGTGGATTAATATCGCTTATAGAACCAGCGGGTTGTCGTTCAGAGTCATCTGCTTTTCCGCATCTAGCTCTGACTTCCGTCTGATATATTACGTCCGGGTTAGCGTCAGGAGTAATGAAGCGATATATCTGCTTTCAAATTATCGTGTGAGTCCGAAGTTCGAGACTCGGCTACACACTGCAGTATTCGAGAAAAGGGTAATAGTCACAAACATCCATTTACAGGAAGAGCTAGACGCATCTTTGATCGCTTGTCCCGGTCGACAAGAAAGGGGAGCAGTCGCAAGCATCAAAGCCTTTCAAAGAGCGATCAAGATGTCAACAACATATTATTATGGCATAACTCCAGTCATCAAAATTTGTGATGTTGCTGGCTAATTTCCTATCGTAGTTATGGGAGATCCCAATATCTTGTGCGGATCTTTCTACTTTTTATATATGCTACACGTACCACTACAGTTGGGAAGGCCATCTCGTAAGGAATGACTAGCTGATATTTATTGTCCTATCTTGAAAGCAAGAAGAATAAAGAAAGAAAGACAGCAAGAAATGGAGAAGCAAAACTAATCTAAGTTTTCAGCGTAACGATGGAAATATCACATCAAGTCTTGGCCAATTCTTGTAAGCCAGAAACAATCCACTTGCGGTTTTCGTTCATCATCCACTTGCAGAGCGTCTCTAAACCATGTCGTGCCGCATATAAGTCTTCCATTCCACAGAGGTGCCACTTTTTAATAAGAAAGTGCTCGTAAGTAACGTTCGGATCTCCTGGGCGGCTGCTCGTCCAGTGTCCGAAAACGTTCACATCGCTGCGATTGATCGTAGCCGTAAGTACTCGTACCTTCCCGTCGAACTTGTCGGCTTCGTCGTTTTTTCCGCAGGCCTTTTGGTAGAGATTTCGCAGAGCTCTGAGCATTAAGGCGGCCATGTGGAGGTTCAGGCGAGGGCCTTGCTCTGCGTCGATTCTCATCTCGATGGAAAAGAAGGGAAGAGCAAAATTTGCATCCTCGGCTATTGGGAACGCGAACTTGAGACTGTCTGGCAAGATGTTGAAAGCAGGTCTATAATTTCCACGTATCAAATTCCACTTATAGCCAATGATGATGTCCGGGTCTGGTATACTGAGAGTTCGTAGCATTGTCTGTCGCGTTTCAAGAGGCTCGGTTTTGAAATGCATCGATGCGTGATAGTTCAACTCCGACATATGAATGAGCCATTCAGTGACAAAGAATGGCATAGATAAGCTGAAAGCAGCCAGACCGACAGCACGATCCCTATTCAAGTTTGCATGTTCAAGAGAATATTTGACTTCTGTAGGTGCTGTCAACGTAGAGGGTAACTCGTAGTCTGGTTTGCGTTCCGCGTATGACGGAGGAATTTCCTGCTCGAGGCTAATATTACGGCGTAAGAGGGCTTCTCTGTATGCAACTCCATCCGCATAAGTGAGGTTCCTCTTTTTGCTGGCGACTGGGGAAGTCATTTGGAGATCCATATTCGTTAATGGAAATGAAGGAGAAGACGAAGGGGTTGTTATGTCAATTTCAGGCCAGTGAGCGGGATGGATATTATTGATATAGTTTAAGATGCGTTGTTTGTGATAACTCTCTGGAATATGACTAGAATCCAGCTGGTGGAGAGGGGGCGTGGGTCTTAAAGCATGCATGTTAGCTATCCAAGGACTAAATAGAGAAGGAGCAGGCACAAAAGTGGAAAGTGTCATGAGAACGGCGAGTGTTTGCGGTACCTTTCGCCACTTGGAGAAGCCATCGCTATTATAATAAATAGCAAATTGTGGCACTAGCAATTATGTAGTCCCAAGTTGAGATCTGTTCGAGGGACACCGTAGGTCAACAACTGAGGTCAGGTTGTACGAGTGTTGGGCAATGGGGGAGATGATAGAATGGTTCGGTGCAGAAGAGTGAGTTTGTTTGCGAGGCAAGAGACAATCAGAGCTTGAAGACCGCGAACTTATCGAGCGGCTTTACAGAGATTGTTGGATAATCATGCACCTCACAAAGAAGATGGATGAAGTTTAGCGGAATGAAGTTTCTAGCCACAGCTCTTGTGAGAAAATGCGAAGTGTATGAGGTAAGTATGAGTGTGGTGTCATCTGATTACTCCATTAGTACGTGATACAATGATACAGCCCACCTTCCTTTCTCTTTCAGGCAACCATACAGTAGTATTAAAGGGTTGTTCGGCCTCCCAGAATGACTACTAGTTTTGTCATACTATCGCATGATGATTATATCCTTATCCCTACATGAGAAGTTTATTTAATAGACCGACCCAAAGATACTAAATCATACTGTTAGTAACTTAGTATAGGACATTAGTATATACATCACTACTAGTTCCGCCTCCGTCTGTTAAGATTCCAGCAGAAACTGCTGTGACTTGTTTTTGTGTAGTTATTTGTCCATAGCCAGCAAGAAGTTTCAGCAAAAACAAAATAAGACGGATGTCTGCACCGGATGGGGATTGAACCCACGACCTTCGCATACCACCAATACGAGTGCGACGCTCTACCACTGAGCCACCGGTGCTGAATTAGTAAGCATGGTGGCGAATTGATTTTCATCAGCCTCTCCCTTACTTATCCACCATCCATCCAGTTGTTGGCAGTAGGAAATGCGTGGTGTTATCGCTATTTGTGACAGAAAGATGAGAATCAGCCCACTTTCTTAGATATATACATCTAAGGTGGGAATACTCTAGGTAGTACGCAACGCACCCCGTGGGTCATGATCCCACATGGCGAGTTGTCAATCTGCCGGGGGATAGAACCTTCCTCGGAGAGTAGTTAGTGCTATCACAAGTCTTGAACTTCAACGGTTTCACGAACGGTTCTCAGAAATACAAAAGTGCCACATCTGACCAGCTATCATGCATGATTTACAAATCCTTTACAGAGAGGCAGCAGCTTCCCTCAACTTGAGCTGCTGCTCCAGTACTGCCTCGACCATCTCATCCTGTCCCCTCCACTGCATACCTAATATCCTCTCCGCAGCTGTTGTATCAACCGTCCACCCTCCTTCGATCGGACCCTTCAATTGACATCTGACAGAAGGGAACTTCCGTCTCACCAGGTCCCCTACCCGTTCCCATGATCCAGCCGGTGCCGACAATATGAATTCCGTCCCAGAGACAATATCCGTCTGCAGCGCCCGCAAGTGTGCCTCCGCCACGTCCCGCACATCCACCCACGCGTTCGGTATCGTTGGCTTTCCAGAGTGTAGGCTATCCCAAAACATCGCGTTTATTCCATCCATCTTCTCGGGTGCTTCTTGAATTAGACTCTCGCCGAGGACGAAACTGGGGTGGAAGGTGACAAGGGTAAAGTGCGGGTTCTGACTGGCCAGGAAGTCCCGTGTGGCTTGATGGGCGGATATCTTTGAGATGCTATATTTGAAACCATGCCCGAAGGGGCCTTCGAGCAAGTCTGGGGTTAGGTCTATGGGGATGACCTCATTCGTGTTGTCTATAGTATTTGTTAATCAGTATTTCTTTGGATCACTGTAAGGATGCGACGAGATATTCACCTCTGACAAGCACGTCCTTCTCGCAAAGAGACATAGGAGGTGTTAAAGCTAGTACTGATGATACAATAATCACTTTTTTGATCCGAGGGAACTCTAGCGCGGAAAAGAGGACGGATTCGGTGCCTTTGACAGCCGGATCGATATACCCTGTTTGCAGGTCGGAACCGGCACCTGGCATTGGTGAGGCCAGGTGAATAAGGTGATCCACGCCGTCAAGAGCAGGTTTGAATGCATCTCGGACCGTGATATCAGGAATGATTATAGTCTCGATTTGGTTGTTGAAATCCGGGTAACGGGCCCGTAGAACGGCTTCCTGCTCGGGTCTGCGGATGCTTAGTCGCACTCGGTATCCCGCCTGCAGGGATACGAGGGCGACTTGGGAGCCGATGAACCCCGTCGCGCCGGTGATTAACACAAGGGGAGGAGGGGAGGGAAGCGACATGTTGCGTGGGTTTTCTCGGACACTTGATGGATGTTGTTCTAGGGAGACCGACCCTTTTCATAACACCTTCGAGCTACGAGGGGAAGAAGAAGCAATCCTACCCAGATAGATGTACGGCAAATATTCGGATCATTGGTGTCATCAGCACCATCTACTAAACTAACTAACAACTAGTATCATGTCCTAACGTTCCTCGCTCGGCTTAGATCACTAATCTTCATACAAAGTTAAAGTGGATCCCGATCGATTAGTGGTCGTCGATCCAGTCGACCCAAATATCTGTCCAATGGTAGGACACCCGGTGATCGGCTTTTACTTTCCATGCCGCTTATGAATCAATCAGTCTCCAACGTCCTATTGACACTAATCTGATCAGCTTCCCGGTCGCTTTATAGCTACTCGTGGCCAAACGCGCGGTGCTGCGGAGCATATTAGTATAGATCGAAAGGAATAGGGCCTGATGGGCTCCAGCAAGGTGGTTTGGGGCATCTGGATTCCTCAACTACTTAGCCACTATCATTTCTATCTATCCGGCATCCCACTTCCTCCCATCCAGCCTCGGCCTCGGACTGGATCACGCATCAAGAGAACTACTTACGTATCTACCTGAAACACGCAAGAGAGCGCAATTCTCCGGCCCCCGGAGAAGCCACCAACTTTGATTATCTCAACAACCCATAGGACCCAGCAGATTAACCTCGAGATGAGGCAGGTGTTGTGGATCGGGTTCAACTACTACTAATCAAGAAGTGACAGAAGTCGCGGAAACTTTACTTTGATAATCAATCTTCCTGTCATGCTAGCCGATTCAATGGGTACAGATTGAGATAGTATACCAGTAGATGATCTATAGACGGCGGTTATTGATTTAAAAAACCACGGCGTCAATATGATATACAGGTATGCTCCATGAACTTCAGAAAGTGTTGCTAATGTGAGCCGAATACAGTAAAATCTTCGAGTTAGATTACATCTCTAAAATACTAAAAAGATCTAATTCAAATTGTAGAGAGAAACAATGTAGAGAGTGGCCTGAAGCGAAATGGTAGGAGCTACCAGGAAGCTATGGAACATTGTAATATTGTAGAACTTAGAACGGCCCGTATAATCCCCTAACAAACAATCAAAGGGCAAACAGTACCATATACAGTCTATCAACCTCCCTCTATATGCCAAAAGAATACCTCATCCCCATGGACCAATTTCTGCATCCTGAGTTGGTCCAAACACTAAGCGCTTTCCCAAGCGACCGGCTTGTTCTCCTTTGCCCATAACTTCTCCGCATCACTTCCAAACGGAGGAGGAACGATTCCATTAACCCGCCATAGTCTCCTTTCAGTCTCATCGACATGAAACTCCCAGTCATAACCTCTATCAGCAATATGAGGCTTCAAGGCTTTTTCAATCGCGTCGCACGTATTCTTGTAAACGTGGTCCTCATTTTCGAGCCGAACGGCAATGTGGTCGGCAACAATTCGAATAAACGGCTTCTCGGTTCTGTTTTCAGCGCCGACCCAGGTATCTCCGGGGGGAAGCTTCATAAAATTGATGACAACATAGAAGGCAGGAAGGCCGATTCGAGTGTAGAGCTTTGTGATATCTTCCGTCAGAGCTTTTTTGGAAGCGGTGTCCTCGAAGGTGCCGGAGGGGTGGTAGATGAGCCAAAGGGGCATTTTGAGTATGTGGTTATAGTTAAGCCGGAAACTCTCAAGTAGGAAAAACAGGGATGATTGGAAGAAAATAGGACGCAGATGTAAGATGGCGACTAATATACCTTATAAGTTTATAGCTAAGCCCATCCCAAGACAAAGTTCCTTTCTCCATATTACCTCACCTGGTTTCTTACGTGACTCTTGGAATGCCCTAAAAGCATACCCACCTATACAGCTACCAATCTTTATCGGGTTTTACATGATATTTTGAAATGCCGACAGTAGTATACTAGTTAGTGAGTTTCCGGATACCGATACGGCTGCGGCAAAAAGTGTGGGGTTGGTCGGATGGATCAGTAATCATTAGTACCGGATAGATCAGTAATCAGATAAGGGCTTACAGCTCGGCGTGGTCTGAAATAAACTCCGCGTGGTCTAGCACTAAATACGGAACAACCCTTTTCCATCTTAACCATGATGAGGTCTATTTCTTTCATAAAAATTGCATATATTCAATATACTAAAAATATGCACATTTTAATCTTGCACTTAAAGTATTTAAAAGAAAAAGACTTCCTAATAAAATACCCTAATAAACACCCTAAATACCCTTAAATCCCTAAATACCCTAAAAATTCTGATATATAGCTTGTTATAGGCTCATCGTGGTCTAAAACTAAGAGTCTTGACCACGATGAGCTTTTGCCAAGAACAGGCTCGGAGTGGTCTGAAATAGGCGGTGAAGTAACTGGCAGAATATTAGACCATGCTCACCTTTTTTCAGACCATGATGAGCTGCGACCCGATCAGATAACTACAAGGCGCCCTGGTTAAATTGCGCATAGATGAATGGATGAATAGATATACTAACCGGCGGCAGAGTTCTTCGGCTTTCATCGAAGCTATTTGCCCTACTCCATTGCTAATTATTGTGATGGACAATGATGTCACACCTACCGGCCTTACACTCGGGGCCTTCGCACAAGCAAAGGAACCCAGGCAATTGCACATCCTCCCGGGAGGAAGTCTCGATCGATGAAAATGCGCCGGCACAGGTCATATCCTTAAAAGATCATCTAGGAGAACGGGGAAACTACACTGATTATTGCTGATCATCTTATGTATCTCAATTTGCTGGAATGGAAAGCCATCTACATATTCAGCGTTCATATCAACATAAGAAAGAGCGATATGCATCCTCAATCGACTATCACATCAATCATGAATCGTCTCTCATCGAAGTCTCAAGCAAGGACTAGACCATCAATCAAATGACTATTCTGCAAACCGTCAATACATCGACCACACAACAAAACCAGGAAATGAAAGGTAAACTCACTAAGCGACTCCGGACCGGTATACGGCTTCTCACTGACCTTCTTGCCTCCTTTCAGCTCAATAACCTTCAGTTCGGACGACAAATCAACCTGTCTGCCAGTAATCGCCTTTTCCTGCATCTGGCGCGGAAAATCCACCTCCACCTTTTTCATCGGCTTGCAGAGCCAGAAGCCCGCATCCACGCAGTAATCCTTGAAATGGATTCTCTGCAATCTCTTGGCGTCAAACCAATGCAGGAACGGGTCCGCATCGACAATGAATCCAAAGAGAGTCAGTGAGCGGATGGATAGTTTCTGGCGAGTGCGGCCCACGGACATGGCACGCACTTTGGCCTTTTCGATGACCATCTTGTCGAGGTATTCGGCTTGGCCGAGCTTGTGGTCAAGTGCGCCGGTGCCGTCACCGCTGGTGATGGGCTTGCTGTTAGTAACTAAATGCGATGGGGAGGTGGAAGGGATGCTTACAAGTACACTGGTTCCGCATACTGAGCCTTGTTGAGCTTCCAGCCTCCCTTGATGTAGGGCCAATCGCCAGTCTTGCTCTTGCGGATACGGGGAGGCAGGGCCATGCCGAGTTCCAGTTCCTCAAGGTCTATGTTCAACCAGGCGGCCTGCCAGATGTATTTCTGGTATGACTGCATCATGCCAATAATCTTGAGACTGCGGAGGTTGCGAAATAGACAGAGAGGGGACATCTGCTCGAGATCAAGCATGATAGGTTCCGGCTCAACTTTGCTGTCGGTTTTATTGTCATCGTCACTGATGTTCTCCTTGTTGTCCAGGTCGCTAGGCCAGAACACGTCAAGTCCAAGCGCGTGACGGTCATCAGTGAGACGCTCCCAGGTCTCACCGCCGCGGAACTCCAGGAGAGGCTTCTCCGGGGTGGCTTCATCGGCAGATAGGAGCTGAACAGGCTCCACTTCGGTCTCGGCTTCAGACTCCTCCCGCATCAAGTTAGCCATTCTGTATAGGGCGGAGCGGATAAGCGAGCTCGAACGGCTGGATGCGACGCTGGATCCTCGAACGAGGGACTGGGAGCGCGTGCGAGATTGCGAACGAGGGCGTCTGGAAAGTTCAGCCACACGAGCTGTTGCTAGGGGAGTGCCAGTGAATGCCGCATCGTTCATGCTGAAGCGACGGCTTCTGCGTCTGTCTGTGTCGGCGCTGTTGGCAGCAGGGGCATGAGTGTTTCGCTCATGTTCTTGGTTGAATGGGAATCTTTCGTGCAAGGGCTTGTCTTTATCTGGATAGAGAGAGTATAAGGTAGATGGTGAGGGGTACGGATCTCAGCTAAGGAGAGAAGAAGGTAAATTCAATACTGACCTGCTTCGATGCGGTCGTGAATGGGCTGATTGTAAGCTTCAGCATCTTTCCAGAACTCTTCTCCAAGGAGAGTAGCCTTCCAGTGATCCGGGTAGTTCTCCATCGTGAGCCGTTGGTATCCGCCAGCAATGGAGCTGTGGTGGAGAAGACCTCAGTTGAACAGATGGTTGCTGCGCCGAGATCTCCTGTGGAGAATCAGGTGAGGAGTGGTGAAAGTAAAGAAAATGAGAAAACAACGGCGGCAAGCGGACGAACACATATTGTTGCAGCCAGGAAGTCATTCACTGATGCTGAGAGTGGAGTAGCTCGGCGTGTGTGCACAAGTAAACATCTCTTCTTTGCTGCCGGACAGACAAAACCGCCTCAAACATACTTGCTTCATAGAGAAGATCGACAAAGGAACTACACAACAAAGACTTTCACCAGACACAGCTTGCGCATACTCCATTGTCAGCTGCTACAGTTTCTTTATATACACATTATCCCTGTCAAGCTTTGTTGTGGCTATTTTTCCCCAGCCTCAAGATCCTGAACACCATGGACGGCTTTCTCCAGTTTCATCGCTATAATTACTACGATATTCCAAGCCGCTTGGATTCTACTATTAATCCAGACATCACACAACACACCCTGCAGCCACTATTTCTAATACAACATATCTCACTATGTTTCCAGAACCCACTGTCGTCAGGCCACAAGACCAGTACGTTATGTCCCATATTACTATCGATAATACTAACTGGGATGAGAACGTCCAAGCCTCAGGGATATTTGACGAGGTGACATGTTCGAACATGGTACCTACCTACGCGAGCGTGAGCGCACCTGTGCGGTCAAATCGTGGCAACCCAGTTACTTCTACCACCACCAGCCTCTTCGGTATCACCACGTTGCAATACATATAAATTCGCAAATGCGATCTTTTTGATATGCAACACAGACACCACCCATTCCCATCAGTTTACTGCACAGAGACGAACTTGCTACCGAATCTACAATGAGTGCCGACATCGAAATAAAGGAGGATACGTAAAATACACCGGGCCAAATGGTATATCATCGCTATACCAAGATGTGCACATTTCCAGGATTTCAATGTACACAGCCAGATTGGATAGTGTCATTCTGCTTTATGCCAGCCAATCCTCCATCACGCATCAGCTTCTCCAAACACCTCATCTCCTTCGGAAAAGAAGCGGTACTTCCTCCCCCATAGCCAAGGTTATAATCGAGGTGCTTTGGTTCAACACTCTTTCAGCATTGATTCTGCCCTTTTCACTGCTGTCGGCCAACTCGATGCGGTACTGTCGGAGAACTGTCGTAAGCGCAGCAACAAATTCGACCTGCGAGAACTTCTTTCCCAGGCATGCGCGGAACCCATCGCTAAATGGGATATAGGCACCTCGGACGGGTTTATGGATAGTAGGATATTCCAACCCCGGGCCAGCGAGTCCAGGTAGATCGGCGTTTCTGGCCAGGAAGCTACCCTTGTTGCGCGCATCCCACCTCTGTGGTTGAAATAGCGTGGCGTCGTCCCCCCAGTATTCTTCAGAATAGTGAAGACCATTCGTATTCAAGTTTATGTAGGTGCCTGGTTCCAAGACGTAGTCTTTGCCGTCGTAGTGGATGACGCTCGGTGAGTCCCCTGTACATTTTGGTATGGTGATAACCGGAGGGTAGAGGCGCATCGTCTCGAGCTGAATTGCAGTTAGCTTGTCACCAGTTATACAGGAAGGACTTTCGGCGTACCATCACACAAAGAGGGGTGACGAGCTTAGGGAATGCATCATCGTAGTTCCAGTCCTCAATATTTGGCAGTTTATCTTTGGTCGCCTCGGCTATGCCGTTATGTACCCAGTCTTGAACATTTTGATGGAGAGCAAGCAGTACCAAAGCAAATCTCAAGGTTGTTGCTGTCGTTTCATGCCCAGCAATGGTAAACAAATGCATATTGCTGATGATTTCTCGGTCAGAAAGACCTGCGTCCTTGGTATCCCCAGGCTTCCTGGAGATTAACATGCCTTCGATGAGATTTGAGGGATTTTCTTCTCCGCTTAATCTGGACTCTGTGGTAGTAATCAACCTCTGTAGATACTTGTCTAGATCCCGGTGAGCCGCAAAGTCTTGCTTGAAGAACGGAACCAACGGTCTCGGGACCCATTTAGGTAGCATGTTGTTCGCCAGCGCCATGGTGGGGATGTGCAGATTCATATAAGCCACTACTGATCGGAATGTAAAGTCGAATCCTGTCGGTGGGGTGGGACTGTCCCTGAAAATGTCCTCCGGGTTCTTGAGCGAATCCTGAGGCAGTAGCTTGAAAGGCGCCTTCACTCCAAACCCAGCGCCCGAGAGCACGTTCAGGGTAAGCTTGTGGATGTCGTCCCTAGTACTTTCCACCGTAAATCCCGATCCACGAGTGGAATCTAGAGGGGACGCCTCCGCCCATTGCCCGATCATGTCCTGTGTTTGTTGAATAGACTCTTCCCATACCAGGGCATTATTCTTCTCATGGAACGTGGTTGCCGTGTATCGACGGTGGTGAGACCATTCTTTGTCCTCACACTAGACAAGTCAGTCCACAACCTTCCTGGAATTGCGAAAAGTGGTACCCACCGTGACGACATTAGGCCCATACATATCCAATATGCCTAAGATACCATTAGCATCCGAGTCTGTACAACTGATAAGGGTTCGAGACTCACGATATAGCTTGACTGGCTTTGGAAAGTCCTGTCGGGCATTGACGATCTGGCAGACCACAGAAGCATCTGCAACGCTACAAAAAACACCCCGAGGATTGACCAGCATGTAGACCTTCCCGTACCTCTTCACCTGGCGATTCCTGACAGTCCAGCGATAGGTGCCGACATTATCGTACAGGAGATCGCCCATCCATTGTGGAAGACAATACTCTGCAAGGAGCGGGAGTAGCCAGCCGAACAATATTATGAATATAATGCTGACGTTGTACGGGGACGCAACATAAGGAAGCTTAGTGCGCTGCGCTTTGCGAATATTTTGGGCGAGGTTCCAGATGTAATCAAAAACAACCAGGCCAATGAAGCCTAAGACGAGTGTGTACGCGATCATCGCACTGGGAAGCCCAAGCATCGGGCGGGTATTCGCGTCAGCAGAACTTTACTTTGCAGGAACGAAGGAATCCCTGGATAATAAATAAGCATCAGCTCATCGACCGGCGATTCCCTCAAATCCCGTCGGATTATTGTTTCCCCCCTAATAAGCGCCAGGTTGTCAGCGGCGCAGCGCAGCTGACATGTGCTAAGCTTGAGTCGCACTGACTTTGAGTTTAAATGAGTAGTCTGTAATACTCTCCGGCGCTTAGCGAGATATGAAGGGAGACTTCAGGAGGAAGGTATACCAACCTGAAGGTGGTCAATTGATGGTGGTACCAACAGAGGCAAAAGGGAGGTGACATGTCTATCAACCCAGTAACTCCATGGATCTCGGACTGTCTTTGATTGGCAGCTGAAGGCGTGGCTGCAGGACGCACGGGAGATGGATCATGCGCCACGGGTTCTGCAATCTGCTATCGTTTCATTCGACAGTATCTAGCGAATGAGAATCCGTCTGTTCTGATTGCATAGATTGCAATTGACTCGGGTGCAGAAAACGAGAAGGTACGGGGAACGTCGGCTGGTTATCGACATTGTTGGTGGCTTGGGGCGTAAGATAGATAAGCAAGCAGTGGGTTTGGGCGGAGCCATATGCGGAATCTGGAACACAATTCAGGCACAACTTCTCCACTACATTGCTTGAGACCAGAAAAGTTCTGTCCTGAACTACGTCACTACGATAATCTGGAAAATCGCAGTCTAGAGAGCAGCTCCTGTTCGTCAAATCGAGCACTACGTCGCATGAATCCCTAATGGAAGGCCTGGCCCATCCTACTATACCCTGACGGTGCAGGCGGTGCAATGCAGGAACCCGTCAGCCATCCGTTTCAAGTACTGTCGGCTTGCCGTAAGAGAGCTTGAATCGACATCACGTTGTTTCTTCTTGTTCACTGTTCCCGTGTTCATTACATCCATGAATACCGTATATAGCGTAGCATAGCGCGAAAAGTCAGGATTTGCCGGTACTGCCGATCCTACAACCGAAAAAGAGACTTTTGAAAACCCGTAGGAAAATAGTTCGATTCAAAAACAATCATGCAAGGTTATTCCCATCATAGCACTATCCTAGTACTTCTTGCCCTGACGCAGGACATCACCGAACTCCTCCAGAGGGCTGCGGATGAGCTTAGTCTCCTTCCAGAGGTTGGGGGTGAGGAAGCCGTAGGTGTTGACGACGGCAAGGAAAGTAGCCTTGAGAGTGTTCTCGAGGGTCTTGGTGGAACCGGAAGAGCAGGTGTAGGCGTCCTGGACACCGGCAAGCTGGAGCAGACGCTTGACAGCGGGGGAGGCAACGAGACCGGTACCACGGGGAGCGGGGATAAGCTATAACCGGGTTAGCATATTGGCCGGACGGAAAAGCGAAATCGATGATCGAAAAAGAGTCGCGACATACTCTGACGGAGACGGAACCACACTTGGCGCTCTGCTTAACGGGCAGAGAGTGAGGCTCACCAAGGTTGGTACCCCAGTAACCTCTACGGACGGGGAGAACGCTGAGCTTGGCGATGGTGATGGCAGCACGGATAGCGGTAGCGACTTCCTTGGAGGTCTTGATACCGAGACCGATGTGACCCTCGGAGTCACCGATGACGACGACGGCCTTGAAGCGGGTACGCTGACCGGCACGGGTCTGCTTCTGGACGGGTTTGATCTAAATTTTCCAGCCGTCAGCACCTCCCATTTTTTTTTCGATATATCCTTTTTGATCCCATCATGTCTGCAATTCCGATCCACGTATCAATTCCACCCGCGCATTCAATCCTATTTCCCGCGCACAATCGTAGATCTTCCTTGTCGACAATTCGGTAATCGGGCGATCGGTTCGTACCTTCATGACCTCATCCTTCAGCTTGGGGAGGAAGAAGTCCACAATCTGGTACTCCTTCACGGGCAGGGAGTGCAGGTAGATCTGCTCCATGCTGGTGATCTTGCCAGCCTTGACGAGACGGCCGAGCTTGGTGACGGGCTGCCATTCCTTCTCCTGCTCCTTGGCACCACCGCGACGACCACGGCGACCACGGCCACGGCCACGGTCACCACCACGGTCACCGCGAGAGCCGAATCCTCCACGTCCACGGGGAGCGTCAGCCATGTTGGATATATATGGCGATTGAGAAAGTCGGGGGGGAGAGGTAACGGACGGGAGGTGTCGTTGGGGTTGTCGACGTCGAGGTTGACTTTCTTCTCGCTATCCACAACTGTTTTGGCACCTGGGAAATTTCGCTGGCGGGTGCGCTAAGCGAGCCCGCAGCCCTGTGCCCTAAGGTGGCCTCCCGATTAGGTAACCCGAACGGGACCCCCCATCCCGTATCATCATGTGATAAGTGGATTATACCCCATTGGGAGCTGTTATCTTCCAATGATTTTGCTTTGTTTTTTCCATTTCAATCCCGTTGATGTTCTTATCGGCGGTCTGGGGTTCTGATCCAATTACTTGAAGTTATCAGAGCTCCCCTTTGGGCCCTCTTCTGCTCTTCTCCAACTATTTACAAATCCGGGGCACTGGGATTGTTGTCTTCATCCCCTATTATTTGCATTAATTAGTCTCACTAAATATATAGTCGTATTTATTCTTTGATCATGCTCCGGTGGTATGTCCCTATCCATCCTGATGATCAATATTTCCATCGCTGATCAGGCACAGGTATCAAGCGAGGTTGGCCAAGCAGCCTATCCTCACTGCTAGTGTGACGAGTGCTGTAAGAACTCCATTCTTCTTTCTTGCAAATCAAGATTCATTTCCTATCGTACTCTCTATTATCTAATGTCAACCCCGACGTAATACCAATTTGAGCTGACCTTTATTTCCCATGCGGACTAGCTGTTGTTTGGTAGTGGAGATGTTCTAGCCCAACAACTAGTCGATCGTAAGGGATTTGATAAGCACGATCTGGCAAGAACGGGACGCATGGCCCTTTATGGTGGAGGTGAGCTACCATATAATTCCTTGTCAATCTAGGATCTTCTTTCTGCCCTTGGAAGTCCTGGGAAAGCCTTCCTCCATACAATGGGAAGTGGTCAAGCTAACATATAACAGCGATCTTCGGGCCGGCTGCTACCACCTGGTACGGTGTCCTCCAGCGTCACGTCGTCCTGAATAACGCCAAAACTACCCTCATTGCCCGTGTCATCGCGGATCAATGTGTCTTTACTCCCGCACACCTTACTTGTTTCTTGTCCTCCATGGCTATCATGGAAGGCACCGATCCGATTGAGAAGTGGCGCAATGGTTTCGTTCCCAGCTTCAAAGCAAACCTTGCGATTTGGCCTCTCGTTCAAGGAGTCAACTTTGCCATCGTGCCACTTGAGTACCGCGTGCTTTTTGTCAACCTAGTCGCTTTGGGTGTGTATTCCGGCCTTCTACTAATATCGAATGATGCTGACGCCATTAGGCTGGAACTGTTTGTTGAGCTTGATTAACAGCGGTGAGAAGTGATTTTGATTTTCAATACCCTGTCTGTTGTAGACACTCTTTGCAGATATCCCTACACTGTCCATAGATACTAGATGTTTTTATTCGGTCCAATTGTTTATCTCTTGAATTCTGATATCTACGGCATTTTGCATGTTATATAGACTAATTCAAGGGTACTAAGTACTACTATGTTGTTTGGGATCATATGACACTAACAAGTTACTGGTAGTATGGAGTTAGTACTGTAGTTGTGTGGTTTTCATTGTTGTTCGTCAAATAGGCTAGTCGTAAGCAGATTGCGGATTTATATATTTCAAAGTTGTAGTAGTATTGTAAGTAACCGACAGTAGCACTACTAAGTACTACTTGCTCTCAAAGCTGGACTAAGTAAATCTCGGTAGTGTGAGAGGGGATTATCGATGAATAGCCTGTAAAATAAAATTATCTCATTTAACTAAATAATAACTATAAATAATATGCCATGATGTCGACAAGATGGCATTCCCGGCGATTAGGGCTGGGGTTGGGCAGCGGTTAGCCTATGAAAGCACTGCAAAGCGGCGTGGCCCAAAAGGGTAAGGTTCCAATCGTGTCCCCAATGCGGCTTTCTCCAAACCATCAAAACTTCAGGTTGTGATTTTCTGTCGTCGCCTCAAAGAATCCACCCTCTATCACGACTGCTCTCGCCGTGATTCTGCCTGGAGCAGACGACTCAACTTCGCGTGAACCGATCGCGCCACTCCTTGCTCCTACTCTGAGCCTGTCACCCCCCAGCTGCGCCTTCCTCCGCCAATCTCTCCCCGACACAAAATTTGCCATCCGCGCTATTTTGTCTCTTCCCCTCCGACACGACCGCTCTCCCTCTCATCACCACAATCCCGCCGCTGCATCCTCTTCAACCACCTCTCACTTTCCCCTCACTTCCTCACTCAACTTTCATAATGGCCGCTGTTGCTGAGAACGGCCACGCGCCCGTGGCTGACGAGAACGCCGCCCCCGTTGCTGCCGCCGTCGAACAGAAGGAACAGACCGAGAAGACGACTGTCACAGTATTCCACGATCCCGAAAACTTCAATGTGAAGCATCCTTTGATGCACGAGTGGACTCTGTGGTTTACCAAGCCCCCTAGCGGCAAGGTACGGATTCTTGCCGAATCAGACGCAGCAGTGGATCAAACAACTAACCTTTCCTGTGCGATAGGGCGATAACTGGAATGATCTGTTGAAGGAAGTCGTGACTTTCAACTCCGTTGAGGAATTCTGGGGTATCTACGTATGTGTTCTTTTTTTTGCATTCACCGAGGAGACCTGCCCGCTAACCAATGCTTCCATAGAACAACATCTCGCCGACATCCGAGTTGGGCCTCAAAGCAGACTACCATCTCTTCAAGAAGGGAGTTCGTCCCGAGTGGGAAGACCCCCAGAACAAGCACGGAGGCAAGTGGTCATACTCTTTCAAGGACAAGCGCTCCGTGCCCATCGACGACCTGTGGCTGCACGCACAACTGGCCGCTATTGGCGAGACTCTCGAGAACGATGGTGACAACGAGGTTATGGGTGTTGTTGTGAATGTACGCAAGGGCTTCTACCGTGTTGGTCTGTGGACTCGGACTGTTGGCAAGAGTATCCCCGGAGACAAGAACGGTCGCACACCCGCACAGGGCAAGGAGATCCTCGAGAACATCGGCCGGCGCTTCAAGGAAGTCCTTCGTCTCAAGGAGGCTGATGCCGTTGAGTTCTCGGGTCACACGGACAGCGCACACAGCGGCAGCACGAGAGCCAAGGCCAAGTACACTGTCTAAGGTATATAACCTGTGTGTGCAGCTCCATTTACGAGGTATTCATTGCGGATCTGTTTCTTTGCTACGGAATAATGGGAAGTCTTTGTGACGATGGTTGATAACGAATCCGAATGGACCGGCATGAGGAAATGCGCGTCCGACTTGCTTGCATTTGCAGTTACAGTGGTGGTTCGGTCATAGGCACTGATGGCATGTTTCTTTCCCTCAGTACGTATTTCTGACGAGGTTTATACCATATTTCATCGAGTTATAGCTTTACGCCTCTAGTGGCCCACAAAATAACGAAAAACACTCTTAAAACATCTTATTCTAGTGCATTCTCAATAGACATTCAGCTGCTTCTGGCTCAACTCTTTCCATCTTGTGTGCCTAAAACTGACAACCATCTGGGATAGGGATGCACTTCATCGAGCTGACTTGATACTGACTTGATGCCGAACTTGATGCCGGACTTGATCGACGTAACCCTGGTGTAAAACGTTGACTCACTGGAACTTCGGCTTTCCTACTTATCCACGGCTCCCAGATGGATGAGTTTTCATTTGGTCTACTGTGATCCGTCTGATGGAACGTCGATCTATTCTTGGGGCTCCTGAGGCGGTCCAGTTCGGCCCAGACTGGACTGATTACCTGCGCTGAAGTCACTTTGCACATCCTGATTCATTTGCTCTAATTATATCGAGCTCTGACTTTTTCTCAAGCTTTTTTTGAACTATACACTGATACCTCGTCTCGGTGTCATCTGGACGACTATAAAAAGGGGCCGCAAGTCCTGCTTGTCTCCTGGAAAACCATCCCTCCTACAACTCACTCCTCCTCACCTATTCTCTACTCTTGCTCCTACTTCCTCTTCTCTCTTCCCCTTATTCTTACTCCTACTCTTCCTACTTTTCCTACTTTTCCTACTTTTCCTTTCACTCTTATCTTCTATCCTTATTCCTACTCTTCTAGTCTTACTCTTATCCTTACTCCTATTCTTATCTTATATAGTCTTATTCTTATTGCTTTCTGCTTGTTTGTCTGCTTGCTTTTGCTGGCGTTCTTTGCGTTCGTTTGAATCGACTCGCCTTCTTACCTCCTTTGCCTGCCCTGCTCGTTCTGCTTTACATGCTCGGCTTTACTGGTTTGTTCTGCGTTGAGTTGCTCATTCTGCGTTTCTCGTTTTACTGCCTGCTTTCATTACTCCCTGCCTGCCCCATCCTCATCTCCTCTACCGTCTCCCACTCTACCCTGCCCTCTTCCCTACTATCTCATCTCTCGTCACCCGCCCTTCTTTTCTCTTCTCTGACCTCCCATCCCATCCTCTCTCCTGCCCTTCTCTTCCCTTCCCTTCCCTTCCTTTCACTCTCCTGCTACACCTTCGTCTCCCCCACCGTCCCCTCCCCTGCCTTGTCCTACCTTCTCCTAACCTTCTCTGCCCTTCCCCTTCTTTTCCCTACCCTGCTCTGCCTTGCCTTTCTCTTGCCGTTTTCTGCCCTTCACTACCATTACCCTCCCCTTCCCCTCCCCTTCACATTCCCTGCTTTACCCTGCCCATATCCTACCCTGCCCTCCCCTTTCCCTGTTCTTCCACTACCCTGCCCTGCCCTTCCCTGCCCTGCCCTGCCCTGCCCTTCCCTGCCCTGCCCTGCCCTTCCCCTGCCTTGCCTTTCCCCTGCTTTCACCTGCCCTGCCCTGCCCTACCTTGCTTTGCTTATTCTGCGTTGCTGTTTTCTGCGTTGCTGTTTCTGCGTTGCTGTTTCTGCGTTGCTGTTTCTGCGTTGCTTGTTCTGCGTTGCTTGTTCTGCGTTGCTTGTTCTGCGTTGCTTGTTCTGCGTTGCTTGTTCTGCGTTGCTTGTTCTGCGTTGCTATTTCTGTTTGTTCAGCGTTGTTCAGCTTGTTCATTACTCTTATTCTTATCCTTATTCTTATTAGATAGTCTCTTATTCTTATTTCTATACTTATCTATTCTTATTATATAGTTTCTTATTCTTATTAGGTAGTCTCCTATTCTCATCCTTTCTATTCTTATTAGATAGTGTCTTATTCTTATCCTTTCCTTTCCATTTTGTCTCCTTTTCTTGTTTCCTTTTGTTTTTATTCCTGTCTTTCTACTGTTTTTTCTAGTCCTTGATTTCCTACTTTCCTACTCTCTTGCCTTTCTGCTCTTCTGCTTTCATTTTCTACTTCCCAGTTTCATTGCTTCTAGTTTCTTGTTTCCTATTATTTCTGCTTTTCATATCTTATTCCCCATTTCTTAATGCCCTATTTCCTTGCCTCTATTCCCTATTCCCTATTCCTCCCCTTCCTCCCCTTCCTATACTTCTTCCTAATTTCCTTGCTTCTAGTTTCTTGTTTCCTATTTCCTATTCCCTATTCCTCTTCCTCCCCTTCTTCCCCTTCTTTTACTTCATGCCTACTCTCCTGCTTTCTGCGTTTCTGCCTTCTTCCCTATTCCCTATTCCCTATTCCGTAGTTTCCTTGCTTCTAGTTTCTTATTTCCTATTCTCCATCCCCCATTCCCTTCTTTCCTTCTTTCCTTCTTTCCTTCTTTCCTTCTTTCCTTCTTTCCTTCTTTCCTTCTTTCCT